TTCACTCTTGGTATAACACGTCTCCGCTTTCAGCGATAGCAGAATCCCAACGGAGAAATACTATACGGAGCGCTTTAGACCAGATAACCTGGTTATGGTCGACGGCCTGCCTCTACTCGTAGTGGAGGTGAAGCCCCCAGGAACCTCTAAAAAGCTCCTTGATAGAGATTTCAGGAAGTTACTTTCTGAAATGAAGCTGGCACTAGATCTCTTGTTCGCCAAGGGTGTAAAAGACCCAACGGTCCTGGGTCTGCTTGTCCAAGGTATGTTACACTCTTGTATATTTTTACGATCCATGAAACCTAAACGGAGACAGTGGTGCTAATTCACGCTTTAGATGGTCAAATGGAAATCTTCGTGATGACCCTAGATTACGAAGCCGTTTATATCCCCAGATTATTGGGCAAGGTCAAAGTGCCCAAGGGCAGGAAGAGCCTTAGCGTGGTTGCGGAAGCAGTGCCAATTCTGGAGACTACAAAGACAGCTTACTTGAAAGCCAAGGAAGCTGTCGGGGAGCGCGTGAGGGTTACAGACGAGGTGAAACATACATGGGTGAGGCCATCTTTTTACCTCCAGATCAATAGAAAGCGCAAGAGATCAGAATAAATTGCTTCATTTAGGATTGTTTATTGTGTTATTCGACTTTAATGCTTGATGCTTTTTGTTATTCCAACGAAATATAAACATTGTTGAGAGTCTTGCCCACGATATCCTCATCCACGCCTCGACAAAAACCGCGGCCCGACAGCTGCTAAGAATCCGAGTGTGCGAATGGGTAAAATCTTGGTTGGCCTAATATTACTTCAGAGTATATATGATGGTTAAAATTGGTCTCGATGTCGAGTTGCATGTTGTAGGTTTGAATAAAGGCCTTGCGTTTGTAATACCATGCAAAAAAATAATCATATTATCCATTTTCCGCGACGGAGAACAGACGGCAACTTGTGGTCAGACCTGGCGAGCTGGCAGGAGATAGCAAGAACCAAGGCGGAACCATGTCTTGGAGGGGGAAAAAAAAAATAGAAAAAAAAAAGAAATAGAGCCAGAACCCTTGTGATTCGATACGACTGGGTTGCTGAAACCAGGGTCAAAGACCAAGAGTTTCCATCACTATAAATAGTGGGCAGTTAACGAATCAGTGAGATGTCTGGCGTCTCTTCGTATATCCCTCAGCAGCCATAGAAAAAGAAAAAGAAAATATAAAAAAAAGAAAAGACTCAGATGCTTGACAGAATCTTTTTAAAACCGGAGGGCTGAAACTTTTGCACAAGGTCAAAGACCTGCTCAAAAAGTTTCCCCACTATGGGTAGTGGCCAGTTCGAATCAGCAGAACATCTGGCGTCTCCTTGTAACGACCTCCAAGGTCAAAAAAAAGAAAAGGGAGAAGGAAGCTGCGATGTTCTCATTGGATCGAAAGATTCCGCGTCTATTCATCGTAAGAAACCAGAGATTACTCACAAATAATTAGGAAGCGCAGGTAAATGATAAAAAAAAGATAGTCTATTACTTACTTGATGGAACTCTGTGAATTTGACGATCATCATGTTTGATTGTGTTGCGTGAGAGCTAGAGTGAAGGTAAGGAAGCAAAACATAGTGACGCATAACAGTTATTCAACGTCAAAGCCACTGACCTCTTCCGTCGCTCGGCGTGCAAATAGAGGACAGCGAGCCAAGCTTGCAAGTAGCGAACGACATCGGATTTAGAGTTGCTATTCAATACAATTCAATTTTCGCTTGAGTCTATTCAATCAATTTAAAAAATATAAGGTATCGTGACCAAATGAAACGGGCTATATATTGAGTCTTGGGGAATGAGATGCACAATTAGGACAAATCCAGTAATACTTCATACACATTTATACCATGTTGTAAATGATGTAAAAATGTAGAATGAACGAGGGTAGAGATTATGATCATAGGGGCCATGGCTCTACCTCTTCATCCCCTTTTTTTCATTCTCCGAAAGTTGCTTAAGGAATCACAAATTGGCACAGCAGTCAACAAAGCACTTGTGATACACGGAAAGATACAAGAATTTTAATGGATACTGATCGCATGCCATGCACACACCTATCAAAATAGAACCCGACCGTTCCACGCAAGCACGCTCTGTGTTTTATTTCTGTTCTAAAGAGGAGAATGGAGTCAGCTTCATTCTCATCTTCACCTCGACTCTTATCAGCGTTCCTGACATTACGTTCGTCTTCTGTACACTACATTGCTGTCTAATAATCTTGCGGCAATACATCATTCATTCCTTGTGGTGCCTCCACAAGGATACGGGCTAGCAGATTGTTTAGTACAAGAGGAAATGATCGAGTAACAGAAGGCTATTCTTTTCTTTCGACCTTCTTTTCACAGCATTTCATGCTACACTCCTCGTATATCTTCGTCCACGACCTGACGTTACGATCTGGCGTTAGCGTCTCTGAGTAGTCAAATCCTTTTTATATATTCTTCTATTGTTCCTCACATCTAGGCTTTGATTCGAATTTTCGTGAAGCTCTCTCTGACATTTGAACACCGCAAAAAAAATAAAAAAGATAAAATAAAATAGAATAAAGGAGATCCCATTAAGTTGATTCTGTGTCATAATGGTTATGGTTCTGGGAACTGACTAATTTATTATTCTCTCTCGCCCATTTTACTTGGTCAAGCCTCACTGCCTCCTGTCCGTCACACGCGCTGTCGGAGACCGTGTCCACTCCTGATCCGTAACAAATACGCCTCTTCTTCTCATTCTTTTCCTTGTATCCTGCATACGCTCTCATCCTTCTTCCATTACACCTGTTTCCAAAAGACCTCCGTGTAATATCATCCACATTCGATTTCCTTTTCTGTTTTCATTTGCACACGCGTTATCATTTATTCACCGCTATACCTCCAAACTTTTAACTTTTATTCAACTAACATTCAACGCGAACAGTTGCATAAAGTAAGCATGTTCCCTCGATGGCTGATAGATGGTTTTATTTTGAATGTACGGAGACCGGTCGCATGATACAATCCCTCCATCCTTGTCTTCAGGAGATACAATCTCCTTGCCCTGACCACCATCTGTCTATAACCACCTCAACCTAACATCAACTACCACATTACAATCGTTCTGTTGTCCTTGGCCCATTATTATTATTTCGTTGGTGTTAGTTTGAGCACAGCTTTGCTAAGAGATAACGTAGGTTGATGGATTGCTCTTCCCTCATCTTTCAGACTACTTCGTCATTACTTAATCACTAAAGGGTCATTACCGAGTCTGTAGTAATGGAAGGGGTAAGGAGCTGTTGCAACAAGTGCAAATTGGCCCTTGTTTTTCCTTGTGGAGACGACGATTAAAATATAGGAATTGCAATGCGAGATATGGATCTGTTCTTTAGATCTATTTTTACCAATGAAATGAATGAATGGCTTTTATTTGTTCAGTAATCTCATGACGGTGAACACCTCTCACGTCCCTCTCTTCACCATTCCTCCTCTTGGGTCTCATGGTTGTGATATGGACTTGGGCTAGGATGATGTTTATGTTTGGGTGTGAATATGTGGGTGTTTAAGAAGGTGTGAGGTGGGCTAATAGCCCCCCCTTTCATGTCTATATTTACAGACTTTCTGTTGATTAGGCACATGGCGCCCTGTCATCAACATAAACACCTCAAAGGCACAGAGGTGTACATTGTCCTACCGGGATCAGTAACATGCAAAAGCATAAAAGCGTGGTTGAGATTATGCTTGGGTTTTCCATGGCCGGATGATTTGACATTTATTTTTATCTTCATTGTATGACATGTCCCTTTTTTTTTATAAATTTGGCGATGTATTCATTGCCCAAATGTTGTTGCTGTTTATTTGCTGGGTTTAATTTTTATTTTCTTTTTGTTCTTTTTGAGTGAACAACTTTGTTCTCTTTCTCTCTGTTCGAGGGCTACAGAAGAAACAGACAGAACAAGCAGTAGAACTATTTATATTTTTATATTTAGCGCCCATTCCCCTTCTACCCTCCCCCCATCCCTGCCTATTAACAATTTGTTTCCCATCCTTGATCTCGTTTGAACACCTTTTGCGTTTTACTCGCCCTTGTCTGAAAGCAACCAATTGTGTTTATGTTTGCGTTGATCTCAAATCCTTCATTTTCAACGCCGTCACTTGTTGTTTGTATGTACTGTACATAATGTAGTCTGAATGAAGTGTGTTGTGTGTTTAGAAATTGCAATGTGGTGTGTGTGGTGTATTTTTATCTTCTTTTTCGACTGGACGCCCTTGGGCCCCTCGCTCGTTCTCTCTTCCTTTTTCCTTCTCTTGTCCACGTTATTCACGCTCCACTCGCGCACTTTTCATTTTCATTCTCATTCTCATTCTCATTCTCATTCTCATTCTCATCTGTTTTTGATTCCTGTCATTCTATTCTTCCTATCAGCTTTATTTGCTGTTCTCATAATTGTCCTTCCCCGTCTTTTCGTATCTTGTAAGATATTGAGCGGAGTGTTTGTTAGATTCGCTCTTGATAGTTTCAACGATCTTATAGTCAAACGCTGTGCTTTTACTACACTGTAAACCACTGCTGCAACAAGAGTGTGTGTGTGTGGAGAGGGCTGAACCTCGTGGTGGAAATAAAAGAAAAAAAAAAAAAAAGAGTTTAGGAGGCGAGGTCGAATATCATCCATGAATCTTTACTGTTTGTCACTAACCGATCTTTTTTTGCATCTCCTTTTCCTTTTCTTTTCTTTCCTTTTTTTTTCTTCCTTATTCTTTTCTCCCTTTTCTCCCTCTTGTCTCGTTTGCACTTTTATCTTCTCTAATATCTCCTTTTCCAGATCTCAACTACGGGGCACTCTTCTAAATACAATAATAGCATAGCTCCTTCCTGATCAATCTCGGACCTTATAATATTACTGGACCAATCATTCTCTTCATCATCCATCATTATCACTTTTTCCCGGAAGAAAGACTGACATAAAGACAGTTTAAAGGAATAAAAAAAATCAATTGAAAGAAAGGATTGGCATCATGGATCAGCAACAACAGCCTGATCTGTCACAGTTGCCTCATCCGACGGAGGATAACCTGACATCGATCCTTGCAAACCGATTCCAGCAGGGTCAGATCTACACACGAATCGCATCTTCCGTCCTCCTCCAACTTAACCCTTTCATCCCCGGTAGAACTGATATATCAGAGGCAGTACTCCAGGACCAGGTCTTGACATACAAAGATGGCGCACGCCTCGTACCAACAGATCAAGTCAACAAAAGGGATCCATCACAACAACGACCCATCACAGGAAGTATACCGGCCCCACATGCTATCCAACTTGCCACGAGTGCATATCTACATATGCGCAGAACAGGTCAGGACCAATCCATTATTACCAGGTAAAGCGACCCAAACACAGTCTTTGTCATAGTTTATTTCCCATCTCCTCTCCTTTTCATACTTCATTAATCTGTTTGCATCCTCATCAGTCTTCGGTTTATTTAATGGTCCGGTACAATGCACAATGTTAATCAAATACTTGGACATGTATCTGTATCAATGTAAAAAAAAAAAAAAAAAAGTCCCGTCCTCATCCCATCTTTCCATGCGAAGTGGGGTTTTTTTATGTATTTAATTTCAGGCACAACGGGGGTATACTTCTGTGCTAGAAGGTGCAAAACAAATCAAAAATTAAAGCTGGGGCATTGCTCCTGCTTTACCGTCATAGAAATGCTAATTTGTTGTCAATGCTTTAACGACCATGCATGCCTATCTCCTATCTTGTCCTGGGTTGTGTGAAAGAAAAGACTGGGTGTGATCTTGGGTTACCGCTGGTATAATGAAGCACAGTAGTCTTGTTTGAGGCCATTGTGCCTGTTTCATGAACTCTTTCAACCTCCTTTTTTTTTTTTTTTTTTTTTTTTTTTCCTTCCAGAGTGCTCTCAATCTGTAACACTAATTTCTTTTTTTGTTTTGTGAACAATAGTGGCCAAAGCGGAAGTGGAAAAACAGAGGCCGCTCGTTTGGTAATCCGCCAACTATTGGCACTGAGCAGCCAGCCCAAGAAGGAGGCACGGGTTCAAAATCAGATCTTGGCCGCAAGTGTCATCATCGAAGCCTTTGGACATGCCAAGACCAGTCTTAATATCAATGCTTCTCGTGTTGGACGTTTTACAGAATTGCAATTTAATGAACGCGGTCGTTTGTTGGGTGCCAAAATGCTGGATTATTTCCTGGAGAAGAAACGTATCAGCCATTCAGCCTCAGTACCAGATGAACGCAATTTCCATATCTTCTACCAATTACTCGCAGGTGCAAGCACAGAAGAGAAGACTTTTCTGAAATTGACAGAGGGACAGTTTCATTACCTATCCCCAGCATCACTCAACAGGAACAGGACACTGCCAGGGATGGACGATGCGACTGAATTCGCTAACCTCAGGATGGCGCTCAAAGTAATGGGCTTTCAAAAGACACAGGTCGCTCAGATTTTCCAACTCGTGGCGGCAGTTTTACATCTCGGCAATTTGACATTTATGGAGGATGCGACCCACACAAACGACGCCTGTGTGGTGAGGAATGTTGACACTCTGATCTTTGTGGCCGACATCTTAGGAGTTGATCCGAACGCCCTTCAGAATACATTGACCTACAAGACGAAGATGATCAAGAAGGAGCTTTGCTCAGTCTTCTTGGACGCTCAAGGTGCAGAGCAGCAACGAGACGAAATGGCGCAAGCACTGTACTCCCTGCTGTTCTCATGGATTGTCGAGTATTTCAACGTCAAGCTCTGTCATGAGGCGCCAGCCAACTTTATTGGAGTAGTTGATATGTTTGGGTTCCAACAATTCAGCGTCAACAGACTGGATCAGTTCTGTGTCAACTATGCGAATGAGAGGCTTCATCAGTTCTTCCTCAACCATGTCTTTGAGGCTAGCTATTCAGACTATGAAGTTGAGGGCCTTTCCATCCCTAGGACACACTTTTTTGACAATGCAGCCTGTTTACAGATGTTAGGTATGGAGTCCGAGGAAGGATTGATCGGTATCATGTCGAACCAGTCCCGCCATATTGGGCGCAAGACGGATGCCACAATGTTGGAAGCATTTTCGAAACAATATCCCAGACATGATTCTTTGACCATTACCCGAAATATGAACACACACCCATCTTTCACGATCCAGCACTTCTTGGCACCCGTTACATACACAGTCGAGGGATGGTTAGAGCAAAATGTGGATAACCTCAGCTCTGACTTTGTAACACTTTTCCGAGGTGGACCCGGTGTTTCGCCTAGTATGAATCCATTTGTCAAAGGACTTTTCACAGACAAAGCCCTGACAACCGAATCGCATCCCCGCAATAACAATACTATCGTTGCTGCACAGGTAATAGAAGAAAAGAAACCCTTTTTTTTTTTTTTTTTTTTCTGCACCAATCATAGTAAGGATAGGAGCTGATATCATTTGATGGCTTTTTTTTTTTTTTTTTTTGCATGGCTAAAATTTAATAGCAATCAAATAAGCCTAAGCGTGCTCCTTCGATGCGCCGACCTAAAAAGGTTGAAGATACATCAGCGAAAACGGAAAAGTCTGGTGACAGTGGCAGTTCCACTGTAGGTAAAGTGATCTCTATGGCAGCGCAGATCCAATCTGCTACCCAGGAACTATGCGATTCTTTAGCGGAAACGACTCCTTGGTTCTTGATCTGTCTCAGATCCAACGACACAGGCATGCCGAACCATGTAGATTCTATCACTCTCAAGGCCCAGGTCCGTTCTCTCTGCTTGGCTCAGGCTGCTCAAAGACTTGCCATCGAGTACACGATCAGTTGCACTCATCAAGAATTCTTGGACAGATATACATCGCTGTATTTAAATATTTTGGAAGACATGCCTGCTGGGGCTCCATTGAAGAGCAGGATGGATACTGTCTATGCGGAAGAGAAATGGACTATCCACGATGCAAGCGTTGGTATGCACCGTATTTTCCTGTCTGAAAAGACATGGAGGGAGCTTGAACACCGTCTCAAGGGTTCAGATTCTGACAAGAAGGGCGATAAGAAGGATGAAGCCGTCATGCTAACGCCTGGAACAGGGCTGGCCCCAACTCCATCTGCGGTCGTCGATGGAATGGGATTCCAGGGCGCATTTGCAGGATTAAACAACGGACTCGGCACGCCTGGCAGCTTCAGGGGAGATATCCCCAACATGTCTGAGGATGACCAGTCCATCAACTCAAACACAGCGATGGCAGCGCCGCTCCTACTGCAGCAGCAACATTTGCAGCAACACCAAGATATGCTTCAGCAACAGCAGCCAGGTGGTTACTTCGCGCAACCACCTCAGGCAGGTTATTTTTCCGGACTTCATCCAGCTCACGCATCCTTTATGGCCAATGAGAGGCTTGAGAACCGATCCTTTTATTCTGGAGATGATAATCAGTCTGAATATGACCCATATATGCGAGGAGCTGTAGGTGCTAACCGCTTCGAGAACGAGTCTGTCTACGGAGGCTCCGAGATTTATCGTCCTAACACACGTCTATTTGGCGATGCAGAGAAGCGTGGCATGATGATGCATGCTGACGGGGCCTTAACTGACCCTGATCGTGAAGGCACCCTAGGTGATGGCAAGGATGGTCTCAAAAAGGAAGGCCTTGAGGATGACGAGGAGGAGAATGTGCCCGTTACCTCTGCACGTCGTAACTGGGTTTTTTTGACTTATGCGCTTACGTGGTGGATTCCTAGTTTCTTATTGTCCAAGTGTGGCAGGATGGCACGCCCTGATATCCGCATGGCTTGGCGCGAGAAGGTTGCTCTCTGTATCCTTATTTTCTTCTTGTCCTTGATCATGATCATGTATATTGCTGTCCTGGGGGAGTTGATCTGCCCTCATCAGTATGTCTACTCGCCTGGAGAGCTGTCGGATCATCATGCCAAATCCAATAGGCCGTTGACGATGGTTCGAGGAGAGATTTTCGATATGAGGAAGTTTATGGTTCAACATAACCCCAGTATTGTGACACATACCCAACTACTACAGTATGCAGGTATCGATTCCACCCCCATCTTCCCAGTCCAGCCTAGCGCACTTTGTGATGGTCTTAATGGATATGGATCCGCGTCAATCGATCCCTCGATTCAGCTGCCTGAATTGGGTGCAGTTGATCCTAACAGCCGCTACCACGATTTTCGAGAATTTACTAATGTTTCAAGGCCTGATTGGTATTATCAGAAAATGGTCTTTATGCGGCAGTGGCGAGTCGGTTTCTTGGCCTATACGCCAAAATTTATTAAGGAACAGGCTGCAGCAGACGGTATTAAGAAGCGATGGGCCATTTTGGACGGTAATGTCTATGATATGACCAACTACATCCAAGCTGGTAATCAGGGCGTGGTCAGGACCAAAGCTGGGGAACAGACGCCCAATGTCAACCCTGCATTCATGGAACCCTCGGTTGTGAGCTTGTTTTCGGTTAATGCAGGAGAAGATATCACTAGCAAGTTCAATGGTCTGCCTCTTGACAGCAACATGAAGTTTGTCATGAAGGTCTGTCTCCGAAACCTGTTCTTTGTCGGTCGTGTTGATGAGCGTACAAGTTTCCGATGCCAATTTGCCAATTATATGCTTCTAGTACCCTCCATCTTGATTGTTTGCACGATTGGATTCAAGTTCTTGGCCGCGTTGCAATTAGGGTCCAAGCGAGAGCCGGAAGAACATGACAAATTTATTATCCTTCAGGTACCCTGTTACACTGAGGGTGAGGAGTCGCTTCGAAAGACGCTCGATTCTTTGGCAGCCTTGCGATACGACGATAAGCGCAAGCTTTTGTTTGTGATTGCAGATGGAATGATTATTGGATCAGGAAACGATCGTCCAACGCCGCGTATTGTCTTGGATATCCTTGGTGTTGATCCCAATATTGATCCTGAGCCTCTAAGCTTCTTGAGTTTGGGCGAAGGTCAGAAGCAGCATAACATGGGCAAGGTTTACTCTGGATTGTATGAATATAATGGACATGTGGTGCCTTATATCGTGATTGTTAAGGTTGGAACACCCACTGAGCGTCAGCGACCGGGTAACCGTGGCAAGCGAGACTCCCAGATGATTTTGATGCGGTTCTTAAACAAAGTACACTTTAACTCGCCCATGACACCCATGGAGCTGGAAATGTATCATCAAATTAAGAATGTCATCGGCGTGAACCCATCGTTTTATGAGTACGTCCTCATGGTGGATTCGGATACAGAGGTCTTACCAGATTCGCTCAACAGGATGGTATCTGTCTTCTTGCACGACACGAAAGTAATGGGATTGTGTGGAGAGACCCAAATTGCAAACGAGAAGGATTCTTGGGTGACAATGATGCAGGTTTATGAGTACTTTATTTCTCACCATTTGTCCAAAGCTTTCGAATCTCTGTTTGGATCCGTTACCTGTTTGCCTGGATGTTTCTGTATGTATCGCATTCGTACACCCACCAAGTCGACTCCACTACTCATCTCAAACAACATTATTGAGGATTATTCGGAAAATAAGGTGGACACTCTGCACAAGAAGAATTTGCTCCATTTGGGAGAAGATCGATACCTGACAACCTTGATGTTGAAACACTTCCCTAATTACAAGATGACGTTTACTCCCGATGCTCAGTGCAGAACCAACGTTCCAGATCAATGGAGAGTTTTATTGTCACAACGTCGTCGCTGGATCAACTCCACTGTGCATAATTTGATGGAATTGGTATTCTTGCCTCAACTGTGCGGTTTCTGCTGTTTCTCCATGCGATTCATTGTCATGATCGACTTGTTTGCAACACTGATTATGCCCGTGACCGTGGTCTATATTGGATACCTTATTTATTCCATTGTTGCCAATGATGGATCGATCCCTAAATTGGCAATCATTATGATGGGTGCTATCTACGGTCTTCAGGCAATCATCTTTATCCTTAGACGCAAATGGGAGCACATTGGATGGATGATTGTGTACATCTTGGCCATCCCTGTATTCTCATTCTATTTACCTCTGTACTCGTTTTGGCACTTTGATGACTTCTCATGGGGTAACACACGTCTGGTAGTTGGTGAGAAGGGGCGAACCAAGGCTGTTTCTGCAGATCAACTGGAAGGCAAGCTGTTCGATCCCAAGACGATTCCCCAAAAGAAGTGGTCCGATTATGAACAGGAATTGTGGGAGGTCCAGACAACGGGTTCATTAGAGTCAAAGGCATCAAGAATCCCATACGGTGCTGGTTATCCTCAACAACCACAACAGCAATTCTATAATGACGGGCGAGGATCAAGAGCTGGATCGACCTACGGCGGTGCTAACAATATCCATGGCAGTGGCGCCGAGATTCCAATGTCGACTATGGGCGGCATGAACATTCCGATGACAGTACCCTCAGGACCATTCATGGGAAGCATGTATGGTGGCAATAGTCGTCCACAGTCTCCTGCGTTCGGAGGTGGCCCTGTTGGTGTTGTAGGATCAATGGGAACACCTGTGATGCCGAATGCCACATTGATCAACACTGCTGTCCCTGGTACTCCCACGCGATCGTTTTCACCAGCACCTCAATTCGCCTACAATACTCATCAACTTCAGCAGCAACCTCAGGTGCCAACACAACTGCAAAGCTTGCCACGAAACTCATGGACAGCTGGATCAATTGTAGGGGGCCAAGTCGGTAATGGAGCAGCAGGCTCGCGTATGAGTACTTCAGACACACCCATGAACCAAAACCAAAACAGATTTTAAGCTATACATACAACGTAGAGTAGTTGGCCGTTTTATTTTTACTGTAATTATTGTCATATAAACAATATCATCATTTCTTCGTTCAAACAACCAGTTATCGTTGATGTCTTATGTTCATTGCACTTGTAAACTCGAAAGGACAAATCTACCACGTGATCACGATGCTGCTGTGGCTTATATTAATTTGTTTTTTTTTTTTTTTTTTTTTTTTTAATGTGTGATACCTATCCTTTTCGGCACCACCCCACCCAGTTTACCTATCCTTCGTCCATTGCCCTACAGCTCTTCATTGTGCTCGGGCTTCACCCTTCTCATCGCCTAATATTATCCTTCCACCATGCCACCAAATGCAAAGTTCAATACGTTGGAGAGGGAGCGGATTTTCAAGAACCCTTCTGACAAGTCTTTCCAGACGCCGGCTCTGCAGGAGTTGGTGGCACCCCATATTGAGGCTTTCAATGCCCTAACAGAGTTTGGCGCTGGCTCAAAGACAGGTCTACTTGACTTAGCCATCGAGGATATCGGCCCCAAGGCTGTGTTCGATAAACATGGCGGTGGACTTGGCAATAAGTTGACTTGTATGTCTTAAAAGAATAATGCAACAGTTGATCAGTTTTTTATTGTAAATTGAGGGAACTTAATACTCAATCAATTCTGATGAAAAATCCTTGGAATAGACTGGGTGGATGAAATCTCACTAAGCAAGCCCATGCTCTCTGAAAAAGAACGTTACTCAAAAACTCGCCAGATCTATCCCACCGAGGTATCCACCCACTTGTCAAGCTTGATAAAAAAAATAAAAAAAAAAGGCATAAATTAAGACTTTGATTACTGAACAGAGTAAGCTTTTTACATGTATAGGCTAGAGAAAGACTCAACACCTATAAAGGAAAATTGCAAGTTAAGCTTGCATGGCGTGTCAACGATGGACCCGTTGTTGTTGAGAATCGTGATATGGGTCTGGTACCGGTCATGATTCGATCCAACCGATGCAATCTGGATGGCGCTTTCCCAAAGGAGCTTATCAAGCATCATGAAGAATCAGAAGAGTTTGGAGGATACTTTCTAGTCAACGGAATTGAAAAGTTAATTCGTCTATTGATCGTTCCACGCCGCAACCACGTCATCGCCTTGATCCGCTCCAGTTTCACCAACCGTGGGCCTACATACTCTAGCTACGGTACAGCCATCCGATGTGCGAGACCTGATCAAACTTCTCATACCAACACTGTCCACTATTTGACCGATGGAGGTAGCATGCTCAGATTTGCGTGGAGAAAGCAGGAATACCTAGTCCCTACTATGTTGATTTTGAAGGTTAGGGTTGTGATTATGAAGCGATGTTGTTAGGATGATGACATATATTCAGGAAACAGGCTAATCTTTCTTTTTTATAATGCTCCGGCAGTCATTAATTGAGACCTCGGATAAGGAGATTTTCGACAGTATTATGTTAGGTGACTTGGGCAACACCTTCTTAACAGACCGTGTTGAACTTATGCTTCGCAGCTTCAAAACATATGCTCTTCATACGCGCGAGCAGTGTTTGGCCTACCTTGGAGATAAATTCAGAGTCGTCATGGGTTTTCCTGAAGATCACACTGATGTCGAGGTTGGTGAGGGGTTGCTTCGCAAGATCATCCTTGTTCACTTGAAGAATAACCGGGACAAATTTAATCTTTTAATGTAAGGAAGGGAAATATATGCAGATTGCTTCAATGATGCCATCGATGGAATCAAGAAAAAAGGAAAAGCGTATTGTCAATTTGATCAAAAGTGCTGATATAGTTTCTTTGCGATATTTCCTCTCCAGCTTCATGATTCGCAAGGTCTATGCTCTTGTCGCTGGTGAGTGTGCACCCGATAATCCAGATTCTCCTCAGCATCAAGAAGTGCTCTTGGGCGGACATTTGTACGGCGCCATTATCAAGGAGAAGATTGAAGATTGGCTGAACGGCATTAGAGCACAGATCAACCAGGATGTTCGTCGCAAGCTTGCGGGCGTCGACTTTTTGGATAGTAAGTTTATTCAAGTAGTTAGTCTAAGGAGAACTAGGGTCTGTAACAGTTGTATGATATGCGTCTGTGCGATAGGCTAATACGTAATTTCTTACCCAATAGACCATTACTTCACAAAAACACTTCAGAAGCTCTCGGGTTTGCAGGATATTGGTCAAAAAATGTCCTATTTCTTAGCCACTGGAAACTTGGTATCAAATACGGGTCTGGATTTGCAGCAAGCAACTGGTTACACCATCGTTGCTGAAAAGCTCAACTTTTATCGTTTTCTGGCTCACTTCCGTTGTATCCATCGTGGTTCTTTCTTTGCCGAACTCAAGACTACCACTGTTCGTAAGCTGCTTCCAGAGGCCTGGGGTTTCTTGTGTCCAGTTCACACTCCCGATGGTTCGCCTTGTGGTTTATTAAATCACCTGTCTCACACCTGTAAAGTTATCACACAGCCAGCTAACGTCTCTCGTCTGCCCTCAATATTGGCATCATTGGGAGTGTCTCAGACCTTGGTCCCCGCAAACGGTCAGAACACAGTAGTTATCCAGTTGGATGGACGTATTGTTGGATATTGCTCATCACAGAAGGCCAAAGAAGTTGCTGATGCTCTTCGTCAGTATAAAGTTAGTGGCGCATACCAAGGAGCCGTTCCACTCGATCTCGAACTGGGATATGTCCCTGTCTCGCAAGGCGGTCAGTATCCTGGTCTTTACATCTTTTCTACTCCAGCACGTATGATGCGCCCGGTACGCTACCTGGCCAATGGTAAAACCGACATGGTTGGGTCGTTTGAGCAAGTTTACATGGAAATCGCCTGTATGGACGACGAAGTTCGTCCTGGCGAGAGTACACATCAGGAGCTCGCCCCCACAAGCATGCTTAGTATTCTGGCCAACTTGACGCCCTTCTCAGACTTTAACCAGTCTCCTCGTAATATGTACCAGTGTCAAATGGGTAAACAGGCAATGGGAACGCCTTCTACTGCCATCAAGTATCGTACCGATAATAAGATGTACCGTCTGCAGACTGGACAAACACCTGTTGTCCGCCCCGCACTTCATGACACTTATGGTATGGATGGATTCCCCAACGGTATGAATGCTGTTGTCGCTGTCATCTCGTATACTGGTTATGATATGGAGGATGCTATGATCTTGAACAAGTCTTCACATGAGCGTGGATTTGGTTATGGTACTATCTACAAGTCTGAGATTGTGGATTTAAGCGACTTTAGGATTCGCGGAGAACCTATTCTTCACCACTTTGGCCTAGGCTTAGATGCCCCGCGCGCTTGGAGAGAAAAGCTGGATAAGGATGGTCTTCCGTTTATTGGAGTCACATTAAGGGAAGGCGATCCTCTCTGTGCTTACATTGACGATACCACGGGCAAGACTTCGATCAAGAAGTACAAGAGCATGGAGGAAGGTATTGTTGATGAAGTCCGCCTTTTAGGATCAGATAATGGTGACACTGAGCTCCAGAAGATCCACATTAAGCTTCGCATCACACGTTCACCCATTATTGGAGACAAATTTTCATCTCGTCATGGACAGAAGGGAGTTTGTTCACAAAAATGGCCGGCAGTCGATATGCCTTTTTCAGAATCAGGTATCCAGCCTGATGTCATTATCAACCCTCATGCTTTCCCTTCACGTATGACAATCGGAATGTTTGTGGAAAGTTTGGCAGGAAAGAGTGGCGCACTTCATGGAATTGCACAGGATGCGACGCCCTTTACTTTTAATGAGCAATTCACAGCAGCAGATTATTTTGGAGAGCAACTCAGGGCTGCCGGATATAACTACCATGGTAACGAGCCTATGTACAGTGGTATCACAGGAGAAGAGTTCAAAGTTGATATTTATCTTGGGGTAAGTTTGCGTTCTTAGTTCTGATTGTATTGCAGCAGGATAAAACAGAGTCATGGTTGTCTGACTTTTTTTTACTTTTTTTGCTTTTTCATGTAGGTGGTTTACTATCAACGTCTTCGTCACATGGTTTCTGATAAGTACCAGGTGCGTACGACAGGTCCGGTCCACAACTTGACGATGCAGCCTGTCAAGGGTCGTAAGCGTGCAGGAGGAATCCGTTTCGGAGAGATGGAACGTGATTCGCTGCTTGCACACGGAACTTCCTTTTTATTGCAGGATCGCTTGATGAATTGTTCAGACTATTCACTTTGCCATGTATGCACAAGGTGTGGAAGTATCACATCACCTATCTCTGCGCATGCTTCGGGATCCCTGTCTAGTGTGCGTGAGATTGAGTGCCGAGCCTGCCAAACATCATCAGGTATCGATCAGATCGCATTGCCCTATGTGTTCCGATACCTTGCAACGGAACTCATGGCCATGGGTATCAAGGTGACATTAAAGACACAACCTTAGATAAATATCATTCAGATGAAAAGGAGTACGAAGTAGACCATCTATCTTTTTTTTTTTTTATATCAAAATTAAAATCATCATAAACACTTTGCATTCTCTCTATTAAATCAAGCAAATTGATTGAAAGTGGCTGCTTTGTCAATATTTCTGGAAGGCACAATGTGTAATCACAAGTCGACATACGATGTGTCTCTACTGCTCAATGGCACCAAGTGCTGAAGCACTAACAAAAATAAAAAAGTGCTCTTCCTAATTTGTTAAAAAAAACCTATACCCACAAAGCATCAATTGCTGCTGCTACCACAAAGGGAGTAGTATTGTCCTGACTATCAGTGATCTTAAAGCTGTCGATATAATGTCTTCTGCAAGATGTTTTTCGTCATGACTATCTCGACATTACCTTATCTCGATGTACAAATCCATACAGTTCAAAGATGCTCATCAACAATAAAAAAAGTTAAAGACGAGCCTGGGTTACAAGAGCGCTTTGCAGATACTGTCTTTGTTGTTATTTGTTGTTATGCCTGTCTACTACGGCTTACATAATCTGCCATATGCATTGGCACGGTTGGATCAAAGATCAATTGGGCTATCGTGGCTTTGATCCTTGTAGAAAAGCAGATTTATACACAACCCCAATCTCTATTACGTCTTCTACGCCTTGCCTATTGTAACGCGCCATGTTCATTGTCCGCCACAGGACTCGTGCGCTGTTCTGCCACCGTTCCCCAATCTCATCCCCAATACCGCTTTCACGGCAACTGCACCCCTTGTTTCGTGTCTCTAACACGTGTGTCGCTTCTGCTTCTACATTTCATCGAGGCCCTTCGTCCTTCTCCTCTCCTCTCCTCTTTTCTACTCGCACCATTCCAATTCCCCATTGTCGACTGATTAGACGCTCTGGATCCATTGCGACAACGACACATTTATTCATTTTTCAAAATTATTCAACTCGGACTGAGTTTCTACAACAAGATCGCCACGCTCTGTTGAATAAACGTATAAAGACGTTTGCTGCCCCGATGCCTCGGTCTTACGCTGTACATAATTACTTTTATTGAGATATCGATGTAAATCTTATTTTAAGATATCCCCTGTGGTTTATTCTTACAATGCTGTTTTTTTAAATATTCCTTCTTCATCTCCTGTATCCAGGATGCTGTTAACAAGCTCAATGGATTGCAGACAAACTTTGCTGCACTTAATGATTCCAAGAAGTCAACAAAAGCGTCGCTACCACAGATGCTTGACTTTGTCGCGCGGACTGGATACCAAGTAAAAAAACACTAATAATAATGATTATAGTAATAATGCTTATAAAAACAAAATGCAACTGACGACTGCTATTTTTTTGTTTCATAGCCTGAGGATTTTGATGAGCTTAACTTAATCCATGTCACTGGCACCAAAGGCAAAGGTTCAACCTGTGCCTTAACCGAGTCTATCCTCAGGAATTATGAAGGCTCGAAGAAGATCAAAACTGGTAAGTTTCAAGATCTATTCATGAAATGAATGGACTGGACTAACCAAAAGTGTATTGATCAATATCTAATTTATTCATTCCTTGTCACAGGATTGTATACGTCGCCACACTTGATGGAAGTCAGGGAAAGGATTAGGATTAATGGGGTACCCCTCAGTCAGGAGTTGTTTGCAAAGTACTTTTTTGAGATCTGGGATCGTTTCGAATCCAGTGGCGTAAGTAAAAAAAAAAGAGTGTCGTTAGTGACATTCCTTCCTCGCTTGTATGGGAAAAATTATGACAAGTGTATTTGGCAGACGATTATGATAGCCATTCATAATTTGCAGCACATAATCGATATGGCTGTCATCTATGGTTATCTGGTAGAAAATCATTGCCAAGAAAGACCATTTTTGATGACTAACTTCTCTTTTTTTTTTTTTTTTTTTTTTTTTTTTGAGGAATAGGATAAATCAAAGCCTGGTTACTTCCGGTACTTAACCACATTGGCTTTTCATGTATTCAAACAAGAAAAGGTCGATGCGGCCATTATGGAGGTTGGTATAGGTGGTACATATGACTCAACCAACATTATTATAAAGCCTGTGGTTTGTGCTGTAGCAGCATTGGGTATTGATCACGTTTCGGTACTGGGATCGACATTGGGAGAAATCGCATGGAACAAAGGGGGTATTTTTAAACGGGGCGTCCCTGCTATCACAACTGAACAGCCCGAAGAAGGTCTCAGTGTCCTTAAAAGTAGAGCTGAGGAACTCGGGGTAGGAAGCAATTATCCAATTAACGAACTATAGTTTACCAAAAAACCAAATCGAGGCTGCTAAACTTCCTCTTTCTGATTGGTGAATGTCATCATGCTATAGGCAGAGTTTTTCAAGATTATCCCTCCTTTTTCAAATGTAGAGTTGGGTGATGTGACAATTGGTTTAAATGGGAAGCATCAAGTATCAAATGCCGCTCTAGCTAGCGCCATCTGTCGCATTTGGATCGAAAAGGTGCTGGGAGATAAAATCGAAGAATCTAATGAATCGATTCCCAAGGCGTTTATCAAAGGCCTTACAAATGCCCGGTGGCCAGGCCGTGGCCAGATCATGGTCAGGGATGATAAGCCCAAAATAAAATGGTTCTTTGATGGAGCGCATACTGCTGAGAGCACTACAGTTTGCGCAGCTTGGTTCAAAGATGTCAGTCAGTCAAATCTCCACGGGTATGGCGATTACGCAAAGATAGTGATGGCAGAATAACAATGTCTATAATGGCAACCTAAATATTTCCTATTAGAGCTAACGTGAATCTGAAAATTAATCGTTCGGTTCATGATATAGAACTGTCAAGAGAGTCCTCATTTTTAATTGCACAGGGCCTAGAGACGGTGACAAGCTTTTAGGGCCTTTGGCCAAGATCCATTCTGTGGTTCATTTTGATCAAGCAGTTTTCACTCCGACTATCACATTTGCTTCTAATACGTATAAAGGGGATCTAGTGAACAACACTGCCCCAATCGATCCCGAACTTACGACCCAGAAAACCTTAGCAGAATGTTGGACCCGACAGCTTGCACTAGCTTCTGGCTTGGAATCTGGAACACAGCAGGCAGACCAGGTGAATACGACGGTGCTTCCATCGATAGAACACTCTGTCATTTGGGTTGATGACTATGTCAAGAGTCAGGTCGAGCAAGGAGTAGATCAGGTCCAAGTATTGGTAACGGGAAGTCTTCACCTTGTTGGTGGTCTGCAGTCTGTCCTTGGTTGCGAAGTTGCATAGAGTAGTTTTTGTGCGAATATTTCCTTGCGAAAAAGGCGTCAATACATTTTTAAAATATGTCTTGCTTTAAATTAACTGAGAAGCAGTCACATGGTGACGTATATTAGGCTATTATTATACTGAACCCAAATTGATTGATTTATTTCTCCTCTAAGACCGTTACTGCCTAGAGTTTTTCACTGCGCTTATAAAAAAATAGGCATCGCATCATCCTTACTCTGTTGATCACGCCTTACTTTGTTCATCGCGCTTTTGGACTTATATAATTCCCCCAATCATCTTTCTTCATCTCAATAACGATACCAAGGGTTGTGCTCGTATTACTCGACCTTTTGAACAGCAAGAACTTTTATTGCTTCATAGTAAGAATAAGCTTTTAAAGAATGAACAAAGCGCACATAAATCAGTACCTTAGTGACAATAAATGACAATTGGTTGTATTGTTGAGTTATCAACAAAGAAATCAAGATAGCGTTCCTTCAAGAATTTGAAATACAATATTTCTTTTTACACTAAAGCTTTTCTCTAACTTTCAAAGTCTTTATATTTAGTATCTGCCATCCTGTTTCTGACTCTTTGTAAGCACCCCGTCGCCTGGATTGTCAGTGTGGGGATAATTTGAGGCTAGGGAAAAGAAAGAAAAATGTCAGAAACATTCACTCAGGACATCTGCCTGGTCGAGAAAATCCTCGAAAAAAGAACTAATGCGGAGACTGGGGTCGTTGAGTATTTGATCAGATGGCAAGGAGAAGATGCACAGGGGAAAGGATATGAGGATTCTTGGGAACCGGAGCAAAACATACTTGGTCAAGAACTTATCGAGGAATTTGAACGCAGACAGGAAGAAAGGCGCCCTCAGCGTCGGCGGTCAATTGATAGATCTAATGGTGCAGATACATGGCAGGATGTTCACAAAGGTTTCAGCTCTCGTCTGGACCACACAACAGGGGCAACGCCACATAAACAATCACTACGGCATTCATCCTTATCGAGCTTTTCAAAGCCGAGGTTTACTCACCCATATATTCCTCATGGAAGTTCTTCAGGACCCTATACGTCCCAATTCTTTGATACAGGACCATATCCTGCCTTCCCACGTCACCTCTCTTCTTCGCATGGTAGCTATTATCATCCCATACCATATCCGTTTAATGTTCGCCCAGCTTATGCCAGATACGATCCCTCAAAATCTCTCAAAAGAAAAGCTACCTCTGAAGCCATTGGCCACAAGGCCATAACAGATCCAAACAAGCTTGACTCTGGTCTCCAGAATGCTTCGAATCAGGATGCTACCAACACAGACGATGCGAAACGAGCAAAGGTGAGATGAAGGCTAAGTGGAGTGTTGAAGCTCATTTTTTTGTGAGTCTGATTTTCATAAATCTCCCTCGTTTCGTTTGTTGACTTGAATTTTTATTCATAGGCTGGGGATCACACACATAATCGTGATCAAGCTGTCAAATACCATGCCAGGAGACAGCCTTTGGGCACTGCCAACAATGGGCAGGGACAAGCAACATTTCGGCTACTGAGTCTGGACAATTCTAATGAAAAGGCGTTTTTTAGATCCGTCATCGAAAAATCGACCCTAGTGAGCGATGCTGTCATGCGCACGGAGCTTTTGAAATTCCTAAGGAATCCGAAGAAGCCAGGTTCGCAAACCGTTTATTGTTATGATATGGAAAAGAATAAGGGCAGCTCGAAAGAGAAAAGATATTGACATTGGCATAATTGGCATATAATATTTATCAAAATCAGATCTAGATGAAGACTCTATACTTAGAACCTCAGATGCATGGCTTATTGAAATTAAGAAGCAGACAGGGGCCTCAGGAAGCTTGTTCTTGGCAATAGATGTTCTAAACGGGATTGCAAAAGCGCTTTTCATCCCAGAACATATGCTTGAACAACAAAGATTGGCACATCCAGAACAAGGCATAGTGATAAAGGATCCTCATATCTTAGCAGCTATCATGCAGGGTGATATAAATGGTAACTGCTTAGCGGTCTCCACAAGTGCAGAAATAGCGAAAGTTATTTAATACTGCATTTCTGACTAACCAACTAAATCTTTGTTTTGGTGTTTTTTCTTGTTATAGGCTCTGGTCTTTACGAACCTTCTACCTCAGTTTCAAATGATATGTCATCACAGCAACCATTAGTCCCTTCGGTTACAGAGCCACAGAAGCCTGAAATTAATGGTTATAATGCGGGAAAGGAGTTATCCAGTAACCAACATCAACAGAGTTCTGCTATTCAATGTGAATGGAATGGTTGTCAGCAAAGTTTCCCCAATTTAATGGAACTTTCATCCCATATTCAGCAACAGCATCTGTCTGAATTATCTATTACACGTTCACCTTCGACGTCATCATCAGTTATCAAAAGCGATGGTAGTACAAGCGTAGTAAAACTCTCACCAGATGTAGAGAGTAAATCTGCGCAAGAAATCTATTCTTCACTACAAACCCAGCTGGCTGAGACCAAGTCACTAGCTATGAAAATGGATAAGAGACTAAGAGAATCACAAGCGCTCTACCTCTCTGCCAAAGCTGCATCTACAGATGAAGTGAAACGACTTGAAGCGCGTCTCGAATGGGAGATGAAGAAGTGGGATGCGTATCAAAGCCAAAAGAAAAAGATGCGGGCTCATAGTAATGTTACCTCTGACTTGAACACTGGATCAGGATCCAAAGCTGACGATCGAGCAGAATCTGAGAGCATGGCAACCTCAGAAGTCCCTAACTTGGAAGATCATAAACTGGATATGCCTATGGGTGCACAGTCCGCTAATTCTATCCGCGATATTCAGAGAGCATTGGCAGCAGCCAAGAAGAGTTTGGTGCGTTTGGAAGACGAGAACATGAAGATATATGATGAAAGGCGTGCTTTTGATAAGGCGATCGCAAAGTTGGATGAAGAACTTGAGCAAGCAGCCGCACAACTAAAGGCTGCTGAGACTAGAGAACAGATCATATGTGATGAGCTTAAGAGCCGATCTCAAAATATTGAGGGATGTAAAACAGCCATGGAACAGGAGCAGCTCAAATCGCAAGAGAAAATGAAACAACTACAAGCTTTGATCGGAAATTATTCGCAGTCAGGGACCTTACCTATCGCTGTAGCTCCCACATCCACATCCACATCCACATCGATATCTACATCCACGCCCACACCTATATCTACATCCACGCCCACACCTATATCTACATCCACGCCCACACCTATATCCACATCCGCACCCACACCTGCACCTTCATCCACACCCATCCAAGCGCCTTCACCCGCACCAATACCTACATTCTCCACATCAATATCATTATCGTCACCCAAACAACAAGATTTAGCTCATCAATCTTCCTCGCTACTTCCAAAGGACTCCTCAGAGCCGAGCCCAGATTTATCCACTGGCACGAATATCAGTACGGCCACCAGCTTCATTGACATGTTAACCAAATCAGTCAATGGAAGCGGATCCAATCAACCATATTCGCAGTCTTGAAGGGGTACCGGTTCATTCTTACCGCCTCTAGCAAAATAATTACACCCTTTTCCATTTCCTTTTTTCTTTTATGTATTCAATTTCGCGTTCTCGAGCTATTTATTTTTTTTATCAAAACGCTCACATCATGTCATGTCATATTATTTCTTTCTTTCTTTTAAGATACCTGTAACCTATAGACCGCGCTTTTTTATTTTTTATTTTTTATTTTTTATTTTTTATTTTTATTCCTTCACTTTCCTTCCTTTTGCATTTGTTAATCTACTTGACAAGCGTTCAAGTATTCCAAAAAAGATCATACAGGTTTACTTATTCTTTTTTTTTTTTTTATTTTTATTTTTTATTCCATAACCTCTTCATCATCAAAACCCGCGTGTTTGATGCCAAACCTCAATATACTATTCTATAGTGTTCTCTCAAAGTTCCTCTAATATACCTAAGAAGCGCTGTTAGATGTCAATGAAATTATAGAATCATTGCTGTGTGATGCGCATACACGTATCTTTGGCGTGTCTATCTGCTATCTTATCCTATTCTGTTGCAAAACCTGTAGTCCCTAACCTGCCCTCAAGGAGTTTGTACCTCTCATCCTATATAGAAGACAGAGAAGAGGAAGGCTCTTTTACGGTATTATTGCCTACACGAGAGATTACTAAATATGAAATATGATAGATGGAGCAATCGAGTCCAAGCCTTTATTAGGTCACAAATCTATGGGTGATCTTTTGATTATACTATTAAGTAAAAGGGAATTTTCATATCATGCTAGATATGAAAACTAAAGAGTATCAACTATGAAAAAGGAAACGACTGTTTAACAAAATTAGAAGAATAAGTATGAAAAAGACACGACTGTCCCCCTTACCGTCTCCGTGATCAGATTCTCATTCTATGCCTCTCAAACTCATTTGCATAGCAAAGCACGAGTTGCAAGAAGTTGTGGGTTTGAAAAATAGCCTGCGATAGCCTGTGTGGTTGTGGCACCAGCCGGTGGCACCAGCCGGTGGCACCAGCCGGTGGCTACCTCATCTGAACCGTTCAAGTACAGAAGCCTTGAAGTGCTGAGAAATACCCTTTTATTTTGGCACAAATTCGGTTTCTCCTTCCTTGCATTTACGCGTTAAAGACAACCAAAAGAAGAAAAAGTGCGTCATAGGAAAAGACCTGTATCAGTTGCTTTAACAGCCGTTATATTCTCATGTAATTTAGAGAAAAGAAGCAGTATACCTTTTTCCCTCTCTTTCAAAGATAACGTCCATAGACCGCAGAGTCACAGCAACAATATTTGAACATGATGTGAGAAAGCATTTTGTTGAGAGTAATGTTTGGAGAGAATATGACAGATGGAAAGCAAGCTGTCAAAACAAAGTAGATTAGAATAATGAAAATCAATTGTCTAGAGCCGCTCTGTTGATCATATGCCGATAGAGGCATTCCTGGGGCACCTAAATTAGCATGAGTCAACTTGGATTTCTGTCTCCATTGTCTTCGTGAGCGCACGATCCACCAAAGTACGGCATGGATATATTAGTAAGGATTAATTACTATATGTCTATTTTATTATCTTTGTCATCTATGAAATTAAGATTCCTATGGCTTACACAGTCAAACTCAAGCTTGCAACGGCTTTCTTAGCCTCGGAAGCCTCATGTTCGTACTTCTCGATCTTGGCATGAGATTCAGCCAACTTCTTCATTAGCCACTTGACTCGGGTATCAACTTCCTTGGGAACTTTATAACCTCCAAATATCCAAGATCCATCCTTGTGCAACAGGCTAGATAAATCTTTCAGCTCTGCTTCATATTTGGCCACTTTGACCATCTCTTCCTTCTCAAGATAGTTAGCTGCCTCAAGATCCATCACGGCTCTGAATCCTGCGTCGGACAAAATCTCTTGGAATGCAGCACGATAAATAGGCTTACCAGGCCGAAGTGCAAAAGGTCGTCCTAACAAGACAATAGCAACCACAATAATAGCAATAATATAAAGGAGTTGAGGTCGCTTTAAATTCAACCCATCTATAGTCAATGGCGCTCTTCCCAAACTAACGTCGTCCCCGTATTCATTAGGATTCTTTTTTCTTACCATTTTTATGGACTATAGATATCAATTCAACTTGTTCCATTGCACCAAAAGGCGATTCATCGTTTTTGAACAAGGGGTGGATCTTGAGTTCGTTAAAGTTGGCAGGTTCGCCAGAAACCAGTTGTTTCATCACGACCCAAAACTGCATTGGCGTCCAGCCTAGAGTCCTGCCGTCTGTACTGTCGAAATCAAATGCACTTTTCCTGACCTCAACCACAGCACGACTCAGAATATCATGGAGCGCATCTATTTATTTATTAACATAAAACAAAAGCATAGACACCAGTTAGTTATTGACTCTGTCTTTTCTTTTTCTTCTTCTTTTTTTTTTTTACCTTTCCATCTTTACCTTCAGGTGTGATTCCACTCTTGATTTTTTGAACAAACAACTCCAGATCGGTAAGACGACCCCCGATAGTCCGAATAGGCTGGATCAGATCTGGGTACTCCTCGCTATCCAAATGCTTATACACAAACTCAAGAGAGGATTCCAAAGTTGCATCTGCCAGCATGATCGTTTCGAATGTCATATTAGGCAAGGCTGAGAAAAAAAAAAAAAAAAAAAAAAAAAAAAAAGATCGTCAAATAAGAAATCAATACTAGAAATACAGTTTTTTACACTGTAATATGTGAGATATTGTGCGCTACCTTTAGCCAAAGGCTTTGATGCAGAGACATTATTGCTAATAAAAACAACATGAGCGATATGATTCTCAACCAAGACCGCAGCCCAATCAGCCAGATGAGTCCAAAGCTCCTTTGCATGAGGTCCTTTTTCTCTAGACATGTATCCATCAATTACAATGACTGGGATTTCATCCGGATCAATCCACATGGCAGCCTCCTGGTTCTTCTTTTTTTTCTTTTTCTTTAATTTTTTGGTTTCTCTATGACGAGATTCCAAAGACTGAGTCAGCATAGATGACGAGCATGAATTTCCTTTGGCTAGTTCTTCACGCCGAGCCTTTTCCTCAAGTGTTGCCTCAATCTTCTTCATGATCGCCTCGATCGAGAAATTTGACATGTCTCTGGTGGGGGATGCCTCTTGAATCGCGGCAGTTAATGTGTCCAGAATCTTCTTGAGCTGGCCTTCAAATGTTGCAGACAGTCCTAAAAATCAAATCAGTTTTTGAAGAGAAAAGAAAAAAAAAAAAAAAAAAAAAAAAAAAAAAAAGATATATGATGTTCAACTTGAGTTACAAGAATCATTTACTAGTGGAAATTTTACTTTTTTTTCCTTGCTTGTGGTTCATTTGTTACCTGCTCTCTGCCCTGTTGTAGCGGTGATAGCCATGTCCAGCATGTTGTTAATCGTTGACATGAACTGGAATAAAGGGATGTATCCGATCTGCTTAGCTAAATTAGTCAAGAGCTCGCCTTCACTCCTAGCATTAGCTAATTCCTCACAGCGGATGATCACTTTGTTCTTCTTGTTCCTAATTACATAATCCACCATCTCTGTCTTTCCTGCCCCACGAGGACCGTAAATAATTGCAAACGATTCTATGATCCAAAATGTTGAACAAATATAAAAAAAAACATATGAGCGAAGTTTTATGCTAAAAAAAAAAAAAAAAAAAAAAAAGACAGAAAACGAGACCTTAGTGAACCACGTCATCTGTCATTACCTGGTGGGACGCGTAGCCAACTGCGGAGCTTTTCTTCATCATGTTCTCGTTCACGCCATCCAGTAGCCTGCAAAGAGTCCACAGGTGCGCGAGTAAGACGTCCAATGGTCTCTTTTCGCAACCACTTCAAGATGGGATATTCATTGACGTTGAATAGTTGAGTAATCTTGGCATGCATACTGAACTCACGGATCGGATCAAAGATCAAAAGCGATACACCTGCAATAATTGCGCCGCCAAAGGGCACACTCAATCGAGGATGGTTCGTCAACCAGGTCCAGATAACATTCCCTTGTAACGTCCGTTCATAGGTCACACTCATTTTGACGCCATTAATCTCCGCTCCATGTAAACAACTCTTAGCACTGGTGGCTGCACGCATGAATGAGTAGTTGACAATAGCTTGTTTGACAGGCATGTCTTTCACAGGCGGAATCATGACAATGTCAACGATCTTGCCATATTTTCTAAATAGACTGTAGATCGCCTCCACATTTAGTTCGCCTGTGTATTCAATCCTGATTTTGCTGTTTGGGTATCGACTAGCCATATCTTCCAAAAAGGGTGATCCTTTCACTAAGAAGGCTCGGACCTTTTGAAAATTAAACCACATGTAGTGATCATGACTGATCAAATGCTGTTCACAACGACTTTCAATCTCCTTGAGAGCCTCGCGGGTGGTATAAGAACTTGGGCGAACGTATGAAAAATGGACGAACATTCCGCCGTCTTTGAGTCTTTCAAAAAAAAAAAAAAAAAAAAAAAAAAAGTTAGAGAGATATAAAAAGGAGGGATGAAAGGGCTTAAAACAAGATGGATAGTTGAAATTGATGGCTATTGTTCACACAATTGATCGAGGAATATATTGGTCACCCATGCTTTTTACCTTGGCTCAATGCCTCCGATCTTAAAATGAAAAGGCATGGCGTTCTCAGGAGGTACTAATTCTGTCTTGGCCTTTCGCTCGAGTTGTTTCCAGCCAGGCCGCAATAATGAATAGCGAATATCCCACCACCCCATCTTGAGGGGGTAAGCATTATCAAAATATAGCATCCCATATTGTAACGGAAGCTATTATTACGTTTTAAACCCGAATCCCTCATCGTTATTATTTTACCCAACATTTATTGTGGAAATATCTCGAGTCATGATTGGTTTTCAATTAATGTTTTCGAAAAATAAAAATAAAAATTAAAATAAGCCTCTTGGATGCTTTCTTTTTTATACCTCTTCTTCAACTTGAACTGCGGATTGTGATGTATATTTACGAGCCGTAGTCTTGACTTTGGTGGTGCGCAAGAGTGGAATTGCTTGTGTGGAGAGAGAGGCACGAGGTGTGTTGATGGTGGTCGCAGCAGTTGTTGAAGTGGTTGCAATAGGAGAGGCTTTAAGTGTGCGCATAGTCGTTGACCATGACCATGAGGGTGCGACTAGTGTGGTCTGAGCAACAATGGTTTGCTGTCGCCGTATACCCAACAAAGCGCTACTAGATCTGGTAGTAACCCGATACATGGTCGGCTACTTTCTACTTTTTATTTGCCCTTTTTTTATTTTCTATTCCTGAGATGTAGATGAAGAAGAGCTAGAGCCTGAAGAATCTGCTGGAATACTATGGGATGATGAATGAAGAGAATGAGAAAGAACGAAAGTTTTTTGTTCTGCTCGTTCCTTTGTGCCTGTGTTTGCGCTTTGTCCCCTCGGTGTTCCTGAATGGAAATTTAACGGTCGGGCGATGCGCCAAAGGTGTGTGGCTTTGATCTTTTGATTGGAAGATTTCTAATCGCATGCCTTACCACTCTTCTCCGAAAACGGAGATCCTCATGCATTCGACACATTCGCATCACACTATCATTTCTTGCTTTAACACAATGTCGGCCTCTTTACTCGTCAAGCAGGCTATGCGCGTGCCATTTGCTGCTGCTGCCGTCAGACCTGCTGCTTCATCTTCCATCAAGCTCTACTCAACCTCAACTTCAACAGCCTCAAACTCAACTTCCGTCACAGAGGCTGTTGAGCCAACCACCACCCTTCAAGCGGAGATCATCAGTGGTGCTCCTGGTGAGTTTTTCTTTATCTTTTCGAAATAACCAATGCAGCGCGGGAATGAATCCAAGAAAAGGAATTGCTTTTGTATCAGGATCTGTTAAAAGATAGTCATATGTCATGGTTCCGTTGTGCATGGATATAATGGAGAAAAATAGTTCAATCTCGCTCAGACCATGAAGTGACGTGGAGGAGAAGGGTTTTTCTTCTGCCTCTGTTTTTTAATAGGACATGACAGCAACTAGAATCACTAAAGGACTAAAGAAAATAATAATATATGCAATTAGTGAAAATATACCCATGCTAATGTTTTCTGCTTAATTTACCTATGGCCCTATATTAACTAGAGGAGGTTCGTTTCCATCCATGCCGTATCTACCAACAGGCAAAGGCTGCTACTCAGTCCGGAATCGCTAACACTGGATATTGGCGACTTGACTTTGACACTGAGCTTGAAGCTGAACGTTTTGAAAACGAGTTGATTGGCTGGGCTTCAACGTACGGATTGACTTTTCTTTTATTATTTTTTTTGCGAACAACCTTATTACTCTTTCATTCACTAATCCATTCGCCCATTGCATTCTTTCACTCTCTTAAAATAGTTCTGATTATATGCATTCCCTTGCCATGAAATTCAGAACTAAGGAAGATGCTATTGCCTTTGCCGACAAGCAAGGTATTTTTTTATTATTATTGTTATTCAATGCAGGAGATCTTATAATGCCATTGAAGCATATTGGATTTAAGAAAGTATTATCGAGTACACTATTAACACGGATATATTTTATTTCTTAGGTTGGGATTATACTGTTCAAGAGCCTAACAAGAGGGTTTTCAGGAAGAAAGTCTATGCTGACAACTTCAAATACTCACCAGGCAAACTTCGTTTTGTTAAGACCAAGTAAAATAAACGGCGAAGAAGTAAAAAAAAAAAAAAAAAAAAAAAGAGAATAAATAAGCATGACAACCATCAACGACAATCGATGCCGCTCTCTAAATTCTCTTACTGGCGAGAATAGTAGAAGGATGCGCTGACTAGGAAGATGAAAAATTTATAGAACTATCATTTAAATGAATGAAATACACAAAACTCCACTCTTATTTAAATATATCTTAGTTATAACGGACGTAGTATTTTTTTTTTTAGTTATTTTACATGGTATACCGAAGAACTAGTTGCGTTTTTTTTTTCTTCATTGCTTTTTTTTCCCGTTACTAAAAAGGAAATCAGTGCGCTAGACATATACTCTAAGAGATTCTACAGCATTGGCTGAGCGAGTTCCAGAAACCGCCGTTCCTCGGCCTATCCAAGGAATTTCCAGCCCATTTCTTACCAACTACTGTGATTTCGTAAATACCATCATCCTTACTTGGTTCATGGGGTTTGATATCTTTGCTACCATCGTCTTTGTCGTCGTCATCCATCCACCAAAGCAATATCTGCTCTCCATCGTTCCATTTCCAGCGCCCACCAGAGACAGTTACTGAGCAAGCAGCATCTTTTCTGTCCAATACCACCGACCTTGCATCGTCTCTCAACGAATTCAAATACTCATCAGCACATGGAAAATGGATACGAGGGAGATAAATCTCTGTGGGTTCATGAATCTTTCCAGGCTTGGGTGAATTTAAAGGATTGGACAGCGCGCTCTCAGTCTCTGCATGACGCATCGGCTTGAATGAGAACTTAAATGTTACTGTACTTAGTGAAAATGACAGTTCCAAAGGAATACCGGCCACTTTTTGAGCAAAGGGTCGGCAGAACGCCGCCACAGCACGTCCACCCATATCAGGTGACACGTGGTCGAAGCTCAAAGAGCTGTTGACACTGCCAACCTTGGTGTCACTCTTGTAGACATCGCTTGAGCCATCTAACAGGGGCTGGTTGGAGGACGTACTTGAGGAGGTTGATTTAGAGGAGCTTGCTGAAGAGGCAGGAGCTGATGACAATTTTGCTACCCTCGGATGGGTGGGCACTGACTTGACATCATTACCCACACCTGTAACAGCTGCAGCAGCATCGAGCGATGGGCGCCTTGTAAGCGAAGGAGTGTCCTGGGCTTCGATATAATTCTCTGATCCAACATCATGAAGACTGAAAGATTCGCTAGCAAGACTTCTTTTACTACCCTTCTTGGACAATCGGCGAGGGTCCTTGTTAACGTCGTTTTTGCTCCAGAGAGACAGGTCTTCACCATTCCATTGATCCCCCCACTTGTGACTATTATCAGGGCAGTAGTTCCAGAGAGTGAAATTGAGGTGATTGGATTCCAACGCATACATATTGGCATCCATTGCCTTGATCTGATCCTTATAATTGCCGTTGGGTTTGTATGATCTGCCGTCATTCATATCATATGGGATCCCAATCTCTCCAATCAGTGTCGGATGTGGCCCAATCGCTAACTGACCCTCCTCCTTGATACAGGCAAGCTGATGTCGGAAACACTCCTTGATAGCCTTCTCCCCAATCTTGATTGCGGATGCATAATTCGGATACCGACCGCGTTTCACACCCAAATAGTCGATATTAAAAAAGTTCCACTTCTTGTTCAAAAGAGTCAACCCATCATACCAATGTGGAGCATATACAATACGGGATGTAATGTCAAAATGCGCAACATCCTCATCATGTGGTGGCGGAAGCGAAGGTGGGATCTCGTTGACAGGAGGTTCCAAAAAGATGATGGCTGCCTTATGGATCGTCCGAATTGCTTGAGCGTATCGTCGACAGAATGGCAAGAAGGACCTCGCATCGAAATTATATTTTTCTCCCGTCTCTGGGTCTTTACTAAAGTATTCAGTATCAAGCACCTGCTGTGTCGACCTATCCCAGACACCATGGTGTGCCCAGATACACTCGCCTGCCTTTGGATAGTTAGGCGAGCGCTTCCACCCAAAGGCTCTATCTTTTTCATCACGTTTCTCTTTATTAAGCCAAGCAGTTACTCCTTTGGGGTCAATCGTTTTGGTTCCCTTCTTTTTTGGACCAAAAAATGTAACAGCCCAAAACTCAACTGTCTGCTTAAGTCCTTGTCCTAACATCATGGCCTGTATTGGAGTTGGTGTGGCATCCTTTTTGAGCTCTTGATGATGCGGAAACTTTGTGACATCTTCTATCCCAATCCATCCAGCAGAAGGTTCATTCAAGGTATCGTATCCAATCACCACATCGTCCTCGATTCCATGCTGAGATGTGATGTATTCTGCTAGAGCCATATAGCTCTTGATGTAGTGTGTTTGAAGGTAATCCTGTATATTCATCTGATCGATAATGCAGTCTGGTGCAAAAGTTGAGCCTCCAAAGAAGAGTGTAAACATGGTCGCGGCGGCCAACTTGTTATAATTTGTTGCCCAGACCATTTTGGGGAAATTTACAGGATCTTCATAAAAGTTCTGGACAAGGGCCGCATTCGTTTGGCTAAAGCAGCTGGGATCAAGTCCAGCTAGGTATAATGTCCACAAAGGTGCCCCGGATCCTCCAGAAAAACGAGACCACTAGCAAGAGAAGGATTGACAATTTAGTTCATCCACCAACTATTGGCAAACATAAGCTATTGCGTTATTCTGGACCAGAGAATAAGAGGGCCTACCACATCTTGATGGGGATCAATAAAGCACTTGAAGCCATACTGTTTGCATTTGCGGAGCACTTTAACTAAATACTCAAAGTAGTCGTAATCATATTTGCCACTATTAATCGCAAAGTACAAAAATATCGGGTATGGTCAGCAAAAAAGAATTAGAGTTTGAGGTCTCGAATGGTAAAAAAATTGGCGCTAGATATCATCCTCTCTGACCCCCGCGCCCCATCTATGACTTTTATATTCCATTGATATCGTCTGATCCTTGAAAAAGGACCGATGATGTGATCAAACGAGTAATAGACAAAAAAGGGACTCAAAGACGAACACAAGTGTAAGAGGAAAAAAAAAAAAAAAAAAAAAAAAGTGGCCTGATTTTTCTCCACAGCTCAAAGGGACAAACAGCAACGTGCGCATGTTTAGGAGAGAGTCATTAGACACTTATCACTCTTGATCTGCATCAACAAAGGGAGTACAAGACGCCCATGCATCTGTACACAACTACAGATATGCATGTCGAGTTGACAATTTGAGTCTCAAAATGATGCGCTTTGGTGGTGGTTTCAGTCATGTTCATGTTCTAATTTTTTAGTGAAAAATATGAAAAATACAACTGCTGCGTTCACTTTTCGGTCATCCCGTGTTGGTAATAGATTAGTGGGCACAGACAACAAAATTGTATTTGCCTCATTTCACTTAAAAACATTCCCTCATCGAGAACATTGCACTACTGCACTGCACCGATGTTACATGACAAAAAAAATGATACTGTACTGCAAGAAACATCATTCCCAACAGTCTAAAATTAATAATCGGATTGACTTACGGTCCAGCATGCTCGATCGCCTCCCAAGTAACAATAAATCGTAAAAGATTGAACCCCCAGTGCTTGAGTCGGCCCAAGTGCTCATCTGCATCTTCAAGAGGAAAAGGCCGACCGACGAATGAAACTTTTGTTCCATTTGAATCAAGAAACCCTTCCAGCTCGTGCGAAGAACCTCCTATAGGCATCTTGGATGCACCTGACAGATTAACACCACGAAGGGTCACGGTGCGACCGGTGTGATCCTTAAACCATGGACCACGCAGGAAGAGTGGATCAGTCGAGGTGGGATGATGTCCTTCTGAAGAGAACATGCTTTGTTGCGACTTCCCGATCTCTGGAGACTGAAGATTGTCATTGGTAAATGGTTTTTGTGTGGGAGTAGGCGAGGCTGTAGTTGATGTGTCCAATGAGGCATTGGAAGCTGAATCAGCAAGGGTATGAAGGTGTTGATTGCGGCTTTGAGCATCATCTGTCAACGTTGTCGAAGACTGTGAAAGAGGAAGAGTATTATTTGTCATGATAGAACCTTTAGTGCGCTGAGAAACAGTGCTTCCTACTAAGATTGATGATAGCGGTGATTGCAACGAAGAAGAAGCAGGATAACTGCCGACAAAGGCCAAAGATGAAATTGGGCCAGAGGATATGTGTGGGGATGACAAGCGCAGCAAGCAAGTTTTTAAAGACAATGAATAAATGCAAGAGTTGAAATGAGAAGCAAGACTTTTGTGTTTAGTGTTTGGCTGAAGAGAAGTATAGAGGAGGAAAGAAAGGAAGAAAAAAAGAAAGGAAATGAATGAGCAAAAAAAAAAAAGAAAACCTAGGCTGATGTGCACAGGTAAGCACAGGCGAAAGAAACAGAGAAACAGGGATGCTGTAACCTTAAAAATATATATCCGTGAGTGTGCAATTGTGAATAATAAAATTTCTAATGGACATGAATGTGTAATGAAGCGTCCATCCGACTTTTTAATTCACAAATTGCATTCCTCACACTGCATACTACATACCCCATTGTACCTCATCACTTATACATAACTTTTTTTGCATCCATAACTTTGCATGTCCATGAACCATGAAACCGACCCTACTGCTACTTCCATATCTACAACGGACCCTGCAAACAATAATGACAACAATGTTGACACAGAGGCGGACCAGCCCCCTTCACTCAATATTGTTAACACTACAAGTCCACATTCCATCTCACTACAGCAACAGCAGCAGCAGCACTGCAGTCTGAAAGATCCTCTTTATTCTTCTTCAGGGTCATATGCTGTAACCAGCACACCTCTTCCTCGTCAGAGCAGACTCTTTCTTCAAGCACCAGGACAATATTCACAACTATCTAGCCTGAACCACCACAGTAGCAACAGCGATAATAGCAGGAGCAATAATAACCCAGAGCTTTTACCTGGTCCTATAGCACCCTCCTCGCCGCCTCACCTTAATTTATTAGATAACTCTGGTCAACAGCATCATCACCAGCATCATGTCGTCTTCTCAAATATCAGCCCAAACCATAGCCAGGAATCCTTCAATGATGCTGAAAGATTGAGCGAGAACGAAGGACTCCTTCCTAGGCGGAGACGCTCTTCATTCAAGATTGACGATAATCCATCAGCGACACTCAAACTAAGATCACGTTCAGTAGCATCCCGAAGCTCAACTTCCTCGATGCGAGATCGCGTCGTACATTTCCCTGAATCGCCAAACATATCGCTTGTGGGTTCCAGACGATCGTCTATGATCCAGAACCGGTCTTCCATAGCAGGCCCATCAGGAGGGAGCAGTGGTGCAGGAAGTGGAGGAGAACATTCTTCAGGTGGATGGATAAGCGGTATATCCGAAGTCATGGCGAGCGTCTCATCAAGAGTTGTCAACACAAGAGCTCAAGAACAGCTCGTGCGCTCAATATCGTTCTCGCATCCAGAGCAGATTGAAAGCGACTTGGCCGACCATTCACGGTCAAATCAACGTGGGTCTTTCCACAGCGAGGCTGTACAACCCAGTACAGACGTCCCGCCTTGGGTCGCAGTAGCCTCATCAATACATGGCGTGGGCTCTGATCATGGCTCTATCAGAAACTTGAGGCGATCAGCGTCCAAAAGAAGTTCCAGCAGTCATGGAGCAGCAGGCACCGCAAACCTCGGTGCTCACTCCTCTCAACAGGATCAACTTGGGCCACTTCACACCACAGGAAACTCGCGCTCGGGTTCTGGATCGCATCTAGGGAAATCTACTCAAGATGAAGAATCAGTATTTACTCCGGGTGGATTTTCACATCGTGGATCGGACAAAATGCGACTTGAGGGACGTTCGTTTATGTTGTTTTCTCCAGAGAATCCAGTGCGGCTGTGGCTGGCTTCGATTCTTATGTCAAAGTATGTGCTGACTCTGGTAAAATAAGACTTGTGAGTTCAAAAATAATTACTTTAACAACTTCGTTTTGTCTCAGATATACAGATCCGTTTATTCTCGTAGTTATCCTTGCTCAATGGATATTTTTCGTGGTCACCCCAACAACATTTGAAGCAAAGAACGTCTTTGGCACATACTGGACCCATTACGGACTACTGGCAGTGAATATCCTGTACACGTAGGGGGTTTTTTTTTATTTGTGCCTAATACTTTTCAGGCAATGAGTCCATCCAAATTTGCTAAGTTAGCCTCTTCTGATTTTCATTGTTAGACTTGAGATCATGGCTAAAGCCATTGTGTATGGCTTTATCTTTGACCGAAATGGCTTTCAGTGGAAGCGCTGGGTACCCAAAAGGATACATCATTTCTTCATCTCGGAAAAGCGGGCGTCAATGAAACCGAAGCCAGTAGTCCTTGAAAAGCATGAGCATGCACATTCGCTGGCAAGAACTAACAGCGTCCTCTCTCAAGCCTCAACTCTTGAGAAATCAAAAGCTCAAACTAATCAGGCCACGGCAGCGCTAACCGCAGAGGAGAAAATAGAATCATCTGGCTCTAACTTTGAAACTGATGCCCAACCTGCCCATGCACCCTTTTTTAGATCATATTATAATCGCTTGGATGGCGTAGTTGTAATAAGCTACTGGATAGACTTTGCTTTCATGATGACCGGCGTCCAGAAAGTATATATTTTTAAGGCTATCAGTGCTCTCCGGCCGCTTCGATTGCTTTCACTTACAGAAGGAACATCGGTAAGAAACTTATTGGTGTTTCCTTTATTCGTCAATATCAAATTCTGAGCCCATTTATCCTTAATAAGGCTGGAATCTTTTCCTTATACATCGCTATATTGTAGACTATCATCGATTCTCTCTCAATGTCAGCTCCATTGCTGCTTACGATCTTAGGATTCATATTCTTTTTCTTCTTGATCTTGAGTCTCATCGGTTTACTCGTGTTCCAAGGGGCTACATCACGCCGTTGCGCTGTTCAAGATGAGGACGATCCTACCAGCTGTACGTTCTGGATATCCTAATACATCTACTTCTAAAAATGAATAGTTTAAAGCTGAATTTTGAACTTCTTGACTATATTCTATTAATTACAGGGTCACCCGTATTGCCAGAAGTAATCTGTGGAGGCTATTGGAGCAACGGGACTATTTTAGGTATTGTCAATTACGTAGGTCAAGGTGATGGTGATGACTCCTCACCTCGATCTTCGGGGATGATATGTCCGGAAGGTCAAGTTTGTGTGCAATTCGACAATTACAATCCAAGTCGAGGCCTTGTCTCCTTTGACAACTTCTTTTTTTCGCTCCTTACTGTATTTACAATCAGCTCTATGGAAGGCTGGACAGACGTGCAATACTGGGTGATGGATGGAGACTCGAGATGGGCGGCCATTTTTTTTTGCGCAGTAATTTTCCTTATGAGCTTTCTTCTAATCCCACTGTTCATTGGTAAGGAAATAATACAACTTGAAATTCTTTTTTTTTTTTTTTTTTTTTTTTTTAAAAAATAGTTGCTCAAGAAAAATGATATATCTCTTTTTATGCATTAGCTGGTATCACGTACTCGTTCGGAGCTGTCAGGGCAGAGAAGAGGCACTCGGCTTTCTCAAATAAAATTAGAAGCACACGCACTTTGCTTGACACGGAAGAAGGGTGGCAATTCGAAGATCAAATCCATGAAGTTCGGTCTCCATTTCGGCAATGGCTCATCCGGGTAGTAAATGACCCTTGGTTCCCGATTGCAGGCACAGTATTAGTTTTCTTCGATCTAGTTGTTATGTGCTTCCGGCGATATGATAGCTCGCCCGCAGCATTGGATTGGATTAATAATGCAGAGACTGCCTTCACATTTCTCTTCTTGCTTGAGATTTGTGTTCGGGTCGCAGGACATAGCACATGGCATCAGTTTTGGAAGCGCAAATCCAATAAGTTTGATTTATTCTTGGCTATCACAACGATGATCATCCTCTTACCTTCGGTTCAAAATTGGGAGTGGCACCGATATCTGACTGTTTTCCAAGTCCTGAGAGCGTATCGTCTCATCCCTGCTATCCCAGGTGTCCGTGACTTGATGGTAAAATACTATATGACTAACCGAGCCTGGCAGACAAGCGAATTCGAAATGATATTTACCATATTAGACGCCTCTCCTCAAACTGTCATTGTTATTATGCCTTATTAATGCTCCGTAAACATTACTTTTAGAATTCGGTCATCGGAAGCGCAACAGGGATGCTTAATCTTCTACTGATTACCTTCATGTTTTTGCTGGTTTGCGCTCCCATACCTATGATGCTCTTTGGAGGTGAAATGGTTTCAGACGAGGAGCAGCCAGTAAATTTTGATGATCTTGGCCAAAGCTTTATATCGCTGTTCATTGTACGTTTTAAAGGAAAAATTAAGGCAACGGATCGTGCTTGGATTATTTGAAATAACGTATGGGTTCCAAGTGGGTAGTCAATAACAAGTTTTTGAACTTCGAACTTGAAAAAGATTTTGACAGGCGAGAACTGGGTCGAAATCATGTATGAAGGATTAGATGCCCATCAAGAAACTTACAAGCAGATTTACGGCGTTATCTTCTTCGTTGTGTATTACTGCGCTTCGCACTGTAAGTAACTATTGAGTTGCACAAAGCTATCTATAGCCATCAGCGTTACAGTCAAATCCCGCTGACCTGATTACCTTGATTACGATTATTTTCTTTTGTTCTCATTCAGATGTCCTTTTGAACCTTTTCATTGCTATCGTGCTGGAGCACTTTGATCTGGACGAAGATGAAAAGTACAAGAAGCAACTAGAGATATATTTTGAAACACATCAAAAAGCAAAGATAGATCGCACGAGAAGCGTCTTCCAGTAAGTATATTTTGAGTTCAATTACCTGTCTTTTGTTTTGCAATATTTATTGTTATGAATGTTGTTCGCTCCAAATACAAATATATGGTATTGATTATTCCACTTGGCCTAATAGATATCTTAATCCTTACGCGTACCTCCCTGCACGGCCACAAACACTCTCTGTTAATGGCTTATCAGTGGACCAAACCGTATCAATTCGGAAGAACGTGTTCCGACAGTTTCTTGAGGGCGATACAGCGCCTGTAAGTAGCCTTGCTATAGACTGCTTTTGGTGTTCAATACATGATGGGCAAAAAGGTTATCTATTTAAACTCACATTATATAATTTATATATATTCAGGTCACTACTGAAATCATTGAATCGAAGCCTAGGCTTATTTTATGGCTGGAGGGAATACGCGACTATTGGTTTCCTACTCAAGCTCAGCTTGAAGAGGTGAACGGTAGAAAATTGTTGTCAAAGGGCCAGAAAGCACAGTTGAATCAACTAAATGGTGGTATCTCTGGCTTTGGCAAGGTACAGGATGAAATCGACGCCAACTTGGAGCGCCTTGATGCTGACCTCGAGAAAATTACTTGGGACAGAGATAGATTTTTCGAAGATCCTCAGTACGGTTATTGTTTGTCAGTTTTTTAAACTTTATGTCTAGCTATCGATGGTCCTTGTCATGCATTAACGCGCTGTTGTCATATTTAGGGCTTTGGAGACACTCACGCCAGAGGGATACCGTAAAGCTAAGGATAGGGAGAAAGCTTATGCAGATGTCCACTACGCAGAACTACAAGAGTTCCTGGAGGCTCATCCGTTGTATGATCGATCGCTGTTTATATTCCCAAGCAATAATCGCTTCAGACAGTGGTGTCACCGTGTTGTTGGCCCGCGCTCTGATCGAAAGTTAGCGAGAATGAATCGATTCAATTGGTTCATTTTTATTTGCATTCTATCGAGCATCGCGATCATTATTGCAGACGACCCTATCGACAGGCTCCTAGCGATGACAACGGGCGATACGAAGAAACAAGACATCCTTGGAGACATTGATTATGTGATCACTATCATATTTGTAGTCGAGCAGTCCCTCAGGATTCTCGCTGATGGCTTTTTCTTCACACCAACAGCTTATCTACGCGACCTTTGGAATTGTACAGATTTATTTATTGTTCTCATGAGCTGTTTCATGACTTTCACACATATCGATCACTTGTACAATGTCTCGCGTACTGTTCGAGCAGCCTCATGTCTGCGTGTGCTGCGTATTGTACGGTATTTTGAAGGCGTCTCTGCAATGTTTAAGGCCATTGCCAAGGCATTGCCGAAGATGGTTGTCGCCCTACTCATGACAGCACTGCTATTTTGGCCGTTTGCGATTTATGGCGTCAATATTTACGCAGGATACTTTTACTTGTGCAATGATCATGGTGTGCTGACTAAGTCTGAATGTGTTGGGGAATTCATGAGTGTGGTCAATGAAGATACCGACGACGAAATCTTGCTTCCGCGCATATGGAGTAATCCGTATGACTATAGTTTTGACTCGATCCAGGCTGCCGTCTTAACGTTGTTTGAGATGGCCTCACAAGAAGGGTGGGTCCAGGTCCTACAGTCCGGTCGTGCTGCCCCCAATCGCATAGGGCAGCAACCTTTCATCCAACCGGATGAACCCAACCGCTTCAACTCTTTTTACTTTTTGCTTTTCATGTTAATCGGCTCTATTGTCTTTGTGCAGATATTTATCGGTGTTATATTGGAAACATTTAAGGCTTGGAATGGTATTTCACTATTGACGGTAGAGCAACGTCGTTGGCTTGATCTTCGAAGGCAGCTTCGAATGATCAGGCCCACCGCTACGCCTATAAGGCCTCAAAACCCCATTAGAGCATTCTGCTATGACTTGGTGAATGAGAAAAAGGGTTTCCTTTGGAAAATCATGACGACAGTTCTTGCTCTTAACGTCTGCCTAATTGCCTCGCAACACTACGCACAGCCTCAGACTTTGACAGACATACAAGGTATTTGAAGCGACAATGCATTTGTCCGTTCATATTTAGAGTTGGAGCTTTTCAAAAATATAATAACACATAGCTGCACTAATAGATGTATCGTATTTCGCCTTCTTGGGTCTTTATTCCGTCGAGATCGTTATCAAGTTACTTGGCTATGGTTTTCACAAGGTTAGTTTTTTCATCGCATTAGTTCATGGACCACTTTTTTTTTTTTTTTTTTTTTTTTTTTTGGTACTTATCGCATTTCTATATACTAGTGGAGGCTCTCTCGCTGGAACCTTTATGACCTTGCTATTACAGCCTTGGCTCTGATCACTCTGGCCCCAAGGTTTATCGGACATGAGGTTTGCCAACTCTACATACTTTTATCTCTTTTTATATGTATCGATTTATACATGTAAATTGATGGCACCAACTTCACTTTTCTCTCTTAATAGCTATGGACCTTGAGGCTAGAAAATTTCCTTTTGATTACCATCTCCTTCCGTCTCGCTCAGAGAGTTGACTCTCTGCAAGTTCTCTTTCGAGCGCTAGTGTAAGCCGAAAGCTGTTATGGAGCGAAACAATTCTTTGCAGTTTATGAATAATATCTAACCAATAATTGACTTTGATTTCAAAAAAAAAAAAAAAAAAAAAAAAGAATCGCGCTGGGCTCAATTCTCAATATCACTGCTGTATTCATGGTTGTCTTCACTGTCTATGCGATCATGTTCCGAGAACTTTTTGGAATGACACGTCTCGGTCCTTCAACAACAGGCATTGCCAATTTTGATTCGTTTGGGAATACAATGCTGATGTTAATCCGTATGACAACAGGGGAAAATTGGGATTTTGTCATGCACGACATGATGGTCGAGCCGCCCTATTGCACCCCGATCCGGACGTCGTATCTAGATAGTGATTGCGGCTCTCGGCCCTGGGCATTCTTTATGTTCCTTTCATTTTACGTTGTCTGCACGTACATCCTGCTCAACATGTTTATTGCCGTCATTATCAGCAATTTCTCGTTCGCATATCAACAGGACTCAGTGACTACCTTGATCACTCGCGAGGATCTTAGAAACTTCAAGATGACTTGGGCAAGATTTGATCCAAGAGGAACAGGATATATTGACGTGAATGATCTATCAAAGTTCCTACGGTCATTAGAGGGCCGTTTCTGCACTAGAGTTTATGCCAAGCCAGAGTACAGCATCCCTAGTCTAGTCAAACTGTACGTGTCCATCCCGACCGCCTCTGTACCGCGTCCCTCTACAACTATAGAGGGTAATGCAAACCCCATTGTATCTTCCTCTCCATCTATTAACAATGGATCTGCATCACATCGATCGGTCAGAGGTCTTGGAGCCGTCCGTCGAATGAGTCGATTGTCCGTGAGTCCGAACATGACTTCAAACAGCCCCGGTCAGCAAGCTGCTAGTCCTTTACCGAAAGCTGTCCCTAACACTACCACAGGTCCAGAAGAAAGCGATGAGTTAGGCGTAAAGCCTACTAAAATGGATGCAAAATTGGATATTTCAGGGTTGCAGCAGATCCTCTCAAAGATCGATACTATTGATGTGTTCCGACGTCGAAAAAACTTTAACCTCATTTACAAAGAGGCTTTAGCTACCTGCACGGATCGAGGAATATCATTTTACAGCATTCTGGATATTCTGTCGTTCACACTTGTAGACACAGAACATGCTCTTGGGTAAACATGAAAAGCGTTTTGCTACATTGTATATAATGTATAGTGTAAATTCTGGAAGAGGGGAGGAACCTATAACTAACCCTGATGTTGTTGATAGAATGAATGAGTTCTTGAAAAGAAATGAGCGCGTCAAAGTAGTCAAGTCTGCAGTGGCTCGAGAGACAATTCACAATCTGTTATTGACAATTGTGGCGCGCCGAAGCTTTTTGAAGCAACGTCGGGCAAAACAAAATGCAAGATTGCGACCAGAAGTCCCACGGATTGTGATTGATACTTCAATTGGAAACGAACGTAGCTTCCGTCAGGATCAAGGTCCAGACACGTCACCACTGTTGACATCAACTTCGCCCAGCGGACGATCTTCGTTCCTATCCTCACCCGTGGTCGATTTTTCAAAAGGTCACCATCATACCGATGATGATGTCTCGCCTATCATGATGAGTGGTTACTCTATCAACACAATGCTTTCTACCAACTCCAATGATTCAAACGGGTGGGACTTATACGAGTATGTTTTTTTTTTTTCCTTTGAATGAAGATCAATCCCTCTACTACATGAAGAGTTATTTATTTATTTATTCTCTTGATAGGCGAGATTCGTTCAGCCGCTTATCAGGTCAATCCGATGGTTTCGATTTCATGGCAGAGCCGCGCGTGGGATTGTCGTCATCACCCTTTACAGTGGATGGGTCGACTTGGTTTAGTATGAACGACGAATATAATTCTTTTTTTTTTTTTTTTTTTTTTTTTTTTTTTTTTTTTTTCATGTCTAACCTGTTGTCTGTTCATTAATTCCATTAGACATGTTACAGGAACAAATACAAGAACAGGACGAAGCCCTTGCAAACAACAATTTGAGTTCACCATAAACTTTTTTTTATTCAAAAAATAAAAGTGATTTTCACGTGACTGTGTTTGAATTGAACAATCATGCACCCGAGGGGCACTGACTGATCTCCATCATTTTCCTTTTTGCGTTCCGTCAATTCATCTTTCTTTCATTTCTCGTATTCGCTCTCTTTCTCTCCTCTCCCTTCTCCTCTTCTCTTTCTTTCTTTTTTTTTTTCTTCTTTCGTTCATTGGTCTCATCCATCATGTCATCCAATCTCCGCATCCTTGTTGCTTGCAAACGTGTTGTTGACTATGCAGTCAAGATCCGCGTCAACGCTGCAGGCACGGCTGTCGAGACTGCTAATGTGAAGCATTCAATGAATCCCTTTGATGAGATCGGCACTGAGCAGGCCATTCAGATCAAGGAGAAATCTGGGGGTAAGGTTGAGGTCATTGCTGTCTCCTGTGGATCTGATAAATCTCAAGAGACCCTCAGGACAGCATTGGCTATGGGTGCTGACAGAGCCATCTTTGTCGAAAGTGCTGAGGAATTGCAACCTCTAGCTGTCGCCAAGTTGTTGAAGGCTGTCGTCGAGAAGGAGAAACCCGACATGGTCATTCTGGGCAAGCAGGCTATCGATGATGATTCTAATCAAACTGGACAGATGCTTGCTGGTCTCTTGAACTGGCCTCAGGTAAAAAAAAAATTGTGATTCAGACGTCTGAAAATAAGAAAGAAAGAAAAATCAGATATTTCAGGAACGATGACCTGAATTATTTGCTTCGCCTACTATCAGGATACAAATTGCGTGTATTCCCACACCCCTCCTTTCGCTCTTTCTTTAGCACAAAAGGGCATACTTAAAAAGAAAAAGAAAGAAAGAAAGAAAAGACATGAATGATTGTGTATTAGAATCTGGCTATTGATTTCAATTCAGAACTTTATTTAACCAATGGCATGAAAAAGAATAGAAAAAACTGGTGACTCATGAATATTTTTTATTTGCTTTCTTTTATCCTTCCCTTCAATTGCCTATGTTAGGCCACCTTTGCTTCCAAGGTTGAGCTCGCTGAAAAGGCTATGACTGTCACACGTGAGGTTGATGGAGGCGTTGAGACGATCAAGACTCCTCTTCCTGCCATTCTCACCACTGATCTTCGGTAAAATTTGGTCTGGAATATCGTTTCTGAAAGAATGTGATGTTTTTTACAAGTCGCAATGAATCTGAACTTTTTTTTTCTCTTTTTCGCGACAATTTTCAGACTTAATGTTCCTAGATACGCTTCGCTTCCCAATATCATGAAGGCCAAGAAGAAACCTCTTACCAAGCTTACTATTGCTGATTTGGCCGTCGATGTGAAGCCTCGTCTCGAGACTTTGAAGGTTACTGAGCCACCAAAGAGACAAGGCGGAAAGCTTGTTGAGAGCGTCGATGATTTGGTTGATAAGCTTAAGAATGAGGCCAAGGTTCTTTAAAAGAAAATAAAATAAGATAAAAAAGAGGAAAAAAATAAAATAAAATAAAAACAAAAACAAAATAGAAAGAACCAAAATAAACAAGTTATTAAAAGAACCTTTTTAGCTTTGCACGCTCATTCACTACACTCTACAGATCGATGAATACGATGAATACGTAGACGCGTTGGAGTCGCCCAAGACAAAGTGAATTAGAGCCAGCAGTGACACGGCTGTTAATGATGCGGACTAAATGTCATTCGAAGGATATCCTGACCAGGTTGCTTAAAACGAGGGCCATCATCATCCTAAAGAATGTTCTTCTAAGTTTATTCTAAAGTTAATGCCGTATGAGTAGACACAGAAATGATGATATCATCTCCAATGATCCACCATATTACGCTTCTTATGAATCTATTTGACTCGTAAAACACCGCGGACGCCCATCAAAAACCGCATGAAAATCTCACGCCTAACAGCAGTCATAGCCACATCTCTCTTCGTAAGCTCTCTTTGTCCAACAATATCCTGGGTAGGAAACGCCTGCGACAAATGCTGGAATGAGTCTGACAAACGCTGCTGCAACTCTGGTGTCAGTGGTGTTTCGCTTGCTGCCAGCATTCCTTGAATCAGACCTGTATATGCCTCCTGTCTTGCACAAACAAGCGCCAATACGCATGATCCTGCAACATCAACCAGCTCCACGTCCAATTTCTTGAACAAAAGTTGTTCAAATATTAGCTTTAGAAACTCATCCAGATGAGATCTCAAACCAGCAATATATTCAGACGAGTTTCGAAGTCTTGAATTGCAGGCATGTAGCGCTAGGGCAGTAATGGCCTGGAACGTCAAGTGAGACACCTCGAGGATGTTATGGTCGATACCGAATTTGAGTGACGCCATCAAATTGATGAGCAAATCGTTAGGAAGTTCAATGAGGCGCCCAGGATAAGATTCAACCAATCTGGAGATCAAACGAATATAAAGTGTGCAAAGCCTGGGGATCTATGTAGGATTGTAGTCAGTACATGTTATATGGGGAGCTGCGAGAATGCATCTATATTATTTCAACGTAATAATAATATTTACCTTAAGCATGGTCTCCTTGATCATGGGAATTAAGATATTGATTCCAGAAAAGACCACTGTTGAGGGAGAAATCGCATTAGGAGTATGGACAAACATCTGGTCAATACCATGGACTTCCAACAGACTCAGCAACATCTCAAGCACAACCGAGACATCGCTATAAGGCTCGTCTTCGGCTTCTTCCCATGCTGTAGCTCGTTTCTTGCCAAGGTTCGCGGCAGAAAAAGTTTGCAGCAGTTTCAAGAGGCAGGAGTGAAAGTAGCTGACTTGTTCGGACGAAAGTGTCGTGAATTCAACATTTTTGATCAAATCCGTGAATAGACGCAAAACCAGGATCTGAATCTCCGGAAAGTTACTGTAAACTCTGACTAAATCCACAAATGACTCGAAATATCGAGAGCAAAAGTGGTAGATCATGGGGGTATTAACATCAGTCAAAGCTAATGCGAGACCGTTAAACATCTAGCATGGAATAAATCAATTCAAACGTCAGCCTAAGGTATAGGTGGCTGTAAAGTAAGCCTCGATTTCGTTCATAAGTAGAGGTACCTCAAGTCCATTCATGATTTGGCTCATGACTTCAGGTGATTGATAGTTGGCTTGGAACGACTTATCGTGCAAAATAGCAGTAAAACGAGTTTCAATGGCTGTCGAAATCAGGTTGAAATAATGGCTATTCAGTTGCTCAGAAGGAGCATACGAGATGATGGTTGTAATTGCCTGGATTAAAGAGCTATTTAAATGAGACAGTAGAGTGATAGTTTGATTAAAACAACTGCCCACAAAAAGACATGTATATCTCGAGAGAGAGAAAAAAAAAAAAAAAAAAAAAAAAAAAAACTGACTTTCAACAAAGACGTACTTGTGAATGACTTCTGGAAGCACTGAAAGGTGATCTATAAAAAAGCTAACGAGAGGAGGAAATTGGGCTAACAAGATCATGATTGAGTAAACTTTGTTCGCCGAGCTCTTCATACTTCTTTGAGCCTATCCTTCACGTTGTGTAAATGTGTAGCTTACCAGATTGTAACAGAGCATTTCTTACAGGAGCCCTTTGCGCAAATGTATTGAGAAGTGCAATAATCTATAATGTTAAAGAGGCATATTAGTATTCCAGTATAAAGTTACCCTTTTAAAAGCTTCTGTAGACTAATCAACTGCTTTGTATACCTGGATTAAAACATCCGGATCGGCATTCCACATAATAAAGTTGATGCGCAGCTTTTCGATTAAAAACTCCAAAATAGCTCCACCTTCACCACCGCGGGAAGCCTCGCCGTAAGACTTAATGAGATTAGGACTAAGAGTTGTGTAGTTTTCAGGGCTCGCAAATAAATAAGTCTTGACCCAGCGCTCGAGGAACCAAAATAGAGAGAGGGCAACCTGAGGACTGCATGAGATAGCTTGAGCAGAATGAGAATCAAGAGAAACCGCGTCAAGCAGACTCATCAAATTGCTAAAGATATTCACAATTTGATCCTGGGAAAGGTCACACCCTTTTGATAGTTCGTTCAGAGTCTCAGGTACAAGCGCTGTTTCTCCAATGTTGTTGTCTGAAAAGACATAACCAGTTATGACAATCAGCCAATGTAAGTGTTCATATAAGAACGTGATAAAGTCGGGATGACTGCCATCGTGCGTAGTATTGAGAAAATTCCGAAGGCGTTCAATACGTTCATGAAGAAGGCCCTGAAGCCGATGAAGTGTGTTATAAGGATCCAGCCTTGCAAGAGCGGCTATTGAAATCAGCTGATCCCCATAGGTCTCCCAATCTGGGAATCCGTCATTGTCTTCATCCACTAAAGCATTAAATTTAGCAAGCTCAAGCCTGGCCTCAATGTATTTCTCCACGATACGATAGCTGATACTGTGGAAGAACTGAAGTAAATTGGTAGCATCCGCGACTAGCTGAGGCGAGTTACGATCCAAGATGGCGGATTGTGAATCTTGCACAAGCCTTACCCAGGTCACTAACAATTCATCAAAGGCTCCCATGAGGCTTTCTGACTCCTCGGGGACCTTTGCAGATTCGTTCAAGCAATGAACTGTCAATAAAGCGACTTGGTTTAAAAAGTCAAATCGCTCAGGAACTGCGCAGATCGTCTGGATTGAGTGGAATGAGAGTAGCTGACGAATCATTTCCGTGATGGCAATCATATTCTCAGTGTAGTCAGCCTGCAGGCACTCATCAGAAGAGCACGAAGCAACATTATTGATAAGAGTTAAAAGCCCCGTCATGACTCCCGAAATGTGATGAATAATGGCCTCTTCACTATCAAAGATGGTCCCATGAAGTCCACATAGCTGAATCAAACACTGTCGCACACGATGCGTCATGATGTTGTCGTCTTGCACAAGGGGGAACAGCTGCTCATAGAAGATTGGTTTAAACATTAGTTAGATGGTTGTGAAACAAAGTATTGAGCAGTTTGCTGAAGAACAGGAATATCGACATACTGTGAAGAACATGGAAAGGACATCGGCATTAACCAAGATCGAGCGCCAACTCGCTGGGTAGATAATAGTCCTGGTAAAATCATCTTCATCATCGGCAAAAGTCCCAGCAAGAACTGGCTGATCTTAAATAAATACATCAATAAAGAACATTCAATTAAATTCAATCGCCGCACATCTCCTTGATCATTTAAACCTTTCCTTTCCACATAGCAGGATATAGTGCGGTTTCTATAAATACATACTGGTAGCAAAGTCCCATTGAAGAATAGACTCCACAAGCAATATTGAGAGGCTTAATAGAGGTCTTTTGGATCCTGAGACTTCCTGTCCGATATTGGTGATCAAGTCCTGCAATTGCTCATGAAGGATTTTAAGTGCAGCCTCAAAAATCAAACGGAGATGTCGCTCTTCAAATGATGTTTTTGTCTTGTAGTGGAAATCCCATGTAAGCCCAACGTTGCTAGCCTTGCCTCGGCTGGAGAATTCGTCTACAAGAGCGTGCGCGAGAGAGAGACCAATCTTCTTCTCCTGTTCCCCCATTGACAGAAGCTGGATAATCTGATTATAGACAACATCTTGCTCATCCTGAGAAGCTTCAAGCCATCCGCGCTTCGAAATCACAGCAACTGCCTGATAGATCTGCTTGGCGACAAAAGAGACAAGTCTGGGGTGATGAAGATTGTACTGGATGAGGTATGTCTGTAAGTGATGAATGTCCTGCTTCTGATACAGCCCATATTCCCTGACAATAGCTCCAGTAACTCCAGAGGCCGCATGGAACTGAACTGCCGGTGTATTAGAGTTGGCTATGTTTATACATACGTAATGTCAAGTTTAGTTTGCTGTCATATAAGCTTCCCATTGTGGAAATAATGACAAAGACTTACCTAAGATATACTGGCAAACAGGTACAATATTCGGACTCTGCTTAAAGTCAATTAGGACCTTCTCAGCCTGTATCCGAGTCGTTGGGTGCTAATATCAATATCAATGCAATACAAAATGCGGAAGAATATTTCAGGGCGCAGTCCAAAACGTTTTGTAATAGATTATAATGCCCTTCCCAAAGCGAATGCGACTCCTATGGCAGTAACACCATACCTGCGCTTCGACGCATGCCTTTTCGATAGTGGTCAATATTGTCGGGTAGTCCATAGTTCCTCTTGATGGTCCGAATGAACCAAGTTCAAATGATCTTGGTTTTAAGTTGGAAGCCTAGGATCACTTCTTGACGAAGCCACCTTACCTGATCATGTGAAATAGAAAAGAGGTTCCACAAATGTAAACCTAAATTAAACCACAAATAACTGCCACTTTGATAAAAGAAATCTTCAACACAACGATTTCCTTAGATCGGTGATCAACCTTTCCCACCTGCCAATTGGCTGCTTTTGTCCTTGCAATTAAGGATTTTAACGGTTGCTGCATCATCCTCATTATGTATACATGTAGTTCCTCCCGGAAATATTGTATACAGAACAAAACGCGACGTACTCTATTTATTTACGAAGAAGATTTGCATAAAATCAATACATTTATAAATATATGTATTCGTAATATACATGTATACATGTATAAGTATCATTTGGAAGGAGAGAAGATATAAATGTATCATATTACATGTTTGATGAAACAGTCTGACATCTCCCCCTCATTTTACGGGAGAACCAAGCGAAAACTTTCCAAGTATCTATCCCTTGCTGAATGATAATTTTTGCAGTGGCTATTTCTCATAATTTTATGAACAAAAAGGCGTTTCAATCTTCACAAAATTAAGTCTATTCTTGTCATCCATCCTAAACAATAAAACAAGGTTACGCCACGTTGACAATTATCACTCACAAACACAGCTGTGTGATGTATGAATGTGAACATAAATCGCCATCTTTTGGATATATTTCAGAACAGGAGAGCATCGCTGTTCATCCACTAGATGTGGTTGTGGTAATTGTGGCTATTTCCCGAAGCAAACAGACAATTAGGATTCGCTCCAGCGACATATTGTGGTGTAGGTTTACATATCGCCATTTCGTATCAAAGGACAAATACCCTCAAAATAATATAAAAAGAGTAAAATGCCAGCATACATGTATATCTCCAATGATTCTTTTCCCCTTACAGCTCTCAATTGCTTCGTCCTTTTTTTTTTTTTTTTTTTCCTTTCTTTTATCTTTCTCCCTTTCAATCTTTTCATCCTACATCGTCTCCATTGTTGTGAAACTTGGTCATAACTAAGACTTCGCTTCATCTTATCATCCATCACCTCAACCTACTCCTTAGTCCAACTACTAATTATAAACGATCCATACACGACAATAATCAGCCGTGAAAGAATTTTTTTTTTTTTGGAGAAAAAATAAACTTCATTACAACTTGCAAAGAAGGTAAAAGAACAAAGTAGTCCAATCTAAAGTCCAAATTGAACGATCTGTATATATTTATATACATATTTGTGTGTGTATATTATTATTTTTGTTTCTCTCTTCATACATTTGCCCTGATCCTTAGCTCTTTTTTTTTTGTTTTTTTGTTTTGTCTATTTCTGCATCCCCAAGTCCTGCATGCCTCACCATACTCTTCTTCATTCACTTTCACCTGAATTGCCGTTATGATTAACGTGTTGATTGGTTCAACTTCTTTGTACTACAATTATTACAATTTTTCCACAGCCCAAAAATAGTTTCTCACACACACCGATTCATTCAACAACTCACTAATCAGCTTCAAAAATATATAATAGGGTCACACTCCATCCTTCTTTCTTCTTTAATCATATAAAAAAGAAAAAGAAAAAAACTAGTACGTATTGAACGTATAGTTCCTCTTTTTAATCACCATCAACTAACCAAAGAAACACGCACCAGCTTTATTGCTCCTTTTGCGGGTAAGAAAACAAACTGCTTTTAATTTGGCCTTTGTTCTTTGTTCTTTGTGTAGTATGCGGGCGTTATTGAACTGGAGCTTATATCTGTCAAACGTATTCATTTTTTGGTTTTAGTTAAGGTTCTGTGTTCACAACACAGCCACCGAAATAAAGACACGCAGCACGTCCCACACACTTCCCTGTCATCTTCACAAAAAAGAAAAAAAAAAATGAGCCGACCTTCGAGTTTCCTTTCGCATACTCAAATGCTTTTAATCCGAGACGAGGCTCTTCTCAGGAAACACGCCGTAGCTACTTTTGGTCACCAGGGCGTTCTCGATCTTGCCCTTCTCGGTGCTATTCTTGGCAACAGTATCCATGAGATCGGGCGATATGAGGTGACATGCGACGGCCATGTCATCAAGGGCCGCTACACTATCTACGAGCTCGTCCATTCGGGCGCTCTCGCTGTTACAGGTCGTCGCCGTGAGCGCAAGCATCGGGACTACCAATGCTGTGGTGTCATCGACGGAGGCATTGGCTACATCTGTAGTAGCACTAATAACGAAGAGCAACTTCACTCAATGATGCATTTATCTATACTAGAATCAACCAAAGCCGGTGAAAGCACTGGAGCGAAAGTCAGCCCTGGTAATCAAAATCTGCCTCCCCGGATCTACCCTGCAACATTAGCTGGTCTCTTTCCAGCATTGGTGTTCAAAGCTCTGAGGCGGAAATCCATTCGGCCACCCAAGTTCCAGCATGACGATTCTGTATCCTGTACACCCGTTGCTTCAACGTTCCTCATGGAAACAGGGGGCAGCATGAGCGCAGCCGCCACTACTACCATCCACACTATTCACGAAAGAACAGAAGCCATTTGCGCCTCAAATCTTCATTCATCATCGGATGCAGCATCTCTTTTTACTTCAAATGGCGTCATGGATGCTGATTCTATGCTAATCACTCGGGACAATGTTCTTGCAAAGTTGGTCAGTCAGCGCCTTCACCGTGTTAAAGACCTTCCCTTACCAAGAGAACTGTGCTTTCTAGGCGCTGTCAGCCTACCCCTGCCGCCGGTACTCCGTGTCATGCATGTTGCCTGGACAATGGACTTTCTTAACACTAAAGTAACTTCTGTTCGTCGCCTGCGCAAGCAGCTTAGGCAGCAACAACAAGAGCCGGTCGCTGGTACCGTGTCCTTTGAGGATAAGGGCGGTCTCAGCGACGAGAAGCTAGCCATCGCTGCAGCCAAATTGCCTACTGGAGGACTTGTTTTCCGACCTGAGCTGTACGCCCACAAGATGCGAATTGCTCGGCTAGCTCGAGCGAGACAGCAGCACATGGCTGCAAAAAAAGCAGCGTCCATGGGGGGCAATGCTCTCTCTGAAGCTACTTCAATGCGACGCGGTCCATCTTCCACCTCAATCCCTGAAGAAAATGAGGAAGAAGAACAGGCGAAGGAGGAGAGTGAGAATATAAGCAAATCTTCAAGAAGAAGAAGCACAGTATTAACAGTAAAGTCTCCTAGTTTTGCAAAACCGATGGCACAATATATTTCAACTAAAAACTTGACAACATCAGCGCGTTTCACAATAATTTCATCCAAAACACATGCATCGTCGTCTGTTGATTCTTCGACTGCTACTGGCGGTGGTGCAAATAAGCCAGTGCGTCAGGATAAACGTTTGATGCAACAACTTCTCTCACTTGAAAACAAAGTCCCACGAATTGTTCGACAATGGGCTGCTGCTGCGCGTCCGTGCTTTGCAGAGGTGCTCCTTCAGGAAGACCGCCTTGTACAAGAATGGGTTGATCGGCAGCGAATTCAAGTCTTTCTAGGATGTGGCTACAACAACTTTAGTTCCTTTGCATCTTCAGTCTCTCTTGCGCAGAAACGAGTAATACCTTCACCAATTTCAACCAACCAAAACAACGAGCTCGGATTGTCTAATAGCAGTAGTAACAACAACAATAACACACGTAATATAGTGCAATCTCGTGTAACTTCATATCATACCAAGATGAACGTATCCCCGGTTTCTACTTCTCACTCACTTATTCAGCATCCATTATCAGCCACAAAAACGAGTTTTCCGGATGGTGTGCGTCTAGTAGCTAGTCCCGGACATGGGAGCTCTCGCGGTAGCGCCATTTACCAACGTTCTAGACCAGCTAGTGCTTCATTGATGGATCGTTTGAGCACGGGACAACAAATGCTGAGCATGCATCTTTGGCTCAGCCTTTTGGTTTCCCCTTTAAGTCCTGAATACATGGTTCAAGATCAGTTTAGATGTATAGACTCTTAAAGGTCAAGTCAAATGTATTGCAATAGGTCCGAAACATCTTTTCAACTTCCCACGCTCTTTTTTATTGTATCTGGTCTTTGCCACCAAGAAGGAAAGAAAAAATTCAAATAAAATTTTAAAAAAAAAAAAAAAAAAAAAAAAGTTTTTCGAAAAAAAAAAAAAAGAAAAAAAGCTTTTACAAAAAAAAAAAAAAAAAAAAAAAAGAGACAAAGTCAGCCGAGAAAAAAATAAAATTGAACAATCATTTAATCAATCTCAACCGTAGTTTTGTCATGCTTAGATAGAGTGTCAGATGGATCCTCTTTGATGTAATGACTGGGAGACGTGGACGTGGACTGTGATTCGATCCGATCTGCTCCTAAACTCAAGCCATTCTGCTGCTCTCCATTGGCCATTAAAGCGTTTCCATCGGAGGTAGGCACGGACATCCTCGGAGAAGGCAATGTAGCCGAGCTTTGTTTAGGTGAGCTCGCGGGGCTGGTCAGGTCCATAAAAGTCGGTGTAGTAGATGGTTCCCGTGAATACCTTGGTGCAGGCTGTTGTAAACGTTGACGACTTGTTGACCGGGGTTGATGGCGATGGGGGTGACGCTGTCCAGAAGATGGCGGCCCTGTATATGGATGATGCCACGGAGTTGCGCGCGATGGTGGAGGCATGGAGCTCGATGGTGGGGTACTTGTTAAGGGCTTTGTTACAAACCGCTCGTATGGCTGTCCTTGCATTTTGAAGCGTGAGGTTCCAGCGGGTGAATTATATAGGTTAACATGAGTCGACTCGATTCCTTCTCCTGTCCTCAGGCCCGTGTTATGGTTTAGTCCATCTTGATGTGTAAGTCTCACTGAGGTTGCCATACGTGGACGTCCGCGTGGAGGCAAACTTCTATCGTAAGTTTGCCCTTGACTATCGGCAAGATCAACTAATGGCAAGGGCTTACTCTTGAGAGGTCGCACCCTCGGATGCTGGTATCTATTGGGATCTTGTGGTGGAGGAGGAAGAAGAGGGGGAGAAGGGGGAAGGCGTCGCTGCTGCGGGAAAACGTGTTTAAATTTAATTCTTCGTTCGCTCTCAAACGGATACACATCCTCAGGTGGTGGCGCTTTATATGAAAAATCATTATCAGACAGGTGAAGATCTTGGTGGGAGCGATAAGCTGCGTCGTGAACCTCCTGCTGACGCAAATGCTGCTGGATATAGGTTTGACTTTGAGGATTCCAGCTTGCCTCCTGTCCCGACCATTGGCCGTGTACTCTTGGTATGTCTCTTTCCGTCATCGGATAAGGTAGAATGTCTCTTCCATAAGTCCTATATGGTTCTTGGGCCCGGAGATGGTTGGAGTCCAATGACTGTCCATGGCGATCGGCTGTTGAATATCTTGGGAGGGGGGGAGGAATAGGCAAAGACTCTGCAGTACGCCTAGGAGACTGCATGCCATCTGGTCCAAATCCTGGTAGAAATCGAGGTTGATGGCTTTTGGAATCCCTGTTTAAACTCGATCGTAATGTAGACTTAGCCGTTATTGGAGAATGAGGACGAGATCCTGACTCAAAAGTAGATGGCCCTGCAGAAGCTTCTCGTTCCAAATACATAATATCCTGGGCCTGGTCTACATCCATATCATTGCTAGATAGTCCTTCAATTCTGTATCCTTTTTCGTCATCGGGGTGTTTCTTGTATGCTACCTTATTTTGTAGCTCCCGATCTAGGACACGTCGTTTTCTCCGCCTTTCGTCATTTAAATGGTCAATCATGTATTGTTGATTCTTCGCTGTAGGCCGCAAAGGCTCCTCTCCTTCAGAATTGTATTGTCGTGAATAACCAATAAGGTCTTGAGAGCCTGCTAGTTCAGTAGTAGCTCTGAAGTAGTCTTTGTTGAATTGAGGTTGAGGAAATAAGAATGCGAGATCAAGAGCCATCTCTCTCCGATTGAGCCCTTTTGGTGGCTTGAGTTGTGGGATCCGAAGATGTCGTGGTGGCCTACATATCTCGCAGTCGCTACACTCTGATCCTGAACTTGAATATGAATCGTAGCTGGAGCAATCATCATCACATGAGCTGTAGCCGGTTACTTCAACAGGATTGACGAAAGTCAAGCGTCGCGGCGCAGATTTCGCTGCCATCCTTTTGCTTTGTGCCATCTCCCGCTTGATTCTATTCATTCGATTCTGCACCATCTCTATGATGCTTTTCCGAGCAGCTATTTGACCCGCCTATATTTAAAGTGATCTTAGGTTAGTTATTTAATGACACAACTGCCAACTCCTCATGTCATGGCATTACAGCCAACGACGTCCATAAGATTAAAATGGCTCATACGTGATATTGGTCGTTTGCAGCCTTGCAAACTGCCTGGAAATTGAGGTCCCACATCAGTTGCAAATAAGTCCTTTGCGCTTGACCAATCCTGATTCTCATTTGTCGCCTCTCTTCAATTGCCTTCAATTCGGCCAATAGCTCAGGGTGCGTCCCTGCCTTGATTTGTGCCTCTTCCTTATCCAACTGCGCACTCATTTGAATGGTCATACTACGGATAACAACAAGAGAATTGACACAAACAAAAATGTAATAGCGATTAAAGCAGAGTTTAGATCAACAGAATGAATATAATAAAGTCTCTAGACGCTTTGACAAACCTTCGTTTCGCTTCTTTATACTCCGCAGAAACGCTCATCAGATCTTGTTTTGCTTTCCGGTGTTTACGTTTCAAGTCTTTTGTGAGGTTATCATCATCATCACTACTCTCATCCTTTGCTATCAACATCCCTGTGAAATTGAAATTAAGATCTTCTATTTCTAGTATCGTGATCGAGAATTTTAGAATAATTAGACCAATGTTGCTGTAATTGGAAGCACCCTGCTTCTATGCGGAAAAAAGAGAGAGAGAAAACAGATTATCATACCTCCAAATGTATGTCTGATTAATTCATAATCATGAGCGTCCACCATATCCGCGTGCAGACTCTCAGAATCCTCTATCCCTTGTCTAAAGAACCGTGCCAAGGCTTCAGTTGCGCTGGCATTGGCACGTAAAAGCTGTTGCTCTTCCGTATATTCATCCATGATTTGATCGACTGTCAAGCCAACACTGTCCGCAGCCAGATGAGCCACAACACTCGGCATCAGTTTACTGGATCGGAGCCTCCGTTTCGAAGGCGTTGCAGCCTTTTGTTGCTTCCCTTTAACAGATTCCTGTCCCCGATGATCATCATCCGATTCTGCCTCATCCTCATCCGATTCATTAGAAGCCTCTTCATTTCCATGGTCCTCGTTTACTTGCGTGTGTGAAACGTGATCCTGAATCTGCTCAGGGGTTTCGCTTTTTTCGCTTCTAACACTATTTGGACTACTACGTCTGAATGAAGGATCGTCGTCTTTGGAATGGCTTGTCGACCGTCGAGTGTTCTGTCGTTGTAGATTGGATCTTCTCGTAGCAGTTTGTGGGCTTGATTGTAAAATATCTTCTTTATCCACGTCCATTTGCATATCCTTCGTAGTAGAAGGTGTTGATGGAGGTGAATGGACGTCTTGTTCTGCTGAGGATTCAGATGCGGGCGGCGTTGAGGGCTCAGTAGAAGCGTCCCGAGCTTTTGGTGGCCTTCCTCGAGATTTTCGTTGTTTGTCTATATCTTCTGAAAGCGAAAGAGGAGGATCTTTCCGTGGTCGACCAGGACGATTAGGGATTGATTGCGACGTGGATGCAGGCATTGATGACAAACCCATAGACTGAAAACGTGAATCATGCTGTGTTTGTTGCTGGGTTCTAGTATGTGTCATGGTACCTGGTTTAGATGGAGGCGATGTTTGATTAGATTGAGAATTGTTGGTGGCAGGACGTGTCCTTAAACTCCCACGACGCGATTGCAAAGGTGGGGTGACTGGCATAGCTTGAATATGTTACTATTGTGAGAAAAAAAGAAACTCTTTGATGAGCATCAGCTATGTAACTTCTGTGGCACCCTGTGTTGCCACATAAAAAGGCTGGTTGCTTGTACCTTATGAAAACAGATCCACTCTAGTGTTGCATCAGCACTTTTCAAGCTTTTTTTTTTGTGATCTTTTATTAATCTCTGTGTAGACTGATATAATTGCAGAGAAAGAACGCTATTGAAGTCGATTGTGAAAGCAATGTTTATGAACGATTTGAGGACCTGTTTTGTCTAAAATTAATAATTAGAAAGTGGATTATGACTGTGTCCTGTCCAGTCAAAATAAGGGGAACACATGCAGATTGTTAATATGTAAGGGATGGATAGTGTACAAGTGTGATGAGTAGAGACAAGTATGAGCGAAGTAGACTAAGACGTGTGTGTAAATGAATGAATGAATGAATGTAATCCTGTATGAAGAAAGATATAGAAGCGAGATGCAATACAAAAAGGCTACAGATGAAACAAGGAAGAGAAAAGGAAAGAAAGACACAAAGAAATTTGTGTTTGTGTGATGGTCATAACAATGTAAATAATGCTTAGTTTGTCAAAGTTTCTTGTCTCGTCACCGTTTTTGTAACAAGTCAAACCTAAAGCTTCTTTGCATGTATGCCGAGCTGTGGACATTTGACGACTATATTGGTTATCACGAGCGCAACAATGGTTCCATTAGATGCTTTTTTCTTCATAAACGATCGATCGCACATACAGAACTCCGCATTTGTTTGGTCCATGTGGTTTATTCAAAAGTCTTTTGCTTCTGAATGGTAAAAGAACGCTGTGATCTTCAGCTTAATTAACATGCTGTGCCCAACATATCCCACTATTACATTCACCATGTAAATGAGCATGAAATATGAACAGCTTTGGGATTAAAAGAAAAACTTCCCTTTAGAAAAAAGGTTTCTATAGACTTCTCTCGAGGATCTGAGCCTCAAGGACTCCTTATCATTTGATAAAATGTCATGAATGCATTTAATATTGAGAGAGACCCTTGTTCCTTGTTTTTAGAGTAAAAGAGTCTATGAATCGATATGTGTCTGTCATTGATCAGAATAACTGTGATGCACTAGAATACACCACAGAAGGAACATCAAACCCCCGAATGATGCTACAACAGAGTAAGCAGTGATAAGGTCTACCATAATAAAATTATGAGGACTGAGGTTAAGGACTTGTAGTCATTTTACGAACTCTATAGATCGTGATATTTGAGATACTTCGTGTGTATGACATGGTTGCCTTGCAACCACTCCATCGAATGATTAGAAAACTATGTGTATATATCTCTGCACCGCTCATTCGCCCAATTCAATCCGATACCGCTCCTTTATTTGCACTGTTGGCCTTGAACAACGTCAGCGACTGGGGCAAAGGCTAATAAAGTGAGCAAGTGAAGAGCATAGTTTCGCCCCTTATCTCAAGAAAAAAAAAAAATAGATCACGTTCTGACTTTTATTATGGGAGTGGCGGTGAGAGCCGATAATTTTTTTGGAAAGAAATGCCGCAGCAGTGCGATTTCAGCCCCATCAGTCAGACCAGGAGATGAAAGAAAATGGAGTCCATGTCTACGTCGACTACTTGAGACAACCAGACAAACGTGTTTATTCAAATATGAATACCCTTGCCTCTTTTTTAGTCTCTGTTTTCTTTGTTATACCCACATCTACTCATACAATCCAGATAGTCCCCGTACAGATGGGCTCTCCAAGGCCGTACAAATACATTATACATATATATATATATATATATACACAAAACACACACAATAGTCTATTCACAATACAAATGAGGATCTTTAACCTGGCCCCCTGCAAAATGATTCTCGTTATAACGTCGCACGGGATTCAACGACTTTCCCAACAGATGGTAAACAAGCCATCTGGACCGGAGGGGAGGGTGGGAAGGGAAGTTTTTTTTATTATTTCACGCTAATGATCACAGCCACAAAAATACTTTTTGCGGGGGGGCGGAACACATGAAGCAATACACCCGTTTCTCACACAGATCTCCCCTCTCACCCTTCAGCCCTAAACAGCACTTTCATTATTCTTTTGCTCACATACTCACACATTCTCTCTCTTTCTCTTTCCTTTCTCTCTTCCGCTTCTGGTTCTACGAGTTAACGCTTTATCTTTCTATCCTCTATTATCCACAACCATCTCTCATCGGTCTACGCCTCCATTACTATTATTACTCTTTTTCTTCTCATCATCGATCTCATTTTTTATTATTATTATTTTTTCTTATTGTTCCCTCATGCACACAGACATTGGCCTGTAGACATCCTCCTGTTCTCTTTCTCTTTCCTCTCACTCTCTCTCACTCTCTCTCACATTTGTACACCGATAGTTTCTTCTTTATTTCCTTCGGTGTGTTTTTATGCTTCTTTCTTGCACTCACGCCATCGCATCGCCTCACTTTTTTTTTTTTTTTTTTTTTTTTTTTTTGGATTGAAGACCCATGCAAGGCATGATCCAAGTTCTTTATACTCTTGTTGCCAATTCACTGAATTAAGCTCCTCCCATAATTGTCCTACTTGATTGTCATTTGATGCACCCTTTTGCACCATAGCGAGCACATCTGTCATATTTTCATTATACTTCTACTACATTTTATATTATACAATAGTCTTTTTTATATTTTTTTATATTTCTATTTTTGCGTTTTTTGAATGGCCTCCGACACTCATCCAGAGGGTGACCATCACTTACAACAAGAAAATGCTGACAGCACAAAGGCAGGCACTCCTGGTAGCCAGCCTACAAATACGGTATGTACCTTGAATTCTGTTATCCCCCTCTTCCTCTCCTCTTCCTCAATCAGCTTCTAGTATTTCTGTGCACGGCGCCACATTTGGAGTGATGCGTGGCGAAGCTAAACTGAGATGTCAGCCGCAAAAAAAAAATTAGTGCTATCACAACATGGAACTGGTCTTAATCATATGGTGCCAACTTGGCCGTGTGTCTTGTCATACATCGGAATCCAATATGAAGCGAATACGAAACATGGCAAATTGCTTGCTAACAGACACAGCACACTCTCGAATGTGGTGATGTGGTGATATGGCGTTTGGGGTTTTTGTCGTTTTTTTGTTTTTTTTTTACGTCAGCTCGAGTCCAAGTGTCAATCCAAAAGGCATCACGCCCTCCTGCCTCTTCAACTTCCGCAGACAATGTTCTCATTGCGCGCCTCATACACAATACCATGTAGATACTGCAGCTGCTTGATTATCAATCATGATTATCCTCCCTATTCTTCGCTACCCAAACCAATGCATTTTCATATTATCCTGATAGACTAGTGCAGTTGGTAGTACATGGGCTTGACTGAACTTTTCTTTTTCATGTATTCCTACAATTATAGTCTGAGGCACCGAGCCATGGGTTCATTCTTACACATCAAGAATCGCAGGGCTTTCTGGTCACGAGCCCACAGATGAGTGAGGCCTCTCTTGCAGACGAGTCGCATCATCAAACAACCTCAGCCTCAGCAGGCGTAGGTGCCTCATCAGCAAACAAGACTGACTCCATGGACAGTATTGAATATACTAATGGCCATCCAAGTAGGGTAGATAATGGAAGCAGTTCACACTTCAGGTAAATTCCCTATACTTTATAATATCAGAATTAGCTCTTTGTCCTCTTTCTCTTGGCTTTTATATGACCCAGTCCAGAGGAGAGAGAGTCGCATGCATGGCCCCATGTTTATTGCTGAATTTTAAGTTTCATGGACTTTTGACAAATAATTCTCACATTCAGCCCCCCACAAAAGCGACGCAAACAACCCCTATTCGCTCCCTCTTCCCTCAACCACACACAGCAAACACACCAAAATCGTCTTTTGGGATACGCTGTTGATTCTATTAGAAAATAATGGACTTTGATGAGTTATTCATTCGTTATGGACATCAGTAGTTCTTTTGATACTTTGGTAAAACGATGCTAAAATAACTAATCCCCGTTTTATATTTGTCTTGTAATTCCTTATGCATTCCTGATTCTCCGGGATAATTTGTTCTTATCTTCTCGACAATGCAGGAGCCCAACACAGTCCTCGGCTCCAACACACACCTCAGGACAATACCATCTTTCAGTCGCCACATTTCATAAGCGGAATCAGGACACTAACTCCTTCAGGACTGGTCAGCAGTTTTTGATCAAGTTGGATTTGAAGGCAGCTTCGGGCGAACCCTTGAATAACCCAATGTCGCTGATCCTACCACGTAGAATGATTCAAGGCCACCAAAAGGCCAGACAAGCTGACACGAATTTGGCGTCCACAGCCAGTACTTCTGCAGATAACCAATCGGGTTCGACATCGGATTCAGCAGCCACAACAGGTCAACCGCACGACAATTCGTCTTCCTTGACAGGAGATCCTGAGAGCCATTTCTATTTAGAGGTGACAGTCCATCTGGCAAGTTCAGAGGCTATTGTCCAGGCGTGTCCTGAATGTTGTCATAAAGTAAGCTTTGACGTTTTTCAAAGCAAATGTATCCTTTTTTTTTTTTTTAATGTTTCGAGCTTATGATAAGACAGTTTTAAAAAATATAATGATGTGACTAATAAATTCTTGTTGAATTTTGTTCCTACTTAATTTTAGGTCGAGGGCAAAGTACGGAAACCCTCGACTGGACCCGGTGCACCCTCAAAAGCTCATGCCACGAATGATAATGTGGATCCTGGCCAGATCCTGCAATTTTGCGTATCAGAACACGTTGTGGATTTTACTCTTGGGACCTCAACTGTCATGGCCAAGGTATTGTGTTCCTCAACCCATCACGATAAGAGGGGGAACAACGACCGCTATTTGTAAGTAACAAGAATGTCATTACTGCCTGGTATTTCTCTTCTGCTCGCTATTTGCACATAAACATATGTTCATGATCATTATATCTAAAATCATGGATTAGCTTCAAGTTCAGTTTGGTTCAATATCTTGGTGATCAGAAGATCCGTGTAGGCTCCTGTAGGACAAAGGATATTTTGTTTACAGGGAACCACAAGAACAAAAGCATGGCGTCATATAGTGAAGACAAACCACGCATTCAGCGCATAGAGGACGATGGACCTTCAGGAATAGCGCCACCGATGGTCACAGGACAATCGTTCTTTTCAGAAGAGCCGGATTCCATACCCGACGAACTGTTCGATAAATATGGTCATGCCCAATCGCCTTACTCCGGGGGACGATCCCAACATGGAGCAAGCCATTCTTCCTTTACAAACTATAGCAGTCCACGACACTACAATTCAGATCATATCCCACGCATTCATGAGCCTTCGTCTCCTTTGAATGTTGACTCACCACGTCTGCGGCAACCCACCATTGAAAAAGAATCTTACAGTAACCTAAGCACTCGCTCATCAATGTCTGTACAGAGCCCAGGCTCCGGTTATACAGGACCTTCTAACGCTAATCATGCTTCCTTGATGGTTGATTCCAGGCCAGGCATGCATTCTGGATTTTCACCTATCAGGTCAAGGTCTTTGAATGACACACTGAGTATTCCCAAGATTACAAAAATCATTCCTGACGTAGGCGATATGCTTGGAGGCACTGAAGTGACCATATTCGGCTCTGGATTCAGAGGTAAGCGCGACATTTTTGTTTTGTCATGCGCATGTCTGACATGTTTTAACACCGTCTCTCTCTCCTTCTCTTTTTTTTAGCCGGACTAGTACCTTACTTTGACTCTTTGCCTGCAACCAATGTCAAAATTTTTCATTCGGATGTGCTGACATGTCGGACACCGCCACGAATCCAGCCAGCTTTAGTCTCTGTCGGGTTTCTATCGAAGCCGTCTGGCAGCGCTTCATTCGGAAGGATAACCGCAGAGACATCATTTTCGTATGCTGACAAGAGAGGTCTAGTTTTAGCAGAGCTTGTTGCTGAAATTCTCGTGATGGAGCGCAACGATCACGAGGACGATGAGCCACAGCAACTGCATCACTCTGGAAATAGGCTTGGATATGTAACGGGCAGTGAGCAAGCAAGTGACAGAACTGAGCAGCGCCTGGGAGGATTAGGAGACCTGCGCTCTAAAGCTACAAGAGTAGTTCGTAAAGGAAGCATGCGTCGCGACTCTTCTGACATTTCTAGCTCACAACAGCGATCAAGACTAACCCCTATGAGAGAGAGTCCTCGACATCGCTCGAGCCACAGCCCTTTATCACATGAGCAGAGTCTGGAAGATGACGAGGAGTTAGAAAGACTTGCAGAGATGATGTCTCTTAGTGTCACACAGTCCATCATTCCCACAACTCAGACTTGCAAATCTCTTGAGTCAGCCATCCTACGCCTTGTTATGGATGCGGGTGAATTACAACATATTTCACTGCAAAATGATCAGCGCCACACAATGTTGCACTTGGCAGTTGCTCTTGAAATGAGTCAACTAGTTGATTACCTTCTCAAAGAGAAGATCGAGATTAATGCAGCCGACTGGAACGGCTTTACAGGTAAATACTTCCTTCTTGGCCTTGATCATTAGTAGATGAACTTTTTGTGTAGAAACATTGGCCCTTACTCATTTTTACGTGCACTATTATGGATATAGCACTGCATTATGCGGCATGGCTGGGCCATACGGGACTTTTTGAGACACTAGAACGCTATGGAGCCTCTACCGAGACAATGAACTGCCATCAAGCACTTCCACGCCACTTGTTTGCAGATGCTGCTGGCGTTCCACATGAGTTCATTGAAATGTACCACTCCAAAGTAGGACAGCATGTTGACATCCAACCCAGGACTGCATCTTCATCATATGACAATCTTAAAGATAACATGCATGCCGTCTATAGCCAGGCAAAAAAGGCACGTTCATCCAATGGCAATATGTACCACAAGTCAGCATCTCTTGACCACTCGAAATCGTCATTTGGAGAGACCCATCGGGACCCTGGACATAGTTTACACGAGCTTCAACCCTCGTCTAGACATATAATGTCGTCAACTCAGCAGCAGCAGTCTATGCGCATGAGACCTTCCTCGCAGTCGATGCACTCTCATTCACATTCCCAGACTTCTCATGGAGCACCTACGCGCTCGCCATCGCCTTTGAGGGAGTCATTTGCAAGCCCTTATCCGCAATCATCATCATCCGGGACTAGAAGATACTTGCATCCAGTGGATATTCATCCTACACGTGCAGGCTCCCTGCCTTCAATTCGGCTGGAGCCAGACCATCGTGAACAAAGTTCTTCGTCCTACCACAGCTCATCGTATCATCGCGCACCACCATCACCCTCTTCCTCACCTATCACTAATATGAACGGACCAGGCTCGCCTCTGCATCGCCATCAACAACAGCATGGGAATAGCACGCATAGTCGGTATCCATCCTCATCATCATACGATCATGCTCCTTCTCATCCGAAGTCGCCGCAGCATTATGACCATCATGAGGAACGGCGATCGGACCGTATGCTGCCATCATTTGGATTGAATCTTCCAGTACCCTATACTACATCATCAGCGTCGCATCCAGAAGAGCGGACCCGTGCGCACAGCCCTAGTAGTCAAGGCAACGGTACTGCAGAAACAAATGATCGGCATGGAATGACTGGACAAGTTGGAGTTGGCCAGAAGCGCTCGGGATCCTATCAAATATCTCCTCACGATGGCCCAACATCAAAAGCTGCTAGGTTGTATGATTCGCGTAGTGAAATTGAGCGGCATGACTACGATAGTCAAGCATCCGCCCTACCTGTCGAAAAGAATCGCTCACACCAGCATCAAGAATCTTTGCTTCGGACTGGCGTAAACAACAAAGAAACTACTGCTGGCAAGACATCTAATATTGATCACACTAAGGAAGCTTCTGCAACGGCTGGAGGAGGAGATGAAAATGATAAGCCTGCTCGAAGAACTAACCAAGCGAGCCATACATGTCCACATCCAAACTGCAACAAGAGCTTCACTCGTCCCTTCAATTTGAGGGCCCATATGCGTGTTCACACTGCTGAACGCCCTTATAAGTGCGACACTTGTGCATTGGCTTTCTCACGCTTGCATGATCGCAACCGCCACGCAAAGCTTCATACAGGTATTAAACCTTTCGAGTGCCAGTACTGTCACCACCAGTTTATTCGACCTGATGCATTGCGCAGACACTTAGGTCGTGGCGGAGGGGCAGGATGTGGTGGTCACAAAGCCTCTGCTGCGGCGGCTGCAGCGGCGGCGGCGGCAGCGGCAGCCTCTACTTCGAATCAGCAAAAGCAGGAGGGTAGCGGAGTAGCAACTACACCTGCCATATCTGCCAAAGATCAAGAACTAAACTACAAGATCAATAATAGTGTATCAAGCATCGGGACTTCGAGCCGAAGCAGCACTGCAAGCAGTATACAGAGCAGTACCAGCATGAGCAGCATCAGTAGCTCAGCACCCAGCCACACTTCTTCCGTGCACTCGTCTGCGGACTGGGATCCATCCACAAAGGTGTCGGTTGAGCGCTCTTCAAACAACTCTGGTAGCAGGATGGAGGGCGTGACAGGCAGTCTTCATCATGAGAGTCTGTCTCGAGCGCCATCGTCACATGAATATTTACAACAACAACAACCGCAGCAACATCATACTTCAAGATCAATATCCTTGCTTGAGAATGCTCGGAGTGACCATGGTCGACGGTTTGCATCCCCAGCCGGAATGGACGAAGATGATCTGGTACCCCAGGCGTCGCCTACTTCGCATACAATAAAAGATGGGGCAGAGTTAGGGGATAAGGAAGAAGAATCACGTCAGGTAGCACTGGATGCTGCCAAAAAGGGAGAGAAGAGTCCATTGCCTGAAATGGCTATGGAAGAAATTGTCCAATCTTCGTAACAGTGGACGGATGATACAATACAGCTTTCGTTCGTTTCTTGAAAATACATGTGTACCTGCAAAAGAAAAGCTACTCTATTGACTTTGTAAAATATTACTACTAAAACAAATAAAAGCGGACAAAAAATGAAAATCCTCAAGCAATTTTTTTTTTTATTGAGAAAGAATTTAATTTCTATGCTTCAATCTTTCGGTTATTGTCGTTTCGATAAGGTTTTGAGCCTAGAACCAGAGTAACTCGCTGTAGCGAGGGATGGGATAGTACCTGTCAGCAGTCAGGGTTTCAAGATGGTCAGCTGCAGAACGTGCGGCTTGCATTGCTGGGAGGATGTAATCGCTGGCAGCCTTGGCCTCTGCAACAGCATCATCGTGGATGGCGTGCAGCTTAGCAATGGCCTCATCCAAACCAGCAATGGCCGCCTGGAGTTCCTTGACAACAGGGGTCAAGCCTTTGAGAGCCTCGAGCTCGGGCGACTGCTGCTCGCCCTCGATGGTATTCAAGATCTGGATAGATTTAGCCAAGCTACCACGATATTCAAACGCAGCAGGCAAGATCTGCTGAGCAAGCAATGTGCGCATGGTATTGGCCTCAACCAAGAGATCCTTAGCATAGCGCTCGTTCATAATAAAATAGCGCGAGTTCAGTTCAGATTGGGAAAAGATCCCCAACTTGGTGAGCATGGAGGCGTGCGAGGGCTTCAAGAGTTGCTCAAAGGCTTCGGGGCAGGTCTTAATGTTGGGTAAACCACGCTTCTCGGCCTCAGCAATCCAAGCATCTGAATAGCCATCACCCTCGAAGCGGATATTCTTGGTGGAGGCAATGAACTTTTTGATGACAGTCAACTTGTCAGCATCTGAGGGGAATGGTTTGTCACCCATCTGCTCACGAAGAGCTTCAGTGACATCCTGGAGAGCTGAGGCGACAGCGGCGTTGAGGACAGTGACGGGGAAAGCAGGGGACTGCTTAGAACCAACGGCACGGAACTCGAACTTATTGCCGGTGAAGGCGAATGGAGAGGTGCGGTTACGATCGGTTAAGTCACGGGAGATGCTAGGTAATGTGGCCACCTTGACGTCCAAAACAGTTCCACCTAACTTAATGGTCTGGATTTCTGGGACGGAGAAGTTCTTAATGGGTCGCGACTCTTCGATCGAATTGAGGACCTCATTCAAATGTTGACCCAAGAAGATAGAAAGAATCGAGGGAGGAGCCTCGCAAGCACCGAGACGATGCTCGTTTGAGGCCGAAGAAATGGAGGTACGTAACAAAGCACCATGCTGCTGAACAGCATGAAGGACGGCAACAAGGATAAGCAAGAAGCGATAGTTGGTCTCGGGCTTGACAGTGGGATCCAGCAAGTTTTCACCATGATCCGTTGACATCGACCAGTTACAGTGCTTGCCAGATCCATTGACGCCCTTGAAAGGCTTCTCGTGGAAGAGAACCTTGAGCTTGTTCTTATGAGCGACCTTGGAGAGGACATCCATGGTCAACAAATTATGATCAACAGCCAAGGAAGCTTCCTCGAAAATAGGGGCAAGCTCGAATTGCTTAGGAGCGACCTCGTTATGGCGGGTCTTGACGGGGACACCAAGACGGAAAAGTTCGAGCTCAGCCTCGGACATAGTGGCCATAACCTTAGAGGGGACATGTCCGAAGTAATGATCATCCATCTGCTGATGCTTTGGAGGCAGATTGCCGATCAAGGTGCGTCCGGTGGTCTTGAGATCGGGGCGAAGAGCGTAGAGCGAGCGATCAATCAGGAAATATTCTTGCTCAGTGCCAAGAGTGGTGTAGACATGGCTGAATTTGGGCTGGGCGCCAACAGGGACGGGATCAATGAGGTTGAGGAGTTCGCATGCAGACTTTGAAACGGCTGAAGTGGAACGAAGGAGATTTGTCTTCTCATCCAAAGCATCACCGTTATAAGAAATAAAGACGGAAGGAATGTATAGGATGGAGGTGCCATGAGGGCCTTCCTGGATAAACATGGGTGAGGTAGTGTCCCAGACGGTGTATCCACGTGCCTCAAAAGTAGTGCGCATGCCTCCAGATGGGAATGAAGAAGCATCGGGTTCGGCTTGCATCAGCTGCGAGCCAGAGAACGCATCAATAGCAGTGACCTTTTTTTTTTTTTTTTTTTTTTTGAACATTATTGAGAGGAAACAAAATTGTTAAAACATAGTCTTTTTCGCTTGACTTTTCTTCTCCAGGGGAAAATAATCCAAACACATGTTTGCGCAAACGTCTGTGCTGTGGAGTGAAAAAATGAATGTAACGCTGCAATGTCGATCCTTGATCGCTTTGATTGCTCTCGTTTTTTTTCGTGACGCCACCAAATAAAATAGCATCCAAAATGTGCACCGATAAGACAATAATAAAAAAAAGATAAGAAAATCTTATGATTCATTCCGATTCAATTTTTCCTTCCTTCCATTTTTTCTGTTCCTTCGCCTCCCCTTCTTCCAGTGCTGTGCCCCCTCATACATCTATTGATCATATTCACTGGATTTGAGCTTGAAGTGGTTTTGTTTCATAGTCATTAGCATACCTCCTCCCCTGCAGCAGTAAAGGTAGACTTGAGTGACAAGAAGGCGTCGTGCTTCTCAGCAGTGGTACCAGTCTGAGGCTGGAACCAGTGGGTGAAATGAGTGGCACCACGGTCCATGGCCCAGATACGGACAGCGTGGGCAATTGCATCCGCAGTAGCGCGATCCAAAGCCTGGCGACCACGCATCTGTTTTAAGAAGGAAGCATAGGCAGGCTTGGGAAGGGCCTTGGCGATCTGTTGGAGGTCGAAGACATTCTCGCCGAAAAATTCAGATGTATAAAGAGGCTTGCCATCAGCCTTCTTTGGATATGAGATGACGCGAGTAGGACGAGTGATGATGTCCTTCAAAGACTCAACACGGGCACTGTTAAGAGACATGGCTTTTTGTATTGATATACTTTGTATAAGTTATGAGAATAGAATGTATAAAGAGGGAAAAGGCGTGGGAGAGTAATGTACAAATGTGAAAATGGAAACTTTGATGGAAAGAGAAGTAAAGAAAAGAAAAAAGAGAAGAATAACAGCTCGATCAATTTTTTTGTATTGTCGTTTTATTCCGCCTCCAAAGTATACAGACTAAAAGACAGACCCGAAACGATCTCCCAATTTTATGTCGGTATGTTAGGGTATGAATGCATGGGTATGTGCCTGCTTTTTTTTTTTGCTTTCCTTTCCCGCCTAGTATCACATTCGCTTCGAGTCATGGTACTCCACGACTAAATTCTAATCTTATACTAAATTGACCCACATGATCGCCGTTACTCTGGACTGCCATACCCCCTTTGATCTCTCTCTCTCAACTGAAAATGAGTCCATTCACACAGATATACATGCATATCACAAAGATAGAAAACCTAATTCTCAAATAGAACATGTAATCCTCAAGGGAACCAAAAATAATATATGGGTAAAAGGAGACATGTTTTGGTTATCATTCATTTCTCCTCTTTGTCATAACTTCTCATTGTTTCAATCCAAATGTATCCAACATATATCAGCTCTGCCTATCTACTCCTTGATAGATGGGTCATGCTGGATAAAGCGCACCATATATAGCCTATATAAAACAAAAAAGAAAAGATAGGGTAATTACGATTTTCACTAATTGGACATTATCTCTTCTCCACACAGATATACCAATGCTCGCGTGCAGTCGGGCCCATCGAGCCATGAGCATTTTTTTAAACTTAAAGATGTATACGACAGAGCTATAATGAGGGAGATGGAGGTCATGGAGAATTTCGGAAAATCTAGGGCTTTGTTGTTCTAAATAGTGTGGCGCCCACGAGGAAACAAATAAAGAAACATTCTTCCGATTGCTGAGCTGTTAAGGTTAAGTAAAAAAAAATGCTGGTCAAGTATTGTAATACTCTGTGGTAATGAAAGCGTGTTCTAAGATATTCATTTGTATATCTAAATACATACGATAAATGGCAAGCTTTAAGCTGAGCACGACCATCATTATCGACTTTTTTTTGCTGCTAATAACAATTGGCTATTCTAGTGTCTTGGATAGAACCTCCCTCATTCTTTTCATCAGAGTTCACTAACGCGCAAAAATGAGTGAGAGTTTTAGTTTTTTTTACTTTTACTTTAATGTCTCAATGAGAACTCGTTGCATCACCATGGATATTGGCTGTATGGTATCCTTTGGCCTTGGAAGAACTACCGGTTTAAGAGAATATGGTCTATCATCATCATTGTGATAGTGATAAGAGAAGTATAACTAGTCATTTACTCAGTTTTGAAGGCAAATTTTAGAAAACTCAACCCTTTGCTTTCTATTAGCTCTGGCCCGCTTGCATCAAAGCCCATGCTTCCTATAGACTCGTCACCAGCCTAACTCCCTAAATACTACAATTCGTGTATCATAGAAGCAAGATTTCTTTTTGAGACCGATATGAAAACATTATTTTTGGATTGTCTTTTTCATTTGGCATACCAACCAACAGTATTCTGATAAGAAAGATAGCTCAAACCTCGAGCTACCGAATACTATGACATTAGGCGATAGTGCCAAATACCAAAGCACTGTAAAAGAACTCTCATTTGCTATATATTAGATAGGAACTATATCTCTTAGCTTGCTATTGGCTTCAGACGGAAAGCTGATGATCTGAGGTCTAGGTATGTGGCTCTGTGACATATATTCTACGCCATATGATTTTACACAAACATTTTTTTCATATCGGTCTCAAAAAGAAATCTTGCTTCTATGATACACGAATTGTAGTATTTAGGGAGTTAGGCTGGTGACGAGTCTATAGGAAGCATGGGCTTTGATGCAAGCGGGCCAGAGCTAATAGAAAGCAAAGGGTTGAGTTTTCTAAAATTTGCCTTCAAAACTGAGTAAATGACTAGTTATACTTCTCTTATCACTATCACAATGATGATGATAGACCATATTCTCTTAAACCGGTAGTTCTTCCAAGGCCAAAGGATACCATACAGCCAATATCCATGGTGATGCAACGAGTTCTCATTGAGACATTAAAGTAAAAGTAAAAAAAACTAAAACTCTCACTCATTTTTGCGCGTTAGTCAATATCGCTCCAACAAGGCGATGTCGTGCTCTCAGCTTACGGAACCACATAAAACTGTATATACAAATGTTTTGGCACTTCCTTCACAGCCATCTACTTTTTTTCGTATTGTATTACGTTCAATAGATACTCATGCACCGTGCATCCCCTTCCCATGGGACGAAATTACAAAACTATATTTCCCCTCCTTCAACATGTTAGAGCTTTTAATAGCAAACAATTTCTCTCATGGTATTCAGTACCACCGATAGTGTAGGAAGTAGACGATTGTAGCGCGTAGTCGGTATAGGTGCAATTTATGTAATGTTCACTTTGTAATTTGCCAGCCATTGTAAACCATTCAAAAACTTATGCATGTGTGCGTGCAAGAGCCTCTCCTTTAACTTACAGCAATCAACTTCAACTGGACTTTTGTTTTTGTTTTTGTTTTTGTTTTTTCTTTTCTTTTCAGAGACGCGTTAGATATGGCATTGCTGTTAATATCAATGTGTAAAGTACATATCCCATATATTGGGTAACATAAGGCGACTGTTCGATGCTTGTTGGTTTTCCAAATCTGCTCTGATTTCACCATAGTTTAGCAGAATTGATTAGCATCCCCTGAATAGCTGCCATCCAAAGGGATTAAATTCGAATGGCCAGGATTTACTGTGTTGTTCAAAACAATAAAACTTGACTGAAAGTCTGCTAATCCTCAAACTATGAGGCAAATAATGCCTCTGAACGCTTCAATAGGATTATGGCGAGCTTTTGGGGTGCAGAAAAGACAAGATTGTCTCTTTTGAGCAATGAAGGATATAGGATTTGTTCCTTGGAGGCAAACTTTTTTAAAACCACGCTTGTTGCTAGTAAAAACACAAATGGTTCCCGTTTTCCGCATACTTTCAGCGCTTCCACAATCCAAGGGCTGTGATGTAGCCATTAAATGTTACATGTTTGTCGAAGTGTTGACACATCCCTTGCAAAAGTTCAGATGTATGCTAAGAATATTGTTTAAGGGACGTAGAGTGGTCAATAGCATGTGGCAGTATTCAGGTGTTTATACAGTATCAGATGGAGTCCGAACAGTCGCCATATTCGGATGGATTGTAAATTGAAGTGAATATTTGAATAGGTAGGATGAAAATAAAGTGAACACATGGAATAATATAGAGGAGTTGTAATAAAGCGCTTTATATCCAATAGCTTGCAAAGAGTATATCTGTATGAGCGCTGTTTCTGAGGAATATGTACGCCTTGTTGAGGCTCAGTGGAGGTTCATGCAAGAGGAGTGGCCAGCTATAAAGAAAGCCAAGTTTCATCGCACAGAGATGAAAGAGATATCTGACGTAACACACGTCAAGTCAATGGTGCTTGACCGTCTAGGATTCATCCCTACGTTCTTTTTTCTGACACAAGTATTTGGAGTGCGTGACTATGGTAGCCCATATCGTAATGTCGAAAAGGGTCTTCTGCTCCTGTATGCACTAATCACAGGAGATTCATTGTCTACAATGTCAAGGTTCATACCAAAGACGTCCTTTTACGACTTGCACAGGGAATTTTATCTTCGGGACCCTGTGAAACTACATGATGACATAACCTCAATGATGAGAGATATGTGCTCGAGTTTGAAGCTACGATTGCTACTTGCCAAGAACAACCCTGATCCATTCAAGCATGTGACATTGAATCTAGACGGACATGACACAAGAGTCAGCTACATCGGTGCTGACAAGCCAAGTCTCTACTCTTATAAACTCAAGAAGTCGGGTTTTCGTATTCAAGTGTGTTCAGACATGAACAATATCATATTGTTTGCATCCAAGCCAGCTCCTTGTCGAGATTTCAATGATGGGACTATGCTTGTGAAGATGAACATTGCATCGCATATACACAAGCTGGACTGTGTTGCTCTTGACGGTGGCTACAGTGGGTTCGTTAGACAAATTGTCGAACCATCAAATGCACTGTCCTACGAAAATTTCTCTTATCCTGTGCGCAAGACTAGGGGGATCGCCATGACAGACCAAGAGTTACATTACAATAAAGCGTTTGGTGGGTTTCGGTCAAGCATCGAAGGGTGCTTTGGAGACATGCAATCCACCTTCTCCAAGTTCACACACGACGCTCCCATCCGTTTCTCAGACGCAAAGACGTTTGATCTCCAATTCAAGCTTTGTTGCCTGCTTATGAATATCAAGAGAGTCGTGTCAATCCATAATATCCCCACTCAGACGCACCACACATTCTGGATGCAAGATGCGTTTGACTTTCCAGACAATAATGAGTATCAGGTTGCTTATGAGAAGCTCCCCAGCATCAAAGTCAAACTAAATCATGGTCGAAGTCTTTTAGAACTACAAGAAGCGTTCCTATCTGTAGCTAGTTCGCAGCCTAACATACTAGACACTGCAGATGAGACTATGGCAGAGACAGCGCAGGAGGGATACGAGGTTGCTAGGATTTTAGACCATCGCGGGGAAGGTGAGGACATGGAGTTTCTGGTTCAATGGGAAGGCTTCGATATCTCTGAGGCAACATGGGTGGCTCTACAGCATTCCAACTACAAACAGTGCATCCAAGACTATTGGAGAACCAAAATCAGCTTCTAGAGACCGATTGCACGTACTTTCAAAAACCATCATGACGCGCACAGACCATGGGGGCGACTTTCCAAATTCTTTTATAGAGATGAAATCCAAAGTCGCCCCCGGTTAAATATTAATCCATGACTTTTCAAAAAGAATACAATATCGTAATCTGCTCAAGCCCTCCGTTGTATTCATTTAGTTCCATCATTGAAGAAACCTTCCCAATTCTTCCCTACTTCCCTCATGTATTTTATATGATAGCTTGTGGCTTTCTTGTTAGTTCCAACTATATGAATACCAAAAACCTCATTCAAGACAGAGTTGACAAAGTTCTGCCGGTTTCTGAAGTTCCAGTTGCTATGAGATGGGTACGGGATTAGAAGTTGTGTGCAAATATTCCGCATGTTTGACGATAGCGATTCCCATTGCTCATCCAGGCTTGATTTGAGAGCAGTGGATGCTCTACATTTGGGATCAAATGGGGAGTCATAACCACAGGCAAAGAGGATGTCTTTTGCATACTTTAGTTTGGTATACTTTGAATGATGTAGTCTATGTAGTATGGCGCCAGTGTCCCTCCTTTCTTGATCTTTCCCCAGAGGATACGAGTCGCTCTGCTTTGTCATCTTCAACTCTGGGTCGTTCTTCAAGGCTCGCAGATTCTGAAAGACCTTCATCTCTTTTGGGTTACTGTAGGTCTGCACCCATTCAGGCGTAAGGATAGATGGGTCCTCAATGCCGTAGGCGTCCATAATCCTGAATTTTTGTACTGCGTAATACTCTTCAGTAGAAAGGTCTGACCTTGTTTCCAGTCGTAGTAATTCTTCGTAATCAATTACCTTGGCCTCCGATATCCCTGTATACTTGGCTTGAAGTAGGGTGGCTGTCCTCTGTTTCAGAGATTCAGAAACCTTAAGGTCCTTGGGCTGATTAGATAGCCCAACAACTCTGCAGCCAGCCTGAACCATTTGAGCAATGAAACGCTGAAGAAAATCATTCATTGATAGATGCTTCTTTATCAGTGCATTGATGAATATTGTGTAGTAAATATCGCCAACATCATGCTTCACTCCAGGACCTTGCCCTACCCTCAGATCAAGCGGAAAGCCATTCGTATCCATAGCGCATCCCTTGATTTGAACCTCTTGGCTGCAAAGATACTTGACTATTTCGTTGTGTGTTGTTGGAAGATTGTTTATTGAATTGCTGATATAGACAAGGTATTCTTTTTGCTGGACGTGCCGTACTCTTCTGAGCATTTGCCTACATGTCTCTACATTGACTTTACTTTGTGACATGAAAAATCCTGCAACATAATCAAAGTGTTGCATGTTACAATCAAGCCCAACTGTGATGGTTGGAGTATGAATAAAATAGTCGAGAGTTGGTGCGATTTCATTAATATTCTGTGCAAATGCCCTCTTCTCCAACTCCAGGGAATTCGCAGTGATGCACATCCCAATGAACCCCATATTCTTCAATTCACTATGTAAACTTTCAGCATCTTCAGCCTTCTGTGTGCTACATATCCACACTTTCTTTCCAGACTTGACTAAGTTAATAACCTTTAACTTCAGAGAAGCCTCATTCTCATAAAGAGAGACGAGATCTCCTTGCTGTGGCTTGAATGTATTATGGATAATGTGGACATCATCTCGAAGCTCCTTGATGACCTGAACGTCTCGGTCTGTTAGATCAGCATCCAAGGCAATCACCTTCCTGGATACCTTAATGAAGTCTCGTAATATATCATTATTGGCCTTGTGGAAGCCCCTCATGGTGGCGACACTTGTCATCTGATCAAAGATAGATGACACTTCATCCAGAACCAGAACAACATCCATGGTGTAGTATGCAAGATCCAGTTTATGTAAAGATTCGGCTTGTATGACAATCTTCTGACCTTTGATATAAGTGGAGGGAAAATCCAAATAGCTTTTAAACCCGAGTCTCTTCTCTAGACTGGAGGCTAGTGTCTGTCTTGGAGATATTGCAAGATACGTCAACTTTGGGTTCATTTGAATAAACTGCTCCAAGAATGTCGTTTTTCCAGTGCCAGTCTCGCTCCTTATCAAGAGACTCATCGGTGATTTGTGGTATTTGATGTAGGGTGACGCATACACTTCGCCTGGATGCAAGTGCTGATCTGTGTCCAACGTAGCAAGATGTTGTCTCAGGACAATCTTTTCGCCGAAATCCAATTCCCCGACGAGGATATTGCGGGATAAACCCTCGGCAATAGCTCTGTAGCAATACAGCGTCACTCTTCCATTTCGACTCACTTGAAGATAGCCATTCTCGTTGTCGTGTCTTCTCTTGCATACATCGCATTGACCAGATTGAACTCGTTGCAGCTTATAGATCCCGCCTTGGCCATCATACTGTATTCTGTATAGGTTTGCATGCTTGTGTTGTGCAAATATTCTATGTACAGCATCAGAGACGACAGATACGGACAACTGGTGTGGTAATGTCATATCTCTAGATGCATCTCCAAGTGCTGCTGAAGTTGACGGTATCTGGTTACGCTGGCGCCTTGAGAACCTGTCGGCAGCTGGAGATTTTTCCACTTTGATACTATTGGGCTGAACATTGGTGATGAAAAATTCTGCATCCAATGCATGCATAGATGGCTGATGCCATGGGGTACGGATGAAACGTCTGGTTATGTCTCTACGTTTCGAGCTTCCGAGACATCGGATGCTTCTGCTTCTTGAGTATACACCTGAATCAATGTACTTGAGCAGATTACCTTCATTCTGATCCTGGTCAGCTTTGATATCCTTGAAAAAATCAAGCAGGAATGTCCAAAGGTGTCTGTGATTGTTCTCGAATGTGTACGTTGGTATCATGACATGCAATGATATCTTTTTATGAGTGGATGAAGTCAAGATTCGGCATTGATTCTCGGTGATGGGATATTTCGGTGCATATTGGTTGCGAGCAGCAAGAAACTCACCAAACACTCGTCTTTCAAGTTGCGCAATAGCATCGATGCCCTCGCTAGGGACGAGTGGACTAGCGCCGTCTTCGAGTGAAGGAGGATCGGTGTTTCCCTTGGAGGTCGTAGTAAGTTTCCAGTCAATGTCGTAGTACTCACAACAGGGATTTCCTTCTCGGATTTGCTCGAAAAAGCATCTGTAAGGGTTCGGGAGTTTGTTATATATATCCAAAAATGTAGGTAGATCCTTGTAGCTTGCAAACTCATAAGACGACTTCTTGCCATCCGGAGAAAGGCCACTTTCGTACATCACAAAGAAAGTATTACTGTTCGCATCAGCCCATTCGTGAGCCCTTGCTTGTGGACCCAAGGTTTGCTTCTTGTCAGCAGCAAAGTAAACTGATTCAAATTTTTTGTAAGTCCGGTTTGTATTTTCAGACATAGTAGGTAATATGTTGATAGTTTATAGTATATGAGTAGCAATTTCATTTTATTTTGTTATCGAGTGAACAATAGACTATCATGGGAATGATTCTTATTTTTCCTGAGTATGAGTGTTAAAGACCTTTTGAACATAAACGATCATCTCCTCCTCAGTCTTGCTATCCTTGAGAACGAAGTTGCGGCGGCTGAAGTCGATTGGTGCAGCCACGTCATCTTTCATCTGTAGGTAAACGTTTTCGCCTCTTGGAGAACGATCAGATCGCAACTCTGCAATCTCAACGGGGTCGAGGTCAGGATTGTCAGCAATGAACTGGTCCAAGGTACGATCGACAGCCTTGCGCTGCAGCGCAAAGAGACGATAGCCTCCAATAGGCAATGGCTGAGGCTGCTGGAACTTCAAAATAGCAAAGACCTCCTGCTTTCCATAAGGGCGACTCAACACTCGGTCGCGGTTGGCCTCCAGGCGTGCACGCTCGCTATTGGCAAGAGCATCCTTAGTGTTCTTCAGCTCAAGTTGAGTTTCAGAAAGACAGGATAGGGTGCCCTCAAGTTGTGCCTGTGATATTTCAAGATCGTCCTTTGCATCTGCGAGTTCAAGCGAAATAGCAGCAAGCCGCTTGCGCAGTATCTCGATGGTAGTGGGTTCTTCGCGCACTGTTTATGAATTGCAGAGTATTAGTTTAAGAGCAAGCTTCATTGGTGCGCGCAGAAAGCATGTACGTACTGGTTGTCTTGGTTTATAGCGACCTGGTGGAGGAATTCAGGGAGCGAAGGGAAAGGGATGGAGGAAGGAAAGGAATAAAATGGATGTTTCTCATGGCGATGAAAGTGTTTTAACATTTTGTGATGTGATAAGGAAAAGAGATGAGATGGCATGATTTCATTGGATGGAAAGTAAATCGCATGACCCTTTGACCTTTTGCTCTTTATTTAAAAAAAAGCCACACCGCCCCATCTGCAGGACTTTATCAGATGTGGTGACACGGCGGCGCAGATGGTCTGTGCACGGACCATGGGGGCGACTTTTCAAATTCTTTTATAGAGATGAAATCCAAAGTCGCCCCCGGCTAAACATTCTACCGCGGCATGGCTCTGGTCGCCAGAACGACAATTATAAAGAAAAAATATTCCTCAGTCCTGGCTTATAAGGAACAAATTTATCAATTGTCACTCCTTTCCTTCGTCACGCAAACAACTTTTTTTTTCCTCCCTCAACTTCATCTTCACAGCCTACATTGTCACAATTTTGAACCATCCTGCTACTGAATTAACATCCTTTAACATTTTTATCAAACTTTTCCTATTTTCTGCCTTCTGTCCATTTCATCCTTGTTTTTAAAAAGGTTTGAAATCACAATGAGAAAGACCGGAACATCATCTCGAAACGTATCACCTCGATCTAGTCTGTATGAAGAGGGTTCAAGCACCAGTGGGCCTAAAATCCCTGAGCGAACTGAACTAAAGATTTTTTGCATTGTTGAGGGAGAAGCAACGCCTTTTCCTGTAAAGATTCCTTCCAATTGTTCGGTCGGCGAACTCAAGCAAGCCATCAAGGCAGCGAAGGAGCCAGAACTCGATCATGTTGCCGCAGACAAGCTCACCCTCTACAAGGTTTCCATCCCTGACGAAGGCAACACCGTGCTTGAGTCAGAAATCGAGTCAAAAGAGGCTCTCGCAATCGCGTCAATGGAGCTTTGGGAGATATTTACTTCTGAACTTCCAAGGAAAACTATCCATATTTTTGTTAAGCTGCCGCCGCAAGGTATGTATTTAGCTCTTGATGGACTGATATTTTCAAATTGATGAAGCTTATTTTCTTTCATGACGTCATTGATTTGACTTCTGAAAGATAACCCTTTATGTTTGGGATGTATCTTAATTAATCAACTAGTTCCTGCTCCATTACCTGTTGTTCAACCTAGATACCCAACACCCCGAGATTGCAGCTTTGCGTAAACAGCTGTCGGACCTCGAGGCATTGACGAAGAATACCTCCATATGTAAGTGTGGATAGATGTGGATAGAATGAATTAGCAATTTTTTTTATCGTTACAGCTTGGAAAGACGGAATTATAACCACTTTTTATGTCTTTTTTATTTTTATTTTTATTTTTTGCATTCTATTGCGTTGCAGCATTGAGAATCATCGACAAAAGAGGAGGAAAGAAGATTGTTTGCACCTTCGTGACGGATACCAAGACGGCAACTCTCGCTGAATTTCATCTTTTCCTTGAGAAGTACTTTGACCAGTTTGCTGAGGACAAGGACCTCAAGATATTCTTGCATCTGCCGGGTAGCTCAATACCGACAATGCTCATTAGCGATCCCCAACTTCGGTCTATTTTGGCGATTGCAAAGGAGAGTAGCTGGAAAAACCTTGTCATATCCCTGGACAATCCTGGAAAGAGTTTTTCGAAATTCACTTGGAAAGAAGTGATGGAAGAATACAACGTCGGTAAAGGCCCTGAGTTTCTCCCACTGTTTGATATTGAACCAAGGGCGATGACTGACGATGAGAAGCTGATGTTGGAGGAAATAATCAAAGAATGCAGCCGGAAAAACGAGGCCTACATTTTTGGTCCTAGCTCTAGCGAGTTCACAAGGAACTCGATCGTCGACTCTTTCATGGTTGGAGCCATGCAGTCCTACAAAGTGGATATGTATCTTGAGCAACAAGAACTGATAACCGGCCTACGGGGACATGGACCGGTGGATTTTGCTGTGTTGGATCGTATCCACCAGTCGCAAGTTCTTGGAGTCACGGAGGTGAAAAAGGACGATCATGTGAAAGGTATGGCTCAAAATATAGTACAGCTCGACGTCGCACTTCAACAAAAAAAACGAAAGCGGACTGAGGCGGATGACGATGGACAAGAGAGGCCCGCCACACGCATCAAGTCATTCGGCATTGTAACCGACGCATTCAAATGGACTTTCGTAGAGTGCACGATGGAGGAAGACGACTCATTGACGTACAAAGCCAAGGAGGTTTTGAGAGATCTAAGACTCAAGGAGGAGGAGACGCTAAGAGAGGATGCAGAAACTCTCTTTTGTTATGTTCTTTCTCTGTACGATCGCATGAAAGATGAGATTGTAAACAGATTCAGCTATAATAGCCCTGTAGTCTCACGTTCATCTTCAGCATCAGCTTCAGCATCAGCTTCAGCATCAGCTTCAGCATCAGCTTCAGCGAACAAGAGGCGTGCCTCAGGAACTCAATCGTAGTACTCGATCATTATGAAAAATACACCAACGTATTTTGTTCAAATAAAACAGTTCTTCATGATAAAACCCACATAATCACATTGTTTGAATTAAGCTCTTCATAGTCTGGAGGGACATTACAAGTTCTGTTTCCGAGTCATTTATTATGGATAAAGACTGTTTAAAAATACCTATCAATATTTCCGATCATAGAGCGCTTGATAGCCTTGATAGTTTCGGGAAGAGTCACATCGTTGTTGTCTCTCGTCGTATTGATGAGGCTCGGCGCATTGGACACATCATTGGAACAATGTTTAAAAAAATAAAAATAAAAAATGCTTTATGAAGCCAAATAGGCTTTATTACGTTATATTTACACTTCAGGGACGACTTTGAATTTCTTTATAAAAAGAATTTGAAAAGTTGCCCCCATGGCCCGTGCGTATGCTCTGACCTTCACTGTCCTCTCGTGAGGCTTTTTGCTAAGTTTATTTCGGCTCCCCTATCGCATATAGGTACTTTTATCAAGGCCTATCTAACTATCCTCTTGTTGTTTTTTGCGTGGATTTTAAACAGCCCCAAGAAGTCCAAAAAGGAACCTAGAAGACACAGAAGACGAAAAAGGTGAGTTCATCCCACTCATAGTTTTGATGATTCTTGAGGAAGTTTGTTTATTTCATACTCACGTCAGTCTCGCTATTCTTATATGCTCAAAGAGCACCTTGCAAAGCGCTGTCGTTCCTGGAAGCGACATATTGCAGCCGATGGCGAACCCGTAGATTTACCCCTCCATATACTGGATTTGATCGAGAATAACAAGTACGCACCAGAACCCCGCACCAAGTTCCAATCGCTTTTGACGGTGAAGGGTGGAGATCGAATTACTTCAATGGATCTTGGTCAGAGCCCAAAATTCTTTGCGAAAGGCTACCAAGGTCGCGAGTTTTTTGTGACCGAACAGATGATGAAGCTATGGAATGAGCTCGAGAACAGTGAGTGGTCTGTCCAGAAGTGTTTATCGGGTCCAATGGGCGTCGGTAAATCATACATTTCATGGTTCCTTGTGGCCAAGGCATACGCACATGGTTGGCCAGTGCTTTATATTGCCGATGCTAGTAAGCTTAGCAATTGTGACACTAAAACTGCCGCATCAAAGCTGATCTGTCAAATCTTCTTATCCATCAACAAAGATATTTTGACAGCCTCAGAGCTCAAAGAAATGGTCGCAATTGAAACATCGAAGGATCCTTATGTGAATAGCGCCACCTGTATCTTTGCTGAACTACTCCAGTCAAGAAGTCAAAAGGCATTATTTGTCGTGGATGAGCATGGTGCACTATTTCCAGAAAGTAGTAAGTCTGCGCCCGAAAGGTTCCCATTTTTAGGGCCTCTACAGACTTTCAACTCCTGGAACAACTCAAATAATGCGAGAGTAGTGTTTAGCAGTACGGTAAGATTTGCAAAGCTCATTCTCAGAGACGCATCACATTATGTCGAGTATGTTGGTCCAATGTCGCCTGATATTTTCAATAAGCTACTGGATGTGATCATAGATAATCGCTACCCAACAGGCCGCCAACATTTGAATGAGCTACGAGGCGAGATTCAAAAAGCCACCGGATGTGTGCCACGGGAACTCAATATTTTTTTTGGCGAAGACATTGAAGGCATTGAGCTCACAGCTAATGGGATCAAGCAACGACTAAAGGATTATGAGGAGGATCGCAAAGAACAATTCTTGGAGATCTTGAAGAACTGTTATAGTAAAATTGAACCGATATTCCAACCAACTACTCGTCAAGCTCTAGTCGATGTGTTTCTGCAAAGCAAGGATCATACAGGACCGCCACTTGATTGGCGATTCTACCATTTTGGAATAATGTATGAGTATCGGAACAAGGGCAGGAGTATGATTATGAAGCGCCCAATTACACCAGCATCTGAGGCGGCACTTTTGGGACTATACAGGCTATGTCCACTCCCCAACGACTACATATGTGCCGCAAGGCAGAATATCTTGCAACCCGCACAATTTTCCGATGTTTTCTTTCAGAAGCTTATCAAGCAAAACAACATAATCTTCAAGTCGACTAACCTCGCTGGGAAGGAGGAACAACTTTTAGAGCTGAGAGTCGATGGCTTTGAACATCTTCAAGATCCACCTAAAAGATTTGGCGATGAGGGCAAGAATATCTTGATACATGGAGGCGAACTACCTCGATTCGATTTTATACTTGGCTACACTTTTATTCAAGTTTCGATTTCTAATTTTCAAAAACACAACGAGGGCACTGCAGCAATTGATTTGGCATTTACAGATCGGAAATATTCTAATGGCAGAAACCAAATCGAGTATTTCCTAGACTACACATACGGCGGAACTCACAGAGCAGAAATGGAAATAACAGAGGTGACCAAAAAGACCCAAGCTAAGAATACTGGCGAAGGAAAATCAGTAATCGATAAAAGGGACTTCAAAGTAACGAGAGATGGTGTGCTGTGTCCGGACTTTATGATTTTGTATATTCGCGGGAAAAATGACTTTGATGACAAAGGCAACGAAGTACATAGACCCAATCACACTGGTAAGTCCAGGAGTATCCCCAGATAAGACATGTTTGTTGGGACGAAGCTAAAAGGAGCTTATTTGGTGATTCACTTTAATTTCAAATAAAATATTTTTTGGGCAATTCCTTTTTAAAAAGACGTCATATTGCAGGCATATTTTGAATCCTTAAGATGGTTGCAAATAGCCGAAGGTCTTCAACACTCATAACTTGGAGAGCCCGACTGCATATTATATTTGCGATAATTATTTCTCTGCCCAGGTTCATGCACATACTTGAGGAAGCAATGTTCGAGTACATAGGAATCTCTCTCAATGATGCACTATGCAATAGGTTGAGACTCCACTCAGTAGAAATTGTATTCACATCAACCATCTTATTGCCACTGTCGATCTACTCAAGTCTCCACTCATTACCTTGTTTCGCCTTTATTTATTGTTCTTCAAGACGAAGGGCCACACTCCTCGGTGGAATGTTTAGCCGGGGGCGACTTTGTATTTCTTATATAAAAAAGAATTTGAAAAGTCGCCCCCATGGTCCATGCGCGTCATAGAGATCCTCGCTCACTTATTAAGGCGACTGTTCGATGCTTGTTGGTTTTCCAAATCTGCTCTGATTTCACCATAATTTAGCAGAATTGATTAGCATCCCCTGAATAGCTGCCATCCAAAGGGATTAACTTCGAATGGACAGGATTTACTGTGTTGTTCAAAACAATAAAACTTGACTGAAAGTCTGCTAATCCTCAAACTATGAGGCAAATAATGCCTCTGAACGCTTCAATAGGATTATGGCGAGCTTTTGGGGTGCAGAAAAGACAAGATTGTCTCTTTTGAGCAATGAAGGATATAGGATTTGTTCCTTGGAGGCAAACTTTTTTAAAACCACGCTTGTTGCTAGTAAAAACACAAATGGTTCCCGTTTTCTGCATACTTTCAGCGCTTCCACAATCCAAGGGCTGTGATGTAGCCATTAAATGTTACATGTTTGTCGAAGTGTTGACACATCCCTTGCAAAAGTTCAGATGTATGCTAAGAATATTGTTTAAGGGACGTAGAGTGGTCAATAGCATGTGGCAGTATTCAGGTGTTTATACAGTATCAGATGGAGTCCGAACAGTCGCCTACACTCATTTATCACCTTCTTCGCTGACTTGCCCTTCACGTGTGCATATTGATCTGGAGTAGATCTTTGGTTCAAAAAAAAAAAAAAAAAAAAAAAAAAAGTACAGCTTTAGCAACTAGACGGGCCCAACAGCATTCCTCCTAACGACTCTAAGCAATGGTCCTCGTGATAGCACATTTCCATATCGCCTCATGGCCTTTTTCTTTTGCAAGTACTATAAGCAATCACAATTATTGAGCAAGTACTCATCACTCTAAAATTTAGTAAGCATCCGTACAATTCACAAACGCTTGAATCCAAGTCTAAAGTTATAATGATAATACCGATAGTAAAAGTAGCAGTAGCGCACATAAGTAGTAATAACGGTTGTGATAGAGAGGTAAGGTTCTCTTAGATATGCATTTTGGTACACTGCCAATTGGAGAGGCTATTATTTCCGAATTTTCGCGCGAAAACCGATGCATTTAGAGGCACCATCTCCCTCCAAAGTTTAATTCTTGATGGTGATAATCGCGTGGCATGAAAGGACGACCGTTGCAGCTCCTTTTTTAAATAAATAAAGTTGAAGGACAAAATTTTATTTTGGATGAAAATAATGCATTTACGATTGTTGTAAACTAGATTTGTGCCTGTGAGCAGAAAAATAAAAAAAATAAAAAAAAGAAAGAAAGAAAAGGAAAAAGTATCTGTTGGCACTGCAGATGTTCTCGTCTTTCTTGTTCCTCTTTTCGTTGCCAGCACAGATCCTCTTCAATATGATTGTGGATACCATTCATGCGATGTCATGTCTTCATTCTTCTGGGCAAATTACCCTGCCAACTGAGGCAAAGGTCGCACAAGGTTCATAAACAAGAGTGTCTCATTTTGTTATTATTATCCAAACACCAATGTGTGAGCACATCTAAAGTCGTTGAATATGAGCTGCAGTCATTTTATAGAGCACCTTGTTAGACTAGAAGTCGTTAACTCTCCTTTATTCAGCATCGGTAATGGTTCATCATCCTCTTCTCATGACCATTCCTTCAACGCATTCACCATTCTGATTCATACTTCATATTATAATAATACTTAAAACAAACAAACAAACAAACAAACAAGCAATTAAGCAACAGACACTCATAAATATATTTGCATTTTCTTTCCTTGGTCCGTTCACACGCTCCCTTTGCCTTGTTGCTATTGTTCCTTGCTGCTTTGTTACAGCAGTTTCTTTTCAACTCTTTCTTTTCTTTGTTGAAACAAAAACAATCTTGACCACCTTTGAACCCTTGATCACTAACTGGTCCCTCTGTCCACAACTTGCGTGCATCCTTTGAATCTTGCCTACAGAACTTCCTTAATATCGAACTGGAATCCTTGGACTGCAGTCTTAACAGAATCCGCCACTCACCCATAAATTCACGCTTCCCCTTCGCACACTCCCCCTAATTCACACCGATCCATTTCCAACTCCATCATTCTACACCTTTTTGCTTGACTAGATGTCGGCCCCGACCCCCTCCATACTTCAGTCCACGTCAGACTCAATATCTCTCGATCATAGCCATTGCAGACCCCTTCCCTCATCATATCCCTCCTCCTCTTGTCTGATACCAATTACTTCGAACACATGGCTGCCAACGATAACAGAGCAATCGTTATCACAGGAACGGTCTAGGGCTCGATCCATCACTAAAGCAAAGACTTCCAACATTACACGAAGAGCTTCATTACATCATCCTCGTTACCATCATCATACACGTCGACCATCGAAGCAGTTCGTAGCCACAACTTCGAATGCCATCTTTGGTGATTGGGATATTGAACTGAAAATTGATCATCGAACATTAGCCAGAGCAAAGGAGTCGAACAAGAGTAATGGAGAGATGGCGGTTAAGGGACGAGGCGGTGCATCAGTACGAAGCAATGGAAGAGGAGGAGCAGGAGTAGGGGCATCTGTAGCTCTTGGTCCTGGTCCTGGCGTCAACACAGGGACTTCAGGTATACAGCCACTCTCAATACCATCCTTGGCAACACCGTCCTCTTCATCAGAAAAGCAAATGCTAGGAGATACACTTCAAATGACCCAAACTCCTTCCTCACCCATCATTACAAATGACAAATTTGTTTCTTACCACAACCTGTCCCCTCGGAAAGCAGAGCAAGCATTAGATGTGAATAACAACCCTAAAAAACTCACGGCAGGGGCGGTAACTTTTACAGACAAAAGGTTATCAAAAAGCAACCAGCAACCATCCTTCTCACAGCCGCAGCAACGACAACAAGAGCACCAGACGAGTAATGAGTCATCGATTGATGGCAGTGAACATCGCAATGCTTTACAGACCCCAGCCACAAGATCGAGCTTTTTGAAAGCCCTCAACAAATTTAAAAACAAGCATCTTCAGCAGAAAAGGTAATAACATGTTCATTCCTTCTCTAACTCTCTACCTTTGCGTAGCCAATGGATGGGTTCTTTTATTAAGTTTTTTTTTTTTTTTTTTTTTTTGGATGAGGGGAACAGACTTACTAATGGATATATTTTCATCTTTTACTTCGTGTCACCATTTAATTATAATATGCATAATACCAATAAAACAGATCAAGTGCCCCACCACTTTCTTTATTTCCAGCTCCTAAAGAGCCATCAGTGCCCTTTACCAATAAGCGAACCTCTCATATCACACCTTCCACCTATGCCGACGAATCAGGAGCTATTCAAATGCCTCTTGTTACCGTTACATCATCCGAACCGGCGTCAATAGGAGATATCGTCGACTCGCCTCATAATGAAGAGCTTTGTCTTGAAGGCAATGCCTCACTCCGTGTCAAGTTCAAGAATAAGGTCAACAGCACACTCGCCTCCATGAAGTCATCTTCTAATATCCGAGATAAGACTAAGGCACAGGAAACCGCAGAGTCGTCTCAAAGAGGCAACAGTGATAAGCGCCGGCTGTCTGCATTCGTCACTTCACCTGCTGAGGACCCCTCACAGCAACAGCAACAGGAACTGGACCATCTAGCAGAAATTAATAGCTCAAAGGCGCGCCACTCAAAGATCTTTTGGACTTTTCCTAGAGTGCGTCTTGAGACTGACGGTCAGGCGCTCTCAAAACCACAACAAATGGCAATGGGGGCAGACATTTTCGATGCTCGTTCTTGTAAGGAAGTGGAGGCAAATACTGGGGAAAATGATGGGCTCAGGCCTACACTCAAGCCATCACAATCAGGGCCCGTTTCAAACCCGGAGACAGATATCTCAGTAGCAACATTGCACCAACAACTCCAAGACCTTAAAGTAGGAGAAGAACTTGATTCTGACCAATCACTCGATATTATCCTGCCCGCTGACTATGAAGACTATACTCAGTTTGCTGAGCTGCCCCTCAAAAAGCGGAAAAAGATGGAGCGGTCGCTCGCTAATACGGAATCGAATAAGGGGTCTAGCTCTGTAAGAGCTGGCAAAGAAGCCGTGAAGCGGTTCTTAAAGCAAAGTCAAGATGGTGATGGCAATGAAAGAAACCAAGGCCTGCATATTGACAACATCAACAATAAGAAACGAGCTCCGACTTCTCTTGATCTTGAGAAATTAGCAAGTAAAAAGACAGGGCCTCAATCATTAGAGTGGCGTCGGTCGCTTTTGAAATCACTTCATCTCGGGAAACCTAAACACAAATATAACGAGGCAGAATTGGACTCCAAGCGATCAAAGTCACCTACTCCCTTCGCAGCGATATCAGAAGCCTCAAAAGCCCAACCTCCAACCCATGCTATAACGCCTGACAATGATGGAGCGATGGTAACACGTCCTAGCAGATCTCATAGTGTTCGATCCACCCGATCCCTTTCATTTACTTCCGCCACCCACCCCGCGCTTTTGGCCACAGCAGTTGCGAAGCCCAGATCACCGGGTTTGCGGCGCGAGACACTTGAAATGGCGATGCGTCGTCGTCGTCAGAGCAGTGCTGCTCGTTCCATTGTCAGCAACACTGAGACACCACCCCTTCCTCGCTCTCCAGGCTACCTCTTCAATATGGATAACACATCAAGCGCGACTGTTACCCACACATTCACAAGCTTCACTTTAGAACTCGCGGAAATGTATGCCCAAGATGTAGTGAATAATTCTGCTGTACCAGGGCTGTTCAATTTTAAACGACTGTCACTGCAGCAGCAGCAACAACAACAACAGCAGCAACAGCAACAGCAACATTTACTGCAACCCCCATCAAAGGCCACACGATCATCGCGACTGACTGTCTCGTCAAATATGATGGAACTAGATACAGATCAGGAATTCAAAGGGTTCGATTCGGACGGGGATGCCATCAGTGGCTATACTGGGGATGCAGACATTTCTATGGATGAGATCCAGCTCGGTCCATCTTCCAATTACAAGGCTTTCAATGTATCCAAAGCTAATTCAGATGATGCACAAAGCGCCGCCACCAGGCGAAGGATTTCCAGTATTGACGCCGACTCGGATACAGTCCCAGAACTCCCTAAGCTTACAATCCGCACACGTGATCTTAACAGGAGCAGTGGAGGACGAAGCGGTGCGGACAGCAATAACGGTTTTTCAAGATCATTTAGAGCAACGTCTGAATCTTCGTTCGACATGGATGATGATCAACAGCAGTATCGATTTTCCGGTCAAGGGCGTAGTGAGAGTCCTCGATCACCTCGTCGTTTTGCAGCAGGCGGCATGGGCTCTTCAAATACGCCAGTCATTTCACGAAAAGATAGCCGCAGCATTCTAACCTCACCCACGTCTCCAGCGTCTTTAGAAGCAACCAACAATAGCAATGGCGGATCCTCATCCCATGCAAAGTCAGCACGCTCGCCAGTGTCAATCGAGGATGTTGTCTCGTGGAAGCCTCGTCAGTTGGGTTCTCCCCAACCGTTACAAGTTTCCACACGTCCCATAGTTCCATCATCTCGCACTGCTCATTCTTCAGTGGTTCTCACACAGTCTCCTGGGTCCATTTCGCCATCAAATGATATGACCTCTCCGTTCGGGCGCTATCAATATCAGCCATCGTCATCATCACTATCGTCATCTACGACACGGCATCCACACCAAGCCTCAGCTGATACTCTTGTTCCGCAGCATTCACGATACCTTAGCTCGGCTTCCACCCACTCTGCTCAAACTCTGACCAGTCAACACCATCATCACTCTCAGTATCATCAACAATACGCGTCATTTGACTCCACCACTCTAGAGTCTGACAACATCAGCGACTCATTTAGCATTCCTGGCGCTAAAGAATTTGATCCAAGAAAAGAGTTTCCGCCAACGACACCTGCAGATCTCAAGGCGATGGACTTTGAAGATCTCTTGGCCACCGCGGAAAGAGAACAACAGAAAGGATGGGAGGACCTCAAGACACAGCGAAAGGATATCTTTTCAGTCTCGACATCAGCAGAAACGAGGTCAAAAGAACCAACAACATTCTTTGATCACTTCAGCAAGACCGCAGCGGTTGCACCAGCGCCATTACCATCGTACCCCTCTCCGCCCACATCGTTCCGGACATCATTTGGCGATGTTCCACCCCTGAAAATCACTACACCGTCAAAGAGCAATCATGCTGCACCACAACAGCGTAGTAATATCGCGTTTGATCTTGGTGCTTCAGATAATGGAGGTATCGGGCCAGGTGCGGGCGTAGGAACAGGAAGTGATCGTTCTATGCGATCCAAGAGAGTGATGAAAAAGAAGATGAGTGTGATTCGCCTGGCAGGTGGCAGTCAGGGCAATGTGCAAGGACGGCGAGAGCGCGATGGCATGATCCGAGTCTCTGTTTCTCCAACACCTTATTCTTCAACTCCACCGCCCCCTCCTGAGATTTTCTCTGGCAGATGCTAGTCTTCTTTTTTTCTCTCTCTAATTTTATGCATTTAATGGCGGCATTTCTTAATGAATATGAAAAGTATTGTTCTGTAATTCTGTCCATGTACTTGTAACAGTATTTTAACGCTTCACTCTTTATTATCCTAATAACCCAATATCCTAATAACCCAATATCCTAGAAAATAAAATAAATAAAATAAAGTCTACTTTATTATTCTCTCTATACCCTTTAAATAGAATGAACTGTATGTACTTGGATATCTATAAATATGTCTCTCATCTTCTAAAGCGTCTTTCGCTTGACCGTTCCATCCTTAGTTTCACTCTGCAGTGGATGGATTTTCCGGCGAGGCATGTACTGAATAACAAGCTCAACCAAGAAATATCGCGACATTGTCAAGAACACACAGAAAGCGTACATAACAGGGCGGTACCACTTTCCAAAAAACTGCAAGGGGCCTAAAAAAGTGTAAAAAAAAAAAAAAAAAAAAAAAAAAAAAAGGAGCAAGTCAACAGATGCCTCCTATCAATTAGCTCATCACTGTTAAAAAAATAAAAAAAAAAAAAAAAAAAAGCTCTTTCTATGCAAGCGCGTCCTCCTTTTTTTTTTTTTTTTTTTTTTTTACCTGGTGGTGGCATCAACAAGTAATTCAAATTTTGTCCTCGCACCAAGGCTACAGTGCTTAGGATCATAGAGTGATATAATGCAAACAGAGAGAAGGACATGAGTGCCACATCCATTGAGGCGGGCCAGATTACATATCGATTGGACCAAATCATGTATACAGGCGCAATAAGAAGTAGATAATGTTCAATATAGAAGTTCTCGACCTCAAAGAACATGTCGTAGTCGCGAAGATCTGGAGATAAGAGAGCCAACATTCTTTTTTTTTTTTTTTTTTTTTTTTTGTGGTTGTGAATTGCAAGAGGGAAAAAGAAAATTTGCGTTTGTTAGTCTAGTTGGCCTGTTTTGACATCAGTGGAGAACCCAAAATAAATAAGGGTTACACACAGCAATGCATAGCACATAATCACAGGGAAATAAAAAAAAAAATAAGCTTGCGTCGAATCATTTGCGTCCATATCCATAATCACAAACCCAAAAAGTCAAAGCGTTGAATGTGAAAAAGAAAGCCAAAAGTTACAAATACTGGATAATCAATAATAATTGCAACACATACGTTCCCCACATGATATGGAAGTAAATGTTCAATAGGATATGTGGCCATTTCCTATCCTTGGGTCCAGCAAGAATTGAGATCAACATCATTGCAGACATATGGCAGGGTTGTAACAAATACAACAGTCCTCCTCGGGTCCATTTTTGATACACTGTAATCGCCAAAGAGATCGTCAATAATAATTGTACTGTGATCTCGATCCTTGACTTTTTAGCCGGCGGAACATATGACGAAAACAGTCGAGAAATGGGTGATCTATGAAGACAATAAAAAATAATAATAGTAAAAAAAGAAGGTTGAAACCATTTTAGTGCTATTAACAAAACTTAACGATAATAACTATGTCAATGCTTGAATACGCATTCTCAAAACTTCATGTCCGATTTTTTTATCTTCCTTGAAAGCTTACCCAGGAGAAAGAGCGCGACGATAAAAAAAGTGAGCCGTAGAGAGGAAAACCATGTTATAAATAAAAAACTCAACCATATGGCGACGGGGGGATAGGTACCTGTATAAAAGTATTAATCCAGGTCAATTTAGGAGAAGGCCCAAGATAAAAAGAAGAATATAGTACATTTTAACAAAAAGTATATATTTGGGTGGAGACAGATACGAGTAGCAAGCGAAGCGAAGGAGAAAGAGAGTAGGGAGGAGAAACAATACTTGAACATTGAACTTTTAATCAATGGTATTTGTAGAATGTTAAGCATCTTTTATTTTGTATGTGTATGCTAATTGTTTATGTCAGCACTCACCAAGATCCGTTCAAGGATGATTCCCAGTCAGTTTCGAAGGGCATCTCGGCTGCGATAGCCAAGAGCCAATTGCCCATATTTTCGAACATTAGTCAATTCTTATCTAGACAGCAGTAAGAATAAGAGGAGAAGGTGGTTGAGGCAGTAGATGTCAATGATGAGGAATTGATCAAATAATGTTGGGGATGAAGAATGAAAAATAATGAATTACTCTTTTTTTCTTTTTTTTTTTTCTTTTCTTTTTTTTAAAGTATGCTTAATAAGTTGAATTGATGGGCTGCTCACACTTAAAGCGATAATTGCTGGTTCTATCACATGACAAAGTTAACATGCAAACTATACCGACTTTATTTGGAAGTCAATTAAAATAGAGATCAAACCCAAGGCTCGCACACTATAGAGACATGGGCGTGGATCCTCGCTCTCGGCCACCATTACTTATCCCTTCATGTGGTATTGCCTGCGACGAGTGCGAATGATGGTAGGGCCGCGGTCGCTCCGGAATACGGATCGCACTTGTCGTCGACGGACCATGGCTATTACTGCTGTTGAGTTGTGCATTCTCGCAATTGACTTGGCCTACACTTGTGAGGTCTCCTCCCTCTCCCCGTGAACTATTATTAGAGTCTCCATAGAGATCACCGAAAGAATGGGACTTCTTAATCTTGGACCGGACCAAGTTCTCGCAGCGCTTCAAGATGTCTTTGGATGAAAGATCTGTTGAAGATTCCACTAGATCCTGATCACTAAGAATGGATGAAAGATCCATTGGGACCTATGTTTATTAATAAGTAATGGGATTTAATCCAGTACTTCGAGTGAGTATGTAAACAAGGATTTTTTGCATAAAAACCTCAGTATAATAAAAAGGACTTACGACACAAAATTCTTCTTGGTATTCTAATAGACCCATGACAGCTTCAATCGCAAGAAAACTTTCATCTTTTGTTGGGTCTTTGGATTTTGAATAGAGGACATTGGGTGTGATTACAGTTGCTAAATTGTGGAGATCCATCTTACTACCCGTTTCCTCATCTACATGAGAAAATGATGCTACCCAACGCAAGAATATACAGATAGCTTCCATGCTATCGCGGTTAGGTTTTGGGAGCAGACAGCATGTCAAATGCAAAATTGTCTTTCGTATCGATTCATCTTCCATTTCTATTTCAAAAAACAAAAAAGTTTTAAAAAGAATTCGATTTAGATATAATATATATTATAACTGCCCCAAAAGCTGCGATACTTACTTTGAGAAACAACAAAAAGGCGATGAAGCTTGAATGTTAAAAGTGGGTCTGGCAGATCGCGTAAAAACTTCTTGAGTAGCGCTGCCACTTGAACCGGGTTATCGTCACTCAACGTAACCGAACTAGGATTCTTATCAATGGATTCACTCAGTTCCTTGAGGCGTCTGATATTACCGTTCTTCCTAAAAACTCCTTCCACCGACATGTCTAAGATAAAAATTAAGTCAAAAAAAAAAAAAAGTATCAAAACAATGATCAAACACGCTATGAACTGTGATCATGGCTCAGAGCATAATCTACATACCCATATTACGCATGGCAGTAATGCTTTCGTCTACAAAGCTAGGGATTCTAATCCTTCCAGGACCCGCCCCTAGTGCTGAATCCACACCATTCCTCTCCACTAAAACTTCTAAGGGGACACCAAATGTACCTTCAACTAATGTTACGGAATAATGAAATAAGTTCAGTAAGTAAAATGTGTACATCAAGATTCTGCCATCAAGACGAGTAAATAGTAGAAAATAGAGTCTCTACCTTTGGGCTTTTTCTTGTCCGTCTTGAGTCCCTTTACAAATCGACCCCATAATGTCTGTTTGCGCTGTCCAATCAAATCCAAAAGTTCTTCCAACGTAAAGTATTCTGAAACGATTGGCGCCAGCGTCAAAACGGCCAGATGCTTGACAATAAATAATTCTAGAGCAGAAAGCTCACTCAGGTACTGCCTTTTAGGATGAAGAGTAGTGTTGGATGCTTCTGGTTGTTGTCCGCTTTGAGAAGGATTGCTATGACGATTTCGGCTCGAAGAAGTAGAGGCAGTATTCGATGTGGTATTGCGAAGTCGTTCTGGCAGATCTGAGAGTGTCGCTGGTGCATTCGGATCAGGTCCTTCTCTATCCTCCTCCTCCTCGTGATTAAGTGCGTCCGGTCCTGGTCGCTCATCAACAATTATGATCTCCACCTCCGCATCCGTGCCCCCGGAATCATCTTGTTCAACATTTCCATCTACAGCCAACTCGTTAATAATCGCGTCTTTAGTGGCTGGTTGTCGTCGCTGACGTTCGATCACTGTCTGTCGCCTTGGAATGCGTGCGGAATTAGAAAGCTTTCGATCAAGATGAGTGGACTTTACGCGCTTGATATCCCCAAGATGGATTGGTTCGTACTGCCGATTATCATCTGCCGAATAAGATTTTGACCGTGAATCGTTGCGTATTAAACCAGGTGGCGAAAGTGGAGTCAATGTTGGCGAAGTTGCCAGTTGATGATTTCTTTGATCCGTGCCTGTTAGATCGTCACCTAATATACAAGGGACTCAGAATTAGTTCGTATCCGCCAGCTGTAATTCCAGCGTCATAATCAACATCCAATAACTTTGTATTTGAATTCGTTTTACCTTTGAGGTGAAGAAGGTTCTCCAGTCGAATCAACGCCACACGAAGTAAAAAGGTATATTGTTCTAACTTTGTCACGCGCAAGAACCCTATTTGTGATTCTGCTGTCTTACATCCTGAACACAGGATCTGACCGCTGCTTGGGTCAAATGAAGCATCATAATAAATGGACGCTTGAGAGGCGGCGCACTTTGAGCAATTGAGGCATTTGGGGTGCCAGCGATGATTGTGATTAAAAGTGAAACATTCATCCTCTATCGTTACACGACATGCCAAGCACAAATCTGACGTAACCTCTGCATCGATCGGTTGTTTTCCATGCAAGTCAGTTGTACACTTATCCCTGTTTGCTAATTCCACCAGCTTATTGAGAAATCTGGCAATAACCGCCGGCGAGTCATATTGACGTTCCTACTCGAATATAAATTTAGCAGCGACCGTTAAGTAGGAGAATAGTAAGCACCATTTGTTCGATAAATAAATAGAATATACATATTTGCATCTCAAATATTAGTAATTTGTTCATTTAATGCTCTATTAGCATACTGTAGCAATGCTAACTTACCAGTTTGAGCGCACTGGTTAGTGCAATGCGGATCAGGATCTTGAGATAATGGGCCAATCCAGTGACCAACGAGAGTAACTCCTGAGTCATGCCAAGTCGTCGAACGCCGCTCTCTTGAGTATGTGAGAGTAAGGAGAAAAAGTTGACGATTTTTTTACATAGCATCTTAGCCTCTCTCCCATGCGCCATATCTATGTTTTATGAAGGAGATTGAGCATCCAAGACTGCTATATCAGCATAGAATTGACGATAGCGCCCCAGCGTAACAATATCAACAAAAGGTCACAATTAAGATCTACAGAATGCACAGTTAACCTACCACTTTTATCACCAACTTCCTTCATCTGAGCCTCAAGGTCATCAATTGCGCTAAAAAGGATATCGACATGGAGAATAAATCTCCCAGCCATAAGCACACCTTCATAGTAGGCGCCATTGGAAACATGGAGCAGCATATCGGAAATACAGCCCGCTGAGGACTCTTCAAATGCTGAGAGAACAGTCCAGATTTGGTAGACCTTTTCCTCCATCTGCTGCTGAGCGAGTTTAAGTTCCTCAGGCGTCTTAATCTCGACAGATGACGCTGAATCTTCTCCTGGGGATGCAGTTGTATTTACAACCTCTCTGTCACTAACGGCTGGATCTGCATTACCGTCAATTTCAATTTGTCGCCGTTCAAGTGTTGGCCCTGGTCCTACTGCTGATCTAAACTCTATGTCTGTGCCTGCTCCAAACTCTGTCCCTTCTGGTTGTGACCCTGGATCTGCTTCGTCCTGGGATAGATCTTCTTTCTGCGGAACTGAGGAGAGTTTCACGTTCCAGAACTAATACGTGTCATGTGATACAATATAGCGGAATTGAAAAATTAGACTTCAATTACTTGGTTTCAACAATTAAATAAAAAGGTATCTCTGCGAACAAAGGAGAGAGTACGTCCGGAAAAAGAAAAGCAAATATAATAAACAGTGGAGATACTACAATGCAGCGGGGGTGAGCGAGATCGACAAAAAGAAGGAAGAAAGTTCTCCATTTACCTTATGGATCATGTAACACTCTGGGTGCCAATGTTCGTCCTGGCTGTTGCGGTTTATTTCGACAAACTGCTTAAGGATGGCAGTCCTACATCCTGCACACTTGACAGCATAACAGAGCGAATAGTGATAGTGACAATAAACTTTGCCATCATGTTCGTAATAAGAATCTTTAGGTCCAAAGACGGTTGGGCAGACCGAGCATGTAAAGTGCTCAATATGATATTTGTAGTCGAGTGCTGTTATATAGGAGCCACGAAGAGCTCCTCCACAAGACTGGCACACAAGGTTGAGTCGCCGGAAATAGTCGCGCTCACACAGTGGATACTGCTTTCCATCGGGCTCGGTGATGGGGAAAAACTTGGAGGCAACAATCTGGCCACAGTCCTTGATGATGTACCCATTTTGTAACGTAATGAAAGATTTGAATGCATCAAAATCGGAGTGATGAGTTAAAAATAGGGTCACTGAATAGGAAAAAAAAAAAAAAAAAAAAAAAAGAACACGCTCATGAGGATGGTCTAGGCCAAGTCAGATGCCGCTGTCTTACCATGCACTTGAAACAGTCGAGATGATATGTACTGCCCAGCGCACGCACAAACGAGCCTTTCATTTGGAGATTACATTTTCCGCACCGTTGCACTGCAGGAGCCAGCTCCACGACAGGCGTCGTTTGGACGGGTTGACTTTGAAGACGTGTTTGGTCTGTCTGTTGCGGAAAAGAATGGGATGCCATGTCTCCAGATCTGTCAAGTTGCTGAGAAGGGTCCTGTGGCGATGGATGTGACATACTCGACTGGGCTTCACTCATGGCGAAGGAAGTGGCAAGGGTCGAGCAGGTGCCAGCGTGTTCACTTTTCTTATTGCGGGGTGAGTGTACGACGCTGATGGCTCAAGAGAAAATGAGCTGTCAAGATGAATTTCGATTAAGGCACAGAGAGCAAGGCACAAACAAAAAAAAGTTGACCAAGACGTGAGAGAATAGGAGGTGAGAAGAAGAGAGGAATGCTAGAAGGTCAGGGTTAAGAGAATAGTATGAATGGAGCGTACAGTGGTAGTCTGTAGAGCCGCAAAATGTGAGCTAAACAGACGAAGATGGAAGGAGTTTGGGTATATGAAAATGAATAGGAAGGAAAAAAGGAGAGTAAAAGTACGGTTTAGTGATGATGAACGTATAATGCAGGCTGACGAGCGGAAGCAAACAAGATGGGTTGAATTTAGGAAAAAAAAAAAAAATAAAGACAGCACTACGAGGCTACAAGAGAACGGAGCATGAGGGTGTGAGTGAGGGTGTGAGTGAGGGTGAGGTTGTGAGAGATGCTTTGCTCCTGGCTTGGGAAAAGTGACGATGAATGAGAGAGGGTGTGAGATGAGGGAATGGAGAACACTGAAAGGCTTCCCCAAAAATGAGGCCAGAGTGACAGCAAAAGAATGTTGGATACAGAAGTATGAAAAGTTACGAAAGGTCTTTGGGTCAAACTACATGAAATGGATCAAACAGCAAACACTTCATTAGTTTACGACCCACTTTCAGGCACTTTTGGTATTTTAGCCTGTTTCTCATAAAGTTTTAACTAGAGACAAAAAAAAGAAAACCCTCCACCCAAGGGAGGTTGACGTTAAGAAGTGATTCGCAGCTAATAGCCACATGCTCATCCTGGAATTTCAATTGTTTTGAACGCCTGGATAAATATCAAAGGATGATGCCTTCTTTTTATTAAGAGCATGCAAAGTGATGTTTATTTAAAATAAATAACAGAACTGCATTGAAGTATAACATAATGAAAGCGGTAAGATTGTGGGACAATATTTGAAAATTAAGTCTTGACAACGTATTGTCTATTTATTTATTTTTTTAAAAAAAAAGGCAACTCTGAAAGATGCATTATATTTCTGACATAATAAATGAAAGCTTACAAACTTTGGAAGGCGCTTCTAACGCCCATGAGCTTGTTGGCTTGAACTTGTCGGGCCTCCTTTGTGTAGTCATATGGAAAGGCATACACGCGTAAGGTTCTCGGACCCGACCATATCACGATCACAATATGTCTGACGGCTTCGACAATATTTGGACCTGTTGACATGACTTTCCAGGAATGCGTTGCAGTTGAGGCATGAACACCAACAACTTCGTATCCAAGGGATTTGGCCTGTTTGAGAAAAAAAATAAAATAAATAAATACGAATTGAACAGAGAATGGAGTGACCAAAATGCCCTTTTTTTCGATACTTACTCTCGTTAGATTCTCTTTTCGAACTCGGAATGGATAATCCAGTTTATGTGTTGAAAGAACCAAGGCCGATTGGAGGCATCCATCTTCATCCCGCTGCTCCCTCCAGCAAGTCGAAGAATTGAATTAATCCCATAGTCGTATGCAGCTTTCTGAGCTATTCTCAAGTTCCAAGTCTTTCGTAGGTGCCACTTGCTGAGATAAAAAAGACCGGAGTTTTCTCCCTCTCCAGGACCCGTCCCAACGACAAGCGGTGTCGAACCGGAACTTGAGAACGTTCCATCGAAACAACCTCGAGATTCTTCAGTATCTTAAAGCTTCGTTTCCAGTTGACGCTAGTGACATGCGCTCTTTGCGTATCTGAAGTGTCTGACTCATCGTTCGAGGCAGCTGGTCCAGAGCTAGGGCCCCCCGAGGGCACAGAAGTACGTGGTGCTTCACCTTGCACACGTTTCGCAGCCGCAGACAGGGTGGTGCTGAACTTTCGCTTAGCACTAGTACGTAAATGAGCCCTTGACGATGAGCTTTCAGCTTTCAGCTTCCTGCTCCGCTGGTTGCGAAAGAGTGTCTTCCATGTCATCAATGAATGCCTCGTCCAGGTCGAACTCATCGTCATCCTCGGTAAAGATATCATTATTCTCATCATCGCGGGATCTAGATAAGAACGCTCGAGCCCTCGGATGTTCCTTAGTGGTGTCATATGCCAACAGGTAAAGCACGAGTCCATTGGTACAGATGGTCCCTTCGTTCTGAACTGACTCGAGGATTCTAACATTTATAGTGGCACCTTGTTGATAGCCGATTATGCACCGATGGGTTCGAACAGGACAGAGCAAGCTACTGATCAACAACCCCTTGCACCTCAGAACCTTTTGGACAGCGTCCTCAACGGTCGCTTCATTTACCGATTCCAATGCATGAAGGACCCTACGACTCGTGTCCTCGTGCCCATGGAAGATGTGGAACAAACCCTCCTCAGATAGGTAGACGTACATAGACCTGTGTTTGCTTTTTGAGAAGTCTGCAAACATTCCTGCCTGACTATTTTCCTCGAGAAAGTAGTCAATCGGGTTTCCGTTTCCTGGACGCTGGAAAAAAAACCTCCCAGACCTAATTGTTATTTCATGATGCAGGAGCATCACCTCATATTTAGATATTGGATATGAAAATGTGACCTATCAGTGATCCCAGGAAACGCATCCGCATAGCATGCTTAGCGGAAAGCGCTGTCAATCTTAGTGCTGTAGTGCGGACGTGGGCCGTCGTATGCCCTGGCCGTTCGACGAAACTAGGGAATTTGTTGTAGCTTTGTAGTGCTCGAAGGCTCGCAGGGGATGGGCTATTGAGGAGGCAGCCGATGGTGACGAATGGGAGTTGAACGTGTTGTTATGGTTGTCTTTGAAGCATGCAAAGCCCTTTCATATCCGGACATCCTCCCGAGTCACCCATTTTGAATTAGCGTACCCAATGAAAGTAAAAATCCTCGTTTTCAAGGATGTCTTCAAGATCCGTGATACCTTGCTGGGACATGTTACGCCCGAGCCGACGACGAGGTATTGGAGGGGATTGCCAGCACAAGCGGCTGTATTGCTGTTCGAGGGTCTTGGAGATATGGAGGATACCTTGCTGCGAGAGTCCTAGTTGTGTCTGGGCCGCCAAAGGCATATTGGAAGAAACTACCAGTAGAACGAACGTGCGGCTGCATTTCTACCCGAGAACCTTGGCGATATCGGGGCAATAATCTCATAGCATATAGTCCTCGGCGAATGAAGATAGAACACATGGGACTGCAGGACATTGAACAGCTTCGCTGCAGGGTTAGGGATGTTTCCACACCGCAGCGTGTTCGCCTCGATACCTCCTACAGTCAAGGTCTTGGTGAAGTATCTCTCATGCAAGCTATGGTCCTGCAATGTTTTAACCTGATTAATATAAACTTACGAACTAAAGTTCAATAGGACAAAGAGAGAGGTCTTTATTTTCAGGACAGACGAGATCTCATATGTTATGATATCTGTACCACGTGTAGTATTCTAAGTCATCGTATACGCTATGTCTATCTATATGGTGCAGTCCCTTTTCGTGGCAGCAACGACGCCTCTCCTCTTTTCTGGTTCTGATGTACTACCTTTCCTTGGTAGTGCCTTCTTCTCGATGGTCATTTTCTTCACCTTATAGAGCTGATAGATCTCGCGGTGGTGCTGGACGAGAAGTACGCGTGCCAGCACCCAAAGTCGCTGTTTGAGGATGCAGCTTTGCTTTCTTGCTCTCGAAGTGCGGCCGGAGCTGACTAGAATTCGATCCTTCGCAGATATATGATGTGTTCGGCCTACCAGTCATTCAACATAAAAAGAAAACAAATAAAAAAGTCAGTTGTTTGCCAGCTGCAAATTACCTCAATCACTAGTTAATTGTGTGCTAGTGTTGATAGCAAGAAGGAGGTGTGTTGAACTAACCTTTGGACTACAATCGCAGTGGCACGAAGAGCTTTCAATTGGTTGAAGGTGGCGAGCCCGGATATGAACATCTGGTTGGTAGAAGCGGTCTGATATCTAAAAAGGCATTAACAACCAGAGCAAAGTAGTTGAGAGTGATAGCCGTGATTGGCCTTTGGTTCATCGTGGTGATATGGGAGGCTAGTAACTGTTACGTACCGAGGCTCACATTTTTATTCATAAGGCTAGAACATTTGTGACGGTCATGGCGGGTCCTTAATAAAAGGCTCCCGCCTGGCACCAATAATAAAAACAACTTTGATCTTCTTGACTTAGCGAACTCTAGGAAACATCTCAGTAACACATGAGCCAATTGAGCTTGAGGCAAGTCTCGGATGATGTATAGATTCCTTGTTAGGCCATACTGTGGGATATTATCTGTATAGTCGGTTTTAGGCACCACCCCGAGGGCCGCAAGGTGATCAGGGGACGGTAGCCGAAGAGCTTGCATTACATCGACCCTCCTCAATAAACAAACCCTTCTTGTCCTAACTACGTAGAAGATATTTGGATAGATAACGAAATTACTATCCGACGACACAGCAAAGCTTTCAAATACACTCAAGGATCTATTAAGCCGGGCTGGCCACGACATAAAGCAGCAATGCATGCGTCAGATTCTCCTTAGCAGCGGCATATAGTGAATACAGTTGCAAGGTCATCTGCCAATCTGTTTCGTGCCTCAGTGGTGGCAACGAAGACTCTCCTCAGGCAAGCTTCATTCCGGTGGATAATAGATTTGGAACTCCATCTTCCCTGAACTGACCGAGCGCGTCATGGTGAGGTTTCCTGCAGCTGCTTGTTTGCCTGTATTCGGCTATTTTGGCGCCCATCGTAAGCTTTTAGCTTTTCTTCCCTGTGCGCATCCTCGAGAGGTAACGTATAACAACGCGGGTCAAACGACGACGATATGGCGTACGTTAGCCTTATGCCCGCTTGATATGGGTCGAAACTAGAGGTTGAGGCCAAGCTGGCCAAAATAAACTGGTAATAAGTGCCAAAGATATCGAGGCCAAAATGCACCCCAGGTTGTGTCAAACGGGCAATAGGAACACCTTGAAGCCCACGTTCCTTCAGATACTGGTACAGACCCTGCACACCATGGTATAGATCGGGCAAGGAAAAAAAGGGGTCAGGGCAGGTAATTAGAGATGGGGTTTTGGACAGCTTGAGGAGCTTTGGTAGGACAGATGATGGATTGGAAAGTGAGAATAAAATGTGGATCTACACATCACGTCTATTCAGTTTTTTTTTTTGTTTTTTGTAAGAAAATCAGACGTGGGTCCACGCACAACATCCATGTTGTGTAAAAAAATATCTACAGTTTAGCGCCACTCTCTCTTCAACCGTCAATCCTCGGTAGTAGCCTTCTTCACCTTCCTAGATTTATCAGTCTTTCTGATGTACTTGCCGCCCTTCCCTTTGTTCTTTTTTTTCTTCTTCTTTTCCTCCTTAGTCGCCTCTTCTTTCTCATCCTCTTTCTTTTCCTTTTCCATTTTTTTCTTGGGCTTTCTTTGATGATCGGAGCTGACGGGACGGTCGTGTGGTTTACAGTTGATCAGCTCATATTTTTTGGGAGAGAGTTCCCTTTCTCGGTAGGGGAAACAGGTCGTTAGTGATTCGGCTTTGCGCGTTTAGGTATAAAGAATCTTATTACAAAGCAACAATGTCAAGGGTTAGATTACTTTTTTTTTATATATGCCCCGGAAAATGTTCATTTAAAGGAGTTTACCTGGGTTGAGGTTGATTATTTTTGTTTTGGTACCTAGCGGATATCGTAGCCCTCATTTTGTCATGGTAATGAAGGAGCCTTCCAGAGGTTGGTTGTTGCGAAATCTGGGTTTGAATTCTACCAAAGAAAACACTGGTTGAGTGGTCAAATCGGCCTCTGAAGGAGCTCAACGGCTACGGCATGGACCTCACGAACATATGATACCGTCAACTTTTCGGCATCAGTGTCAGTGAGCGATGAGATAACCTCAGCGTTTGTGACAAGACCAAAGGTTGGGATATTTGAAATGTAAGTTATCGTATATAATGCCATAGACTAGGAGTTGAAGGATATATGAGAAGATCAGAATCTCCAGATACATTTGGCGGCAATATATACATCAGCCTCATTGCTACAATGGCAGATACAAAGTTATTGTATCGGCCAAATGGCGTTGCGAGTTCCTTCTTCTCGTTATGACTGAATGTGGAGAGCTATCGAGGACTCTTTTTAATGGAAATCATGTGGCTTCGAGACCCCATTCCCCTCGGTGGACTTGGTTTCCATGTTGGCTATGTGTGTATCAAGCTCTGTATCAGCTGCTGTACGCTTAGCATCTTGATCTCTATAAGCGTGGACTTTTTTTATTGGAGCGAGGCCCATCAATGTGTATCGTCACTGTGGCAAGAGGACCAAAGATCTTTAGAATGATATTAGCCATAGGCAGTGAAAGAGCTTCGACTGAGTTTCCTTAGGATGATATTGTGTATATCACTGTGGAAAGTGCCAAGCAGATCCAACTCAAAAGATGAGTCGGGTTCAGCAGCAAGCTCATGTTACATCAATCTCCTTTGGTGGCAGACCTCTCCTTGAAAGGTATGAACAGAAGTCTTTTATACCCATCTAGAGAAAGTATACTATAAAAGAATGTAAGCAATGTTAGTCTATGCAGCTAAAGATTGAAGTTGAGGTTGTTCGAGTAGACATGGTTTACTTTTAAGCAAAAGGTTGTAATCTGTGAGAGTGTGAAAGTATGAGGTGAGAGGATGAAAAGGTGAGAGATAAATGTCGTTGTATCAGCGTGAAATGAGAGAGAGAGAGAGGAAGAGAGAGGTGTATTTTTAGGTGTATGAAAGAGAGCAAAACAAAGGCTGAGCAGCAATGCAACTCGAAACAAAAGGATCACATTTAAAAAAAACACTTCTCCAATCTACACATGCTAAATCCAGGCTTCAGTATGACTAACAACAAGAAATGAAAAAGCTGCAAAAGTTGTTAGATGCGCAAAGAAGTGGAGGCAAGTGAATGATAGACATAGTGATTATAGCTTGATATATGCCGATTTTTTTTTGCCAATTGATTTTTACTGATTTTTTTCTTCCTTGAAAGCACGGAGAACTAGGTCTTTTCTGTCCATGAATTGATGAAAGCTAGATGGGCAAATATTTTCTGTTTTACGGTTCAAGGGATAAACTAAGTGATTAAGCCCATAGAAGAACCAAGATCTTGCCTTCGTGCCACCGGCTTGTATTTTTTTTTTTTTTTTTTTTTTTTTGGAACGCATCGAGAAACCCATCGATTATCATATATCAGCCCTGCCACTAAAAAAGACGCGTACGAAATTTCAATTTCTTAATAGCTGTTTCTCAACGCTCATGGCACAAAAATGTTCTACGCCTTAAGATGTCCAATCAATTTAATCATGTACGTGTATTAATGGTTAGAGGAACTCATCATTGAAACCTGGTTATATCATGAAGGCCATGGACGACGTTTGAAAAGGCCAATCATTCGGTCTGAACGGGCATAAAATGTATTTATTCACGGTCCACAATCTTATTTAGCACACAGCCACGAATCCTTACGATGCATTGGGAGCCTCTGTGGCTTACGTGTAATGCACTGACAGGCTGGGTCCAAACTCGAAATACTGAAAGAACCTTTGTTGAGCCCAGGAGGAGGAGAGGTATCAAGCCGGCACCAACAATAGGATTTAGTCTACTACAAATATGGCTAGATCCTGAAAGGTCTTCGTCTTAATTTATTTAATTCTTTGCACTAATGTGTTTCTTGTTCCTTTTACAACATTCTTGGACAGTCCCGTTTTTTAATGGGACGGACTATGTCTGTTGTCGTTGCTTCCCATTCATGACCTCATTCAGTGAAAATTTCCTCATGGAAACAAAGGATAGTTCGTCACATTATTTCTTTAAGTTTCTTTTCTTTAAAAAAAATTCTTCATTCTCCACTGCATTTCTCCTAGATATTGTTATACATTTGATTAGATCGCAGCGCAGTCTAAAGTACAAGGCATTTGAAAAAGCATGAAGCATTGATTCCTTGTATCTTCAAAATACTAAAACTCGTTCGATGCGAATTTATCAACGTCAAAGAATGAAGTCAGAACTGTACGTTCTGCAAATTTGCGTCCAGACAACGCGCGTGAAGCAATAGCGGCTTCGTCTACTGTGTTGTACTTGACAAAAATCTTGCCCACGCCTGATACTGGCTGACCATCAACAGGACGAGGGATCTTGATATCAATCACCTGACCAAATTTACCACATTCGTCACGAACGTCCTCAACAATTTCTATAATAAAATAAAAGGAAGTCAATATAGATTATATAGATTAGTCTTTAACAATATCTCTTTGAAGATTACTGTTACTATACCTTCATAATCCTGATCTTCCTCGAGGTCTTCTGGTGTGACCATATTGAGTAACTGCAAAACATTAGTTGGTACCACTTCTGTAGGACCGACACCTGGAAGCATAAGATTAGGATGCAATGCTATAGCGTTAGCGCCACCAGCCGGGTTTTGGTTCCTTGATGATCCAACGCTAGCACGCTGCACAACTAGCTTCTTCTCTCCCAACATCATATTGTTGAGCCCCTGACAGGCGATATCCGTTATGTTGGGATCAAGGTATTCACAGAATGCAAAACCCTATGGACAAAAGAAAAATGAGAAAAAACAAAATATGCATTAACATAAAAAGAAAAGAAAAGAAAATACAACAAGACATGCATGAATGTCGGGACAGTATCAATGACATACCTTGGATGCTCCAACATTATTCTCTTTTACCAAATTAAATGCCTTCAATTCTCCAAATGCAGTCAGAAGCTCAATAACCTGCTCGTCATTCAAATAGAGTGGAAGCCCTCCGATGAAAATCTTGTTCTCACTATCAGGTACATTCGTTGAAATGACTCCAGGCACGTGGATTTGGGGGACTTCTTGGTTTGTACCCTCCGGAGGCTGGTAGTCTTTAGGTCGGCGTATCTTGAGTGATTGTGCCTGGAATACAATTCCATCAAATGCCATGGCCGCTGTCGCTTCTTCGGGAGTACGAAACTAGTTAGTGCAAAACAGCAAGGAAAAAGTTGTTAATATAATTAATTAAAGTTGCCAAGTATAACAGAAAAATGAATGTTATGCATACCTCGACAAAAGCATAATTCTTTTCATAGTTAATATGAACGGATAGTACAGGTGCACCTCCCCCAGTGGTGAGGTTCATGCTCATCATAGTCTGATTGAAAAAATTAGCCAATGATTCCTGTTGCGATAGTACAATCCAAGTAAAAATGTGATGATCGGTTAGCACTTTTTCACTCAAGCAAAACAAATAAGCACTTATTGACTGTTGCTGTTTCACGCCCAAGTACCTCATTAATGCCCATAGGAAGATTGCCACAATAAAGCCTCCTCTGCTGTCTTGCTAATGTATGGTCAACTCCATTTGCGCCCATGGGTGCGTTGTTGTTGTTACGGAATCCAAAGCCCATATTACCAAAAGGATTAACCCCCATCGCACCTTGTGGGCCCATAGGGAAGTTCATGCGAAGAGGACGAGGCGGTAATTCATGAACAAGTTGTGCAGCACGCTCTGGATCCATTCCTTGAAGGATTTCTGATCGCAGCACTGCTGGTTGCCCAGGTGGAGGGAAGATCCCTAAGTTTGCAGAAAGTGTTGACAAATGTTCAAAAAAAAAAACCCCCCTTAAAATAACAAGCAACGACATGTAACCGATAATTTCTGCTCACATACCCAAGTCCTTGACCTGTTGAACAGTCTTGTCTTCATAGCCTGGAGGCGGTACATCCCAGTTCTTGAGCTTACGCACCCTCTTGTTGATGGGTAGAATGTTGTGCTCATCCAGCAAAGGTGACATTTCGCGAGGTGGACTCCTGCTTCTACTCGATCTTCTACCGCTGCTGTATCTACTATCGCGATATCTATCGTCTCTCTCCCTCCCAGGTCTTCTATCACGGCTGCGGTCGCGATCTCTACGGTCTCTCTCATAACGTTCATACTCACGGTCTCTGTCCCTGCGGTCTCTCTCACCACGTTCGCGATCACGATCACGGTCACGGTCACTGCGATCACCTCTTTCCCGCTCACTACGCCTGTCGCGCTCACTACGTTCACGATCGTCACGACTGCGTTCAGACTTATCTCTCTCACTGCGATGTCTATCTCTGTCACTTCTTTCTCGATCACGATCACTGCGCTCATGCCGTGAACTAGAGGAGCGATGTCTATCTCGGTCCCGCTCCTTCTCTTTATCCTTAGAATCCTCTCCCCTATGGCGAGAACTTCGACGATCTGATCCTTCATGCCCATCATATTCGCCTAGAAATAAGAGAGAAAGAAAAAGAAAAAAAGAAAAGTATGACATCAGCAAAAAATGAAGTGTTGAAGGGTTTAATTATAGTCAACTCGACCATGCAACAATACATACGCTTCACGCCGGCTCCCATTGGGTTAGCAAGCTCTTCGGTAAGCTCTGACAGGAAAGAATTTGCCAATTCTGATGCTCGGCCTGAGAGAGGCTCGCTCTTGATATGATGTGAGTGTTCTACATAGTTGTGGTCCATCATCGGATTGAGATTAGTATTTACAAATCCTGTTGTTATTATGAAAGTGAATCGACTAGAGGAATTATGGATTATCCTCATGGTGCTACTTCAAATATGCTTCTTAAATGTGGTTAACAGTTGCATTTACCCATGGTTGGCGAGTCTTTCAAGGATGAGAAGGATGCAAAGAATGGCACCAATGTTCTGCAATTTTTTGTTGTTCGGGTGGGTTACTATGGTAATTCGGTGGCTTTGAACAAAAGGATTTGCTGCCAAGTCCGTAGAACCAAAAGTGAATTGATTTTCCCAATCACTTGATGTGGTCAGTGCCAACATTTATTCAGCTACTATCGAATGACTTGTTGACTTATTAACTGTTATTTTATTTCTATCATGAGGAAATAATATTAAAGTGTTGCTCTAACGAACTTCAGAATAAAGAGTTTTTCTCGTCCTGCCAAACGGGTTTTGACAATCTAAAAGTTACAAAAAATGATATAAATACAGGTATCATTCATAAAAATAGCTAAACACTGGCATTTTTTTTTTTTTTTTTTTCGTTTGCCACTTTTACTCCCTACTAACTACATACACTTGAATCAAATCCGTCTTGCCGCATAATATTCCTTATTTCATCCGGCTTATTTTCATTAATGACCACCATATAAAAGACACCTATCGAGGAGAGGAGACACTATTAAATCAAAATCACGGTAAATCAGTAAGAGAAAGGCTCGCTGTAAAATTGAAAAAAAAAAAAAAAAAAAAAAATAGAAAAAGTATCGCTTGTATTACCTTAATGTAGGGTAGCAATTCATCAATTACTTCACGACCATCAATTCCACCAGCCCAAGCAGCTTCCACAGAATTTGATCCAACTTCTTCTGATGGAGTGAGAACATACGGTGGGTTGAAGTAAATTAAATCAAATTGACCCTGCAATCTTGGCAGTAGACCAGAAATCAGATGAGTCTCAATAATTTCAACAGAGACCTTGAAATAAGGTGTCGATTGAAACGGGAATGTGTTAGTAACTATCAGTTTTCATATTCATAGAGTCGTTAACGCTTTTTTAAAGTAGCATGCCTGATTATGTTTAGCTGTTCTTTTAGTGGCTCTTGTTGCTCTAGGATTGATATCTGTGCAGAACTTTACTGACATTGCAAATAAATTAAAGCATCTATCAGCGTTCGTCCAGGATCATCGGGCTCGACTTTGGGACTATCTATTAAGCCAATCTGAACTTACAGCAATTCGATTCACCCAAAATTTTGGCGACGAATGCAGTGACGCAACCCGATCCGGATCTGTTCCAAGTGATGCAAGCAGGCAAAAAAGATAAACATATGGATTGTACATTGAGCGTATAATGGATATTTAGGGTGTGCCCGGGGTAACTAACCCAATTTCTAAAGAAATTTTTGGCTGTAGCTCTTTCAGAAAGAGAGCCTCATCCTCGAAAGCGTCCAAGAATAAAAATGTATCCTCTGTTTTAAAGAAAGATAGAATAAAATAACGTAAAAGAGCTGTCATAATTTAATAGATCTTCCTTTACTAGAAGGGCCTCCATGAGCCTTTAAATGCCACTGTGAAAATCACCTGCAGGTTCATAAATGTGTTCATAATCCTGTCGTTTGAGATGTGAGAGATCTGGTGTTGGCAACATGATGGAATGGCATGAACTCTGAAAGTGAGTGCTTACCATGTTTTTTTTTTTTTTTTTTTTCTTAGTGATAGATTTGGTGGCAACTTGTTTCGCCCAAAAAAAAGCCACGAACAACATTAGTTGGCCGTTCGCCAGTTGTCCCACACTTCTTCCAACAGCACAAAGAACGGAGCCAGGCACATACGTCAAACGCACTTTAATAGTTTCACAAAACAGCATCCATGTCTGGCATCAGCACTCGCATCGGTAAATTGAGTCCGGACTAATCGCGAGCGATGGAATGGTTTTGAGTTTACTTTCCTCACTCGTCTCCCTTTTTTTTTTTGCATGTCATCTAAATTCGTACTTTTTATTTTTATTTATTTATTTTTTTTTATTTTATTTTTTTTTTCATTTAGACAAGGGTCAAAAAAGATTCGCTCCAACACTCAAAACCCGGCCAAATCGTAATAAAACTGTCGTATCAGAGGATGGAGCCTCTACAGCCACACCATCTATTACAGGAAGCGATGCAGGATCCTTCGGAGCCACCTTGCTGGCAGAGCTTGATACCGAAAACAACCTTACGACTCCGACAGCAGCAACGCCACGCTCTTCTAATACCCTCTTCAGTCCACAGCAAGCTCAAAAAGAAACTGCCCGGAGAATGTCAATTGCAACCCCAGCGGCTAACTCATCAAACATTTCAACTTTGACTTCCACTAAGGCTAATCGATCCTCTGGACAGACCATCTCTGTATCAACATCCCAGGCTACTACAAAACCATTATCTCCATCACCGCCACCTTCGCCTTCTTCAGATAGCGTACCGTCTTCTTCCTCAGCAGCAGCGATAACACAAGCATCTTCGTCAATAGTTGCAGCACCAGCATCATCCGCTTCATTATCTCAAAAACCAGTCAAAGGGGGTTCAATTATACATGCCCCTACCGCAAAACGATATTCAGATGCGCATGACCTTGATGATTATGACGGGAATAGCAGCATTGAAGTCCCAAGCCATATATCGGTTAGGAAGCGGGTTAAAGGGAAGCAAATTGCTCGACCGAGGAGTCACACTGCTGTTGTAATCAGTGCTAGTCGTCACCATACAGCAGATGATGCCGATGGGACTGGCGATGGCATCGAAGGAGAGGACGGCGAGGAATTAATGCCCGACTACTCCAACATGTACATGTATGAATTTACAAGAGATCTCGGCGTCGGAAGGCGATCTAAAATATATTCAGAGATCCAGAAGGCTTTGGAGACCAAGAAAAAGGTTGACAAGAAGGCACAGCGGATAAGGGATATTCGACGCATGGAAGGACGTGGGCCATCGCCGCCTCAGGAAAGCGACGATGAGGTAAATGATGCAGACGATGCAAGTAACACAGGCAATACGACCGACGAGCAAGTTAAAAACGAAAAGATGAAACGAGCGAAAAGCGAAAACATCGCTCCGAAACCTCCACAAACTCATAAAACGTAAAGGAATATAGCCGACTCGTAATGCTACTCTTGTCTTTATTATCTTTTATAGTTAGTATTGTTACTAATTACACACAAAACAGTCTTGCTCCTCAGGTTCGGGTGATTGATGGTCGAATCGAATTGGACATGGATTCATTAACTGTTGATCATGCAGTAGTAGAGGCAAATGGCCATCGAGGACCTCTAGAATACGTCGAAGAATCGTCAGCAACTAAATTCGTCAACAGCGCATCATTTAGCAAAAAGATTCGTTCAGAAAGATGGACAGAGGCAGAGACGGAACTTTTTTATGAAGTAAGCCATAGATTTAAAAAAAAAAAAAAAAAAAAAAAAAAATCAGTATGGATTGGGAAGCAGAGAATCAAAGAAGAAAGGGTTACTCTCTATTAATTCCTTCATCTTCACTTTATGTAGGCTATTTCGCAATGGGGTACAGATTTTGGCATCATTTGTAGATTATTCCCAAGCAAAACACGGATCGCGGTTAGAAATAAGTATAAACGAGAAGATCGGCTCAACCATAACCGTCTTGCTGCAGCCATGAATAAGAAGGCACCTATAGGTAACGAGCTATAGTTTCTTATTCATATTATACTCGCGCATAATATCACTATTTGAATGTGCTCCTATTAACATGCACAATTACTCTTTATGTGTAGACTTGGATAATTACTCGAAAATGGTACAAAGGGAGTTTCCTGAAGTTGATGACCTTGAAGCAATCAAGCTGCCTGAAGATGCGGAGGATAACCAAGAGTTGTTGGCAGAAAATGCCTCTGAAGAAGATTACGACGATGGAGGGGAAGAAGTGATACAAAATGTACAAGATGAAGACGATGGAGAAGAGATTGTTGGCATGATAGAATAAAAATACTTTATGTTGCCACCTTTCTGATATTATGTCTATTCTAAAGATCAATAATGTTTAAAGCTTGGAAGTGGTCTCATACGACTTCTTGATGAATTGGGCGATCGAGTGCGACAGTGAGTAAGTTGTCAACATGGGATTAACACCACTGGCTGTAGGGAAGGCGGAAGCATCAGCCACATACAGATTCTTGACCTCCCAGGTCTCTCCTGTAGGCTTAAGAGCCGATTTGCTGGGGCTGCCTCCCATGCGACTAGTAAAATAATGAAGAGTGAATTAATTTTCAATAAAAAAGAAAAAGACACTTTAGTCTGCCCAAATACTCAGCTATACTTTAATAAAACTTACCAAGTTCCCATTTGATGTGCTGAGCCAATATTTGTGGTATGGGCACTAACACCAATCTTCTTGACCTGCGCTAAATACTTCTTGAAAGCGGGGTCATCATATCCCAACTCGGGATTAACATCGAATGGCTCGAGATCACGATGCGTGGTCCAGACGGATTTGGCGCCAGCGGCAACTAGAATACGGAGACAACGATCAATTCCCTCTTCGATTGAAACAGCGTCGTGCTTTGAGAGACTGTAATTAATGCGTGGTAGTCCGTCGGAGCCAATACTAATAAAGCCTCCCTCCCGATCGCGGCAAAGTACAAGGAGAGGCATGATGTGGTTCATTTCCATCATCCGACGCTTATGATCAGCGGCATTTCTCCATTTAAGGAAGACAGAGTTTAATGCGGGGTGGTTTGATGGAACCTCAATCTTGGACCCATATCCTTTTCCATCCGTGTTTTCAGCTACAGTCGTAATCTTTAAAATAAAATGAAAGAAATAGAATGGCAAATGAATATGAAGTTAAAAAAAAAAAAAAAAAAAAAAAAAAAAAAAGTGGGGGGCATACTTACAGCAGTCATAATTGAACCTTGGTAACACTCAATCTTCTCATCAAACTTGCCAAAGACATAGTTGACAGGATGGAGATGTAAGTGACGTCCGATATGCTTATTCTTGAGTCCACTTCGTTGCAGAATCGCAGGTGTGTGAATTGAACCAGCCGAGACTACGACCTTTTCTGCATGGACTGTAATCTTTCGCCCGTTTTGGTAAGCAACAACACCCACAGCCTTACCCTTTTGGATCAGAACATGTTCAACAAATGTATCCTGCATGAACTGTGCTCCATGATTCTTGGCGTCAACCAAAAAGGTCATTAAGGTTCCTTGTTTCTCACCAAAGCGACATCCGAACCCACACCAACCGCAAGAGTGCTTATGACCACCAGTGTTTTGAGGAATATTCCCAGTAGGATAGCCAAGTCGGCGGCAACCCTCCAATAAAAGAGCGTTAGGACGGTTATGCTCAATGAACTTGTCCGTGACGTGTAGACGTTCGATAATCGTATCAATCGATTGTTGGTAAGCTGGAGATACAAAGTGGGGTAGACCTAGCTTGGCCCATTCTTCACGGACATAGTATGGGAGCTGTAAGGATGCGCACCAGTTGACGGTCGTTCCACCGCCCCATGTATTGCCGGCAAGAATTGTGATGGCTCCATCGTGGTTCGCCAATGATCCGCCTAGACAAAGTATGTGGGATAAAGAAAAAACAAATAAAGTATTGCCATTAACTTCGCAGGAAAGTACGTTATTTGCAAGTGTGGGGGTTCACTTTGTGTCAAACATCACTAAAGCAAACATGTGCATGAAACAAACTTTTTCGTCACTGGATTGCATTACCATTCTCATACAACTTCTGAAAAGCATCAGCTTGATCAAGAGTCAGCTCGCTCTGAGCATAGCAATGGCCTTTCTCAATCACCAAGACGCTCTTGCCAGCCTTAGCCAACTCAGCAGCAGCAACTCCACCACCTGCACCTGAACCGACAACGACGACATCGAATGTGAGCTCAAGTCCCTCTGGTGGTACTTCAATAAAGTCGTACGAAGGAAATGTCTTTGCTGAGTAGCGCTCCGAGTGCATCTGAGGGTCAGGGCCTGGATAACCAATACCACGGTGAACGGCCTCAAGGGGGGAAGAATAAAAGGTGACGGCAGCCAAGCTACACATGGCACGTGAAAGGATACGGAACTTGGTGATCATGCTGTTAGACCACGAAAGCACAATTTGGGTGCGCTGCTCTCTTGAAAGAGACGGAAAATCTCCATAAGTGCCTCCTAGAGCCAACGTTCCGAGTCTTATGTCCATCCATAAATCAAATAAATCCAATATTGACAAAGTTCGTTGTTAGAATGAAGATCCAAGAATGGAACCTGTTGATGTATCCTCTGCCCGCAGAATTATTTGATTTTCATGCAAAGTGAACAACTACAGCTTACTTTGTGGAAAGAAGCTTGAAAACTGTGCCGAGTTCTTCAATTTTCTCGGGTGGAAGTGAATGAATCTTTTCAACGATGGTATCAGCGAGGTTTTGATTCACGATCCCTGCTTTGGCAAAGGCACGTAAAGCTTCTTCATTTGTCCCATCAGAATAGTCCCGAACAAAATTTTCGAGTTCCTGACCGGTTAATTCAGGGATGAAGGTGTCTACAATAGCGATCAGGACCTTGACTTGGTCGCTGGTAAGGGTAGGCTTTACTGCGTCGGACGGAATGGCCATAATGAACCTTTATAGAATATCAAGCGTCTTCAAAGTGAATGATAAAGAGTGAACCTCCCTGATCTTTGAATTATTTCAAGTATCGGAGTTACTGGGTTATTAGATTATTGGGTTGATCAAAAGGGACAGATAGAAAGATAGAAAATGAAGAAAGGAAAGGCAAGGAGGAAAAATGGGACAGAGGATGTCTCCTTTTATTTTACACAAAAAGCGTTCAAATTGCTCTTCGGCTCTAAATCTCTGTATAGACTTTATACTTCGCTTCGGCCTCTCTTTCTCTACAGGCGAACCACCAAAGATACACACTCACAATCGGTTCAAGCTCCCGGCCCAATGCCAAGCTCAGAACAATCCATGGTGGATATGACATCAAAGGATATTGCAGAATCGGGACCAGAAGACCCACTTGTATTGAAAGAGGTCATAGGAAAAAGCAACTGAGGCGTATACCTCTGTCTCGCACGACTTGTTTCAATCTAGGCTCGTCACCAGCCTGAGGACGAAGCGCACGTGTGTTTACACGTGCTGCAAGGCAAGCGTGCCTAAAAAGGCAACTGGTGGCTTGCTCTTGCAGATGCTTCTCTCTCAGGCTGGTGACGAGCCTAGGATAAGCCTACTACTTTAGTAATTGATATCGGACTAACCAAAAATGGCATCGGTATAAGTCTCTACAGTCAGGTTTAACTGGCAAAATAAAACAGATCAATTCAAGCCACTGAGCCCTGCGCCCAGCCCAATAGTATAACGCGACCTCAACAACATTCTTGCTCATTTAACTCTTCTCATTCAATTTTATTACAGAAAGGCCCGAATCATGGAAGGCGCAAATGGAAATCCTACAGGAGGCCGCATTCATTTTGGGTCTCTTGAAGCCATTGAGGCAAGGAATCGCCAGGCAGCAGCGGCAGCAGCAGCTCCTGCTACTTCTTCACCTTCTACGTCAACAACTGCACTCAAGGGGGCTACAGCCATAGAAGATCTCAGTAAGCAAAAGAAAAAGAAAAAGAAAAAGAAAAAGAAAAAGAAAAAGAAAAAGAAAGAAAAAGATTAGAGATATAGATGGTATGGTGGTGTGCAAAGTGAAATCCATAAAAGCTATGGATTGATATATAACACCTACATCCCGTTTCTAATCTCTGTGGTATATATCGACTTTATTAGAGGTTGATGACAAGTTCGAGCACTCCGCATCATCAAAGAGGGCGCGGGATCAGCACTCTGAAATCCTTGAGATGTTTGAACGTAAGAAGAGAGCCAGGACAATAGCAGTCCCAACCGATGACAAAAAAGTCCGGGAAAAGCTAAGAGAACTTGGAGAGCCTCAATGCTTGTTTGGTGAAGATGTAAGCGCTCAATGGAAGTCAAATGCATGGGATGAGGAGGTCTTGCATAACAGGATTTTATGCTCTAACCTGAAGTCAATCTCAATTACTTGCTTTTTCCTTAGAATATGGACCGTCGATCACGTTTAAGAGAGTTGATGGCAAAAGACGCACCCACGGAAGGGGATGACGAAAAAATGGCTTCAGGAGATGAGGCGGAAGAAAGTAGTTCTGACGAAGAGGAGGTAATTTGTTGTTTGTTAATTATTACTTATGGAAAAACAAAAAAAAAAAAAAAAAAAAAAAAAAAAACAATTGACTCGTATATAGAAGGCTGATTAGAATTCATTCGAAAAATAATTAATTTCAGGGGGAAGTATACACGCCAGGGACAGAAAACTTATTAAAGGCTCGAAGAGATATTGCACGGTTCTCTCTACAAAAAGCTGCCATGAGAGTAGCAAGGCAAAACGAAGAGAGCAAAATATCAGTCGTAGTATACAAGAGCATGCGGTCTGAGGAGTTTGAGAAACTGAGGGTACTTTTCCAGACTGAATTTGAGAATGATCATTTTTAGCTTATTGTTTACTCGTTAAAAGCACTGGATGCCTAACTCTTGATACATGTAAATATATACTTGTTAGGTTTATACCAATTATTCATCCCAAATTGGAGATGACCGGCCATTATCGCAGTGTGCATTTTCCCCAGATAGTAAATTTCTAGCAACAGGTTCATTTAGTGGTTTATGCAAGATTTGGAGCGTCCCCGACTCGAAACAAGTGCACACATTACGTGGTATGGATTGTTAATATGCTTTTGGAACAGTACCTCACTGTTATCGATCAGACTTTGCCAAACTAACACATATGCTTTCATTCAGGGCATACTGACAAGATCGGAGGCCTCAGATGGCACCCAAAAGCACACATTTCACAAGATCGTGGGGCCGTGAATCTAGCTACAGGCGGTGGAGATGGAAAGGTTAATCTGTGGTCGCTGGAAAGTGAGACTCCTATACAGTCATTGAAAGGTCACGAGGCAAGGGTGGCTCGTATAGGCTTCCATCCAATGGGTCGATTTTTGGGGAGCGCAGCGTTTGATGGTACATGGAGGCTCTGGGATATCGAATCTGGAATCGAGCTTTTAACACAGCGAGGCCACTCCCGTGAAGTGTATGCAATCGGATTCCAGTGTGACGGATCACTCGCTGCCACTGGAGGTCTGGACGCTATCGGGCGTGTATGGGATTTAAGGACAGGACGGTCAGCGCTGACGATGGAGGGCCATGTTTCCGATATCTTAGGAATTGACTTTGCACCTAACGGATACCAGATCGCCACTGGAAGCGCTGACAATTCAATCCGCATCTGGGATTTGAGGACGTTACGGTCCATTCATTCTATTCCTGCGCACACCAATCTTGTCTCCGACATCAAATTCTATCCAGGCCCTGTTTTGGGTGATAATAACACAGACTCGAACATGCAAGTCGACGGAGAAATAGTACGACCGAGCAAGAGCGGTATTTATTTGGGAAGTTGTAGCTTTGACGGGACGGTTAAGTTATGGAGTGCAGATGATTGGAAGTTACAAAAGAGTTTAGTAGGCCACACAGGAAAAGTTACTGGATTAGATATCTCAAGTGATGGCCGATTCCTTGGCTCTAGTGGATTCGATAGAACATTCAAACTTTGGGCACCTGAAAATGCCGATTATTAAAATCAAATCTACGTTATGTATCCATGTACCCCAACATCAAGGATTTTTTTTTTTACACCACATTCACAATAAGAAATAGATCCCTGATACCATATAGTAAATTATAATTATAAAAATGAGTATGTATCACTCGCTTCAAATCGTCAAAAGGTAATGGGCTGATCTGGTGCCATGGTTAGAGTCACCAGAGTCCCGAATCCAGAACGATCTGCAGCAAGGATATGCCAGGCTCCTTTCCCTACTCACCCTTCGAGCTTTTGCTCCGTTTCACATTCCCTGCTCTCCGAAGAGGACGAGAAGAGTAATAAGAACAAAGCAAGAAGGCTATGTGAGAAGAGATAGAGTGCAGGCTGATTGTGTCTCTCTCCGATCGTTTAACTCGCTTCATCGAGATGAAGGCATGAGCAAGGTGATTATGATGGAGAAGGTTGGAGAAAAAAGAAAAAAATTTGATAAGAAAAATAAATAGTAAATAAAAGTCATGTGATGAATCGAAGCTGAATTATCGTATGAGCTTCAATGAGATCGAAACTTAAAAAGTACCCATCGTCTGTTTATTTCATTCCCTCCTTCTTTCGTCTGTATCAGCGCTCTCTTTAAATAAATCCATCTCATATCAGTAGCTATTCCCATATTCCATTTACACTGAATGGCTTGCAACTTGTTATCTCGTTAGCAGCTCGTAATAGCAACATGTCTTCAATACATCCCCAGAGTTCCTTCGAATCTACCCCAATTGGGCTTATTCAAGTGTCTCCGCAGCAACTCCATTTTACAGGTAAAAAAAAAAATAAATAAATATTGATAAAAAACAACCATTACCACTACTCATCTTAAATACAATGACGGAGATCCACCCCAACCATTAATGGCTAAGAAGAAACAGGGTGTGATATCTTAACTGAAGGTCCCTGAGACAATATTTTATGGTCATTTCTATCCTTATTCACTATTTTACTATTTGCCAAAAAAAAAAAAAAAAAAAAAAAAAAAAAAAAATGTCGTACTCTTCCAATCCTCAGCAATACAGATATATATCATTTATACAACCCTTATACTACAGCTCCTTCATCGGGATATGTTCGATCAAACAACACGTTCAGGAGGTCACAATTCAATGCCGCTTTGGTGATCAGATGCGCGTGCTTGCTCCTATTGTGCACGGCTAATTGGCTCACATAAGCCTGTTTGCGATAAGGAAAAGGTGTTTGAGTTGAATCGTGGCTCCTTTTTTTTTTTTTTTTTTTTTTTAATATATTTCAACACAATTTGCTCTGTCAAATCGTTTTATCGTTCGATATTGCTGCTTTGTTACTTTTCTCTGGAAAAGCTAATGAGCACATGGCAAGAGAATCTTGGCTAAGTGGAGCAGAGGAGGAAAATATGGTTCATCACGCTCAAGCTAGTACATGAGGGCTTAGTTCATGTCGATACAATAGATGGCTACAGCGTGAGGAGATAAATAATTCATTGGGGTGCCACATACACTTCCACGTTCTTGATTTCGATGAAGGCATAACCAAGAACACACCCCATGGCAAAATGCTTTAATTTGGTTGGCTAGAAAAATTTCGTAGCAGACGCGTTTTAACTTTTGATACTTTGTACCTTAAACGAGTCAGCTTCAAAGGTCTCAATTGGCCAAGTGTCTAAAGTTAAGCTAAAAAACTTAGCCTCAACACCTGTTGGGTACAAGTTTAAGACGAATGCGCCAATGAAATACTCAGTCAAGCCCGTGTTCGGCACATTGAGGCCAGGTGAATCCGTTAAAATCTTTGGTACGTACATGACCTTTATCCACTTTTATTTTATTTTATTTCTTTTCGCTTGCCCATGTGAATAGATGTTTTAATAACATGTATGACATCGTACATAGTTCGCTCTGATAAATGGGTCAGTCCTCAAGATAAGTTCCTACTGCAAACAGTTGCATTGACGAATGAGGAAACGCTATCGCTCAGTCCTCTCAGCGTGAGTTTGGCAATCTGTTCCTGGTTCCAACGCTAGCGGTGAGGGTGCTCTTCTCTTCATCCGTAATTCTTTGTTTTCATTTTTAACCTTTTTTTTTTTTTTTTTACCTTTTTGCTTCTTTCCCTCGCTTGAAATGATTTCCTTGTACTGGCTTTTTTGGAACAGTGGAAGGCTCTTGACTCAAAACGAATTCTCGAAAATTACATCACTTGTTCTTCTCAGTCAGCGCTCTCGCTACAAGAACCGGAGGATGATGTAGGATCTCTATCCTCTTCATCCGTCACTTCTTCTTCGCCTATTTCATCCGCTGCCGCAGCATACATTCCATCTTCCGCACAATTTGATGTGGGCCATTCAACTCCTAGCCTACATAACCAACAGCATCTGGCTAACGCTAGTCTTGGTGCCACAGCCTCTGTTCGACAACGAAATCAACAAGTGTTTGAGCGTTGGCAGTATACGGAGTCGACAAGACTTAACATATCGATGGATGGACTTGGAAGACGACTCTCCAATAGCTCATCAGCATGCTCCTCTGCAACGACATCCCCTGGCTCATACCCAATCCAATTCACCGACTCCAGGCAATCTTTTGACTCGCTTCCGAGTCCGGTACTAACGTCACCAGTAGGCGTTAACTCAAAAGAGCTTTCATCGAAACGCAACTCTACATCTTTAAATCTCCAAAGACATCCTTCTATCATTATGTCGACCGCCGAAGGGCCCAAAAAGACAAGCATGAATGAGATCATGAGAGAAACAGAACCTCCATCGCAGAACACTTTTGAATTTTTAATGAGCTCCTTACTCTCCACTTTGAAGTCCCCAGCAAAGGGGGATACAAACCCTCTCTTGAATTTCAGATTCTTTTACCAACGTAGTAAGAGACAAATGCTTGTATTTTCATTCGTCTGTCTGCTTTTCGGGATGCTAGTGCCGCTTGGTCATGTATTAAGCGTCATGAATGCCCGCACGGAAGGACATAAGATGGCCACGGGTAATCATAGAGATATTTGCCAAGTTATAGAAGTTGGTCAATCAGATGTCACGAAATTAGATATATTTGATGATGTTAGTACAGTTAGAACCAGTGTACAAAGCACTCAGTAGGGAACATCACAAAAGGAAGGGAAGGGGTACATCTGGATATATCTAGCCTAGGGAATGCTATTAAAATATACCACAGTGTATTATAAACAAACATGAAAGGAATAGAAAAAAGCTAGTAATATATCAAGTCAAACTAGGAACTAAGAATGAAAGATTGTTTTATTCTGAATCTTCATCTTCCTCATCTGAATCGCTGCGTTTAGGGTATCCAAATATCGTATTTCTCATAAGTACGCCAATACTCATATTCCTTCTGCGTGGCAATCTCTGCGATCTCCTCCTCATGTCCCCACTATTCCCTATTGCCATCCGTTGGTCAGACCCAAGACTAAGGAATTGCTGGCCATGTAATGAGCGTGAGCTAACTGGAGGTCTGCATTCCTTTGTGGTGGCGCTATTGCTCCAAAGGTCAGCGTCTGTGTCGATAATCTTAGAATCGAAGTCACGTCGATCATAAAACTTATTCTTGCTGTTAGCCTCGCGCTCTAGAGCCTCAAGTTGCGAGTCTTTAAAACCAGCCTCAGCAACCGCAGCTTCAACAAACGAATTGCTACGCGCGACTTTAAAAGGGTTCTCCGATTGGTCATCTTTGATACATCCAGGAAAACTTCTCCGAGCACTAGAAGAGCTTCCATACATAGAAATTAAACCAGATCTGGCTTCAATGCTGGCTCTGGGTATATGAGTGTAGCTGAGGGATTTTGAAGGCAATTCTGTCCGTAAATTCGCATTCGGTGCGGTTTCCAAGCTGCTTCGAGATCTTGTAGAGTACACTGAGCCACGGCGCGAACTTGCCTTGCAATATCCACCATAAGAATTGGAGAGGCCACAGCCTTGATTTAAATTACTATCCCTTCCGCAGGCACTATGTGAACTTGGTGAGTGGACTAATCTAGAGTTTCTCGGCAGGTTACTCTCAAACCGCGAAGCTGAAGACTTTCTATTGCTGTCGGTATATAATGTTTGTAGGTCGTGATTTGGTTGAGCTTCATATTCTCTCTGTTCATTTGCTCCCAGCCTCTCCTCTTCGACTTCTTCCTCCTCTTCGACTTCTTCCTCCTCTTCGACTTCTTCCTCCTCTTCATCTTCATCAGAATCCCCCGCGACGCGAATGTGGAACGGAAGGGGGATGTCTTTAATAGCCCTGAACTGTCCACAGTTATTCAAATGCTCGTTCTCTAATCGAAAAAAATTCCACTGCCATCGTCTACGATTCACGTATTTTTGTCAGATTGGGAATGATAATCTATAGCATTGCACTGAGACATGCCCTCTATTGTAAAGCAAACAACTTACCGTAAAACCTCTAGTAACGCTAGGCCGAACGACAGCAGCATCACATTTACTTTCATAGGGATTAATCTAAGAGTCCATGAAAATCTTCCTAAAAAATCTAATATAATTGCCATGTAGTAAACCCATGTTTTTGAATAAACTAACTCTTGTCTCAAAAACGGGTGTCCATATGCTCCCCCGCCGTGTTTCCCAAATCGAAACAAGCCCCAATCCATATAAACATCCCAGGTAAATGTGTAAATACTTGTCAAAATTGAGAAGCAGATCCAAGTAATCTTGAGATGTGGGCCGCCAAAATGCCGGTAGGAAAAATACACAAATAAATTGACGAGGCTAGCAGAATATTTCCCAGCGTTTAACAGGTGAGGAAACCACTCTAAAGTATCACGATAACGGCGCAGGCATTGCAGAAAACGGAACCAGGCTGGTAAAGCAGTCAAAAATGGAGTGATCCACATATGGCTAGTAGAACAGGTGCTTCCTATACATATAGTCAACCGGTATCAAAATATTAGACTGCTTAACTCATCTTTGTTAATATGTTTTTATATCATTTGGGAAGTAAATCCTACCGAGGTCGTTCCATTGTTGAGAGTAGGCACAAATAGCAAATTCAAATTGCTCAATTGAATATGAAAGAGAATTCATTTCATCTGCAAGGAAAAAGTCTCGGAATTCGACCCGGTAGTATCCGCTAGCGAGGATTCGGCCGATACTCGAAATAAACCAACGCCGAGAAGTAAAATGCGTAATAGGTAGAGGGCAGAAGAGGATGGCTGCTGTTGTAGCCATGAAAATCAGAGGCCAATACGCAGTGGCAACATGAGCAGTAAGTTTAGAGCCGAAATCAAGATACACCGCCAATGTCAATAGAAGCATTAGGAATACGGGGAGCTAAAAGATATCAATATGATAGGCCATAAAAAAATTAACATTTGCAAAGTAGCTTTTAGGTGTTAAGGCTGTTTAAGTATGCGCTATCGACTTTTACCTCAAAATACTCATGAAAATCAAGATTGTCGCGTGGATCGAACTCAAATATAAACTTGTAATTGATCCGTGCTTTTGCCCAGACGTACATATTGACTCCGAATAGGCATGCAAACAATATGGTCAAGAAAAACCCCGCGTAGACGAGCAGGAGGCCATCCCAGTATGGAATACTTTCAGCTGCTTCGCTTGAAAATGCCCCTTGAAGAGCCTGGACCATTAAGGGTACGGCCAAGCCGAGATACAGCCCAACTCTTGTCGACGTCAGATGATGTGTCTGGTAGTAATAAAATAAACATCAGTATGCTTCATTTCATTTCAACAAACACTAACTTTGAAATACTCAAGAGCAGTTTTACCTGATTCTTCGAATCTGGTATTCTTAGCTTGGCCATCCCCTTGCGTCTGTGACCTTTTTCAAAGGCATCGATAAATACATCTTCCGTTTCCTTGGTAAGTTGTTCAATTGACCCTGACGTCATAAAATATGCGAACCTTAGCTTGGAGTTCATGTATGACTTTGAAGCTTTCCAACCTGCTGTTTTATCAAACTTTTTAAGAATCTTTGCAAAGCCTGTGTGGTTTAGCACCTTGTAATTCCTGATCATCTCAAGGCTACGATAGAATTCATACAATGCCGCTTTGATTCTGGTCCTTGCAACTTTGTGATTTAGTCTCTGACGACGGTTTTCTTCTGCCTGCAAAACAAGTTCTTCGTCATAGCCTAGAGCGTTGGGCTTGTTAAAGTCAAGTTGTCCGCCAACTGCTGTAGTAGCTGGTTGAAGTGACCTTTTCGACGGCGCTATGACCACGTTCTCTGTTACAGGATTATCCGCTCGCATAAGATTATCAAAGCCCTTACGGACTTTTGACCATTCTGTAGCATACCAGCCTTGATCGACATCAGCTTTTGCCTAGCCAATAAAACAAAATGAAACAAAAAAACATAAATAATAAAAATAAAAATAAAAAGAATTCCAGCAATATCCGCACGAGTGATAAATCGAAAGAAAAAGCTAAGTAGAGATTGATAGGTTTTTAAGTGGTATTGATGATGACTGGTACCATTTTGTCGTCATATCGACGTTGCCATTCATTGGCAACATAAAGCTGCTGCTTGATGACTTTGAGTTTTGCTACCGCTTCAAGCTCCTTCTCTTGTTTTTTAGGAAATGAATACGATAAGATGAGCAGAAAACAAATAGCGTTACAACAATGCAGTGAAAATATAATTCTAGCGCGGTGAGCGAAAACTTTTCGATACATGCAAATTTACCTCGATAAAAGTTATTGACTATCTCAAGTTGTGAATCCAAAAATTGGAAGAAGGCCCTTTCCTCTGGTAAGAGTTGTTCGAGCACATTGTGGATGTCACCATCGTCAACTATGAAGAACAGGAGCAACAGGAGCAACAGTGAGCGATGTTCAGCTCTTCTGTATTAGAATCCTTGAAAAACTCTTTGTAAAGTAATAGCTTACTCTGAATCGCCCGTGTCCGTAGAGGTATATCTAAGTGTGGGCTAATAATAGTAAAGCGTCTTGAGATACTTTTAAAAAAACGCGAGCCCCGAGATAAGGCTGCATGACTAAACCGAGAACCTGATGAGGCTGATTTGATAAGCCTTCGGAGATTTTGTCCAGAAGAAGGAACTTCCATCTGAGAGGAGTCATTAAGCATAGTAGGCTCTATTGGCCTCGATCGGTTATCGGTATCTATAGAGTCTTGCGAAAAACCGGTGCCTTCAGATAATGAGAATGTAGGTTTTGTCGGTGGTGGAGAAATTACAATAGCAGAATAATTCCTTGTGCGACCGTGCTTTCCTGACAGAATAGGGGTTGATGCACCTGTGTTGGGTAAACCTGTCGGAAAGCTCTCAGGTGGTAGGAGAGGAAGGCTGGAGAGAGGGGGTGATGGATCATACTGCAAAGGAAGTGATAATTGATCTGATGCGAGCACTTTCCTTTCCAGATCATTGATCTGGAGCATATGGGAAGGGATTCGGTTGTTTTCTGCAGCATATGTTCCTGTTTCTTCTACTTCTGCTTCTGCTTGTGCATCTGCTTCTATTTGGTCTAGGGTGCGTTCAATTGCTTTAAGGTACTTTTTCCCTTGTTTATAGTTGATATAGGCCTTTCTCCATTCAGGAACGGCCTCATTCTGGAGATATTTTGCAAACTTCATTACGATAATGATATGACTAAATTATATATACAGCTCGAAAGTGGAAATAATATGAAGTAAAAAAAAAAAAAAAAAAAAAAAAAAAGAGAGAACTGGTATGGTTCAAGGTCTTAATAAGTAGTAAGAAGGTTGAATGAAGAGAGATGGTTCGAAAGAAAAGAAAGGAAAAGTGAGGGGACGAAAGAGAAGAGGTTGTTAGTGCAGTCTCTGAGATGTGCTTGAAATGATGAAAAAGGAAAGGGTGTCGCGTGAGCATTACCAAAAAGGCATCTAAAAGAAGGGGTTGGGCCAGGTGAAGTGGTACATTGACGCAATCTTATGCAGGGGCGTAAAACAAATTATTAAACACCGTTGTCCGTTCCTTCATTCTCACAACAACAAGAAAACCACTTCTCTCCTTGTGTGGAGCACCATGGCATATAGGGGTAGATGTATCAGTGGTCAGGAAGATCATCCGGCGAAGGGAGCTACTGAGTGAATATGTGAGAGAGGAATCGATAAGTAAAGACGGATAAAAAAAACGTCCTTCTCCCCTTTACTTATTGTTTCCTTCTTCATTTCCTCAGTCTCATTTCTTACTAGTCATTGCTGTTTTTGTCGGCATCTTGGAACCCGTCTCTTTTACCAAGACTAGCTTCTGACAGACCACATTTAACAATCTGTCGTTCTACATGCAAGCTTTGCACCATACACGCTTTGTGTCTTTCATTACTTCCGTGTATCGTTTACTATAATAAAAATGAATCCGTACAAAATGAGTGCTATGAGCTGTATGGAAATTATTTTTGGCGCTTGTCTGACCCACCCCTGTTTTCTTGCATTAGTTACGACGGTGTATCTCAGTATTTCATCTGTATCGTGGAGACCATATAACAAACTTGAGAGAAAGAGATGTTCACATTGAAATTTTAAGGGCCACAACACAGAAAGGCATTGAGAGACACGTTCAAAAAAGGGGAGAAAAAACGAAGACCAGTTGTTCGGACCCAGAGGCATGAGGGAGACCCAATTGAATTTCTAGGCTCTTCTGTCGACCTGCTAGCGCAGTCACATTTTTTTTTCCTTCTTCGTTTTAGTGATTCCTTTTTGGCAATAACACCAGTTAATCCACATCCCACACTGCACAACTACTGTCTGCAGAAAGGATCCAATCTAACTTCCTTGACATTGCTAATAAGATCAAAATGGGTCGAAAGAAGATTCAGATTAAAACCATCATGGACGAACGTAACCGTCAGGTACAAACCTCATAGAAATTTATAATTCCTTCATAGCACTCAACATATTAGTTGCAGAAACACTGCCTATAATGCTTAACACGTAAGGTGTAACTTGCAGAAATAAGCAATCAGCACTATCAGAAACAAAGGATAAAACTTCATTCTTTTATCCGACTGGCTTTGCCCAACTTTCTTTTCGAGGCTCTCCTGTCCTGCATCTTGGTCTAAAGGAATTCTCTAGCATAGCTTGTTTTATTAATAGCAATTGGATTTCCAGGAGAACGGAATAGGGCCTTGGCACAAACTTCGGGAGCATATTTCTTCGCTTTCAATTATCAAGCAGTATAGTTTGTTAACCCACTTGTTCAATTCATTCATGGCAATAACACTCTTGTTGGTGGACTTTTGATGTAGGTTACGTTCCAGAAGAGACGCTTTGGTCTAATGAAAAAAGCGATGGAGCTGAGTGTCCTCTGCGACTGCCAGATTGGTCTGATTATTTTTAATTCGAATAACAAACTAGTTCAGTACTCTTCGCACGACATTGACCAAATTCTTCTCAGATATACAGAGGTAAGGATAAAAACCTAATACATAAGATAAATGCTAAATTGTTCTCTGACATTTTATGCGCCAAGACAGTGGGATTATACGGCCAAGAACTCTGTGTATAGTATTCGAGAAAGAGCATTAATATGGCTGTTATCAAACAACAATTCAAATGGGACAGCTAATTCGGGAACAACATCACTCAACAGAGGATTGTCGGATGATCCAATTGCATTTTAATAATAACTGTCACTTTTATTTATTATATAGTACAATGACACGTGCGAGACTTACACCAATAAGGAGTTTCTTAATGCAACAGAAAGCAAAGAGGAGGACGATGATGATGATGTATTATCCGTGGCAGGAGATGACAGGGGTAAACTATCAGTAACACCGCAGCCACACAGTACTCCTGCTCAAGTTCACATGCATACGCCTCCCCAACAGCAGGTTCTCCAACATACACCCTCATCCATATCACCCCACATGCCTCGTAGCACATTCCAGGTCCCGCCGAATGTGGTTATCCATCCTCAGCAGTACGACGGCATCCAATACCAACAGCCACCACAGCATCTAGACCCTCAGTATCGTTCACAGGCCTATGTCCAACAACAGCAGTACCCTGCACAGCCTCAGTATTCCCAGCAACATCAACAACAACATTTATTTCTGCAGCAGCAGTCACAGCATTACCAACCCCAGCACTATCAGCAACAACAACCCCAGCATCCCCCGCATCTTCAACAGCTTCCAGCGTCACAGCATTCGTCACCTCAACCACCCCGCCAGCAGCAACACCAGCAACAGCAATCGCAACACCAGCAACAACCGCAGCCACAGGCAATCCAAGATACTATGTATCATCAAGATCCAATGCAGTCTCAAAATCGGTCCTATCAACCACAACAATTTCATCAACCTGCTCCATTCGTAAACCGAGTTATGCCTCCGCCTCAGAGCTCACAGAATATTCAGCTCCCTGTGACGACAAACACATCGATATCAACAACTTTGCCAACCCCTATCACACTCCCAGTTCAGCAGCAACCGCTTTCACAGTCAGCTTCGCCAACTATAAGCACTCAAAACGCCATGAAAGCAGGCCATTCACCAATGAACGGAGACTCGCCCATGACAGATGGGTCTTCGATCACAGCTCCAAATCCTCCTAACTCAGCATCAGGAGCTATATCGCCTGTTCTCAGCCCAACTAATGGCGGTATCAAGAAGCCAAAACTTCGTGTCCAGATACCAACAGAGAGCAAAGAAAGCGCTACTCTTGCTGGCACAATTATCAAAGAGGAAGAGTCTAGTGAACTTCCACCTGTATGTATATTAAGTTTGCGAAACTCCTTATTTCCAATTGTTTCCCATGCGCGTTATTTCTTGCATTCTATTTATTCAAATGCCTACCTTTTTATGATGTGTATATTTTTTTTTTCTGTATCTCAAAGATCCAAAAGAAACCGTTGGAACCAGCACCTATGTCTTCGACGCTACCATCTCAGTTCGCTAAGAACCTACTTCCATCACCATCGACATTTTATCCAGAGTTTTATGCTTCACAAGCGGAGCTGAGCCCAATTGTGTTTGGACAGACGCCTACAAGTGCACAGCCTAGCTCAGCTTTCCCATGGCCTGTCCCTAGGGAGCGAGAACTGTCACGCGTTCACCAGCCAAGCCCACTTGCAAAGGGCCAGACATCTGGAGAGAGCTCTTCTGTCTCGACGTCTAAAAATACTTCTGCACCGGGATCAAATCTGCGCATCACGTCGACGCCAAATACTTCATCTCCATCAAATAACTCTGGCCCAGCAGGTGCATCTCCTGATGTAGACACAACGCGACCAAAGTCTTCTTTAGGGAATGGCGAAGATACCACTGATGAAGGTCCAGCTACGAAAAAGGCTCGGAAAGAATAGGACAGGCTGCATCAATAATTACACATCTATATCATTCATATTAACACCAGCGCTTTGGAGAAAAGAAGCGTACGTTTAGATTGACTCTTGATCCTCTCCTGACTTTTACACTTTCCTAGTTATAATCCTCTTGTCACGAAATCCACTAGTTAACCCATGTATTATATTATCCTGGATAAAATAAATATAAAATATATCCCTTGAAGCTCTTTTTCGAACAAATTTCAAAAACATGCGACTTCTTGGCAGTTACCCAATGAAGATGATTCGACGCTGATTCTGATACTACCCGCGTATCCTTTTTGGTCTCAATCAGGCATAAAGCTTTTTAAAACGGTTACAAATATAATCCATCTTAACGGATTGCTATTTCCTTTGTCTAAAGGCTTATGTGGACAACTTGTAACATGTCTCTCTATCGACAGATAATAAACAATCGCATCACCTAAGTTTCTACATCATCTTACCTCCAGTAAGGGCCCCAACTGGAACAGGACCATCAAAGTACAGCAACAAGGCACCTTGAGTTCATGCTTAACGGTCCTGAAATCTTCAGCTACTGTGGCAATGAAGCCAATATTGCAGTCGTGAGAATAAATTCGAAAAAAAGATTTTAGCTCTTATACCAGGACTGCCAGAAGAGCTACAAGTGATTTTGAAAGTGTCTCGTCCAATATTATTGGACAGGCAATTCTTCCTTTCTTTCTTTCTTTCTTTTTACATACTCTATTTTATTATCTACACTTTATCTTTGACGATACTTTACACCACTAGTCAAAAGAAACCAACTCAACATCAAAAGTGAGACGTGAATTTGGAGGGATTGGGACTTTGGCATCAGGGACACCTTTCCTGCCATAGGCATGCTCAGGTTCGATCGTAATTTTTGCCTTTTCACCACGAGACATGGATAACATGGCTTCGTCCCAACCAGCAATGACATGACCAACTCCAACCTTGAAGCGCAGAGGATTTTTCTTCCTGGCGTTATCATTGCTGTCAAAGACGGTGCCATCGTCAAAGTACCCAGTATAGAAAACAGCAACTAGAGAAAAGAGAGAAAAACATATGAATTTCTTTGCGTCTAAATATACAGCTGATGCCACAACATCAAAAAAAAATAAAAAATACCTTGGCTGCCTTTCCTTGGATATCCTTGCTTATCGCCTTTCTTAAGAACTACCTTGGTAAATTTTGGTGGTGCGACTTCTGTAGTCACTTCCTCTTTCTTCTCTACAACGGGAGCAGCGTTCTTGGCTGCCATAATTTCTTCCTCCGATGGTTCGTCCGCCCCACGGAAGGCCTGGCGAGTAAACAGAGAATTGTAGGCATCAACAAGAGAATCCTTCTTAGCTTTTATTTTTTTTTTTTTAAAAAAAAAAAAAAAAAAAAAAAAAAGAAAAAAAAGAAAAAGACTAAGAATGTGTTTTTTTGAACTCGGTTTACGGTCCATTTGCAAGACGGACCAGTCAATAAAGTTGACAAGTAAATAAGTGTTCACCTATTCAATTGTGCAAATAAATATATTGTGTAAAAAGCCTACCATTTTTGACAACAGTAGTCAACTTTCCAGTGAGTTTGTATTCTACTAAAAAATCATGACTAGCGTTGAGGTGGAGAAAGGTGACAATGTCCTTCTTGCTGACAGCATCTGAGAGAAGTTGCTCGTTTGTCCAGTCTTGTGTTGGAGTCGCCATTGTATAGTGCAGTTGTGATGGTGAGTGAGGTGAGTGTATAAAAAGGAACACTTTTTTAAAAGGAAAACAGTGACTGCTGTAGAAGGGCGAAGGCCAGCAGAGAAACTTCATGACAAAAAAGATCAAATTCTCAGCAATGTCGACAGCAGAACAACCAAAGAAACGTGAGTCTAGCTCACGAGACATCAACGCACCTGCAAATGCGCCGTTTGGGGGCCGTGTTCTGGTGGACGAATCTGCAGTGTTTGAGCAAAACGCATGGTATTTTATTATTGTTATTTTAATAGAATCCAATCAATTATGGTGATTCAAGTCTCATATTCCTTACCACAAATTTGTGTCCAAAATGATGTAGGGACCATGCGATCTGGGACGAGGAACAAGAGCAGCATGCTCGGAACCAGATCGCACGACAGAGTAAAGATCCTGTTCCTGAGGAACTCGTGCAAAAGTTCCATGCAGATGCAGCAGAGTACTGGAATAAATTCTACACCAAGAATGAGCATAAGTTCTTTAAGGATCGGCATTGGCTCCGGATTGAATTTCCCGAGCTCTTTCAAATAATTGAAGCAAATGTAGGCTTTTTTCCTTTTATGCCTTCACCTGGATAATAATAGTATATTATTAGCATTTCTTTTACCCTTCGATCGATTGACACCTACGATTAACGTCTTTTTTAGGCTGGTGAAAAGAAAGTCTTGGAAATAGGGTGTGGTGCAGGCAACACTATGTTTCCATTGTTAACTGAAAGCAAAAACCCTAATCTCTTCGTATACGCCTGCGATTTTTCTTCAACAGCAGTAGAAGTAGTTAAAAACAATGTAGCGTACGATCCCAACAGAGGGAAAGCGTTTGTCTGGGATCTGACAGATGATGATATCCCACCAGAAATTGAGCCTGAGTCAATGGACATTCTAGTCTTGATATTCGTACTCTCTGCTGTGCACCCTGATAAATGGAACCAAGCTGTAAAAAATCTTGAGAAGGTATGTCATTTCATTTTGTTTTCTTTCCATTTTTATTTTAATTTTTTTAATCCAATCGCTAAATAAGATCCTATTGATATACTGTATACTTTGCTCATTGCCTGATACAGATGCTAAAACCAGGAGGATTGATTGTGTTCCGTGATTATGGTCGCTACGATATGGCGCAATTGCGTTTCAAGAAGAACCGCATGCTTTCGGAAAATTTTTACGTTCGCGGCGATGGCACGCGTGTTTATTTCTTCGACTCTGATGAAATTTTCCAGATGTTTGGGTCCAGATTTACGATAGAGCAGAATGCTGTCGATAGACGACTGATCGTCAATCGACTGCGAAAGATCAAGATGTATAGAATATGGCTGCAGGGTAAATTCAGAAAACCCTTGCCTGGACAAACGCTAGCCTAACCCTCGGCAATAACTATGAGTTTAATTAAAGAAGCAGATGAAGACATAAACTTAGTCGATACGCCTAGAGATATGATGACCTCATTAAAAACATCTCATCTTCTGTCATGAATATAGTCAGGGTACTCAACACCTGTTCTTCAAACCTCTGAAAGAAATGCATAATACTTTGAATAGTCCTTGCAGTTTCCTTGTTTGAATGTCAAAAGTGGAGCTTTGGCATAACCCTTTTTCTGTTACACAAAACCACAAAATGGCATTCTTCTCCTCAACTTAAAAGCGCTGCGCTTTTGCTTAATGAAGAATTGTTTGGTGTAAATGACTCAACAAGCTACTTTGACTCATTACCAAACTCAATCTGGAGCTAACAATCATTACCGAGTTTAATCAACACCGGTTATTTCCATGATGCTCCATCCACTTCCATCTGATGGCAATATTTGAAGAGAATTTGTTGTTGTTGGGATGCTCTTTTGTTTTTCCCTCAACTCTTCCGAGCAGACATGACTGTCGATAACACTCTTGCAGATCCTAGTAATGGAAATTCAGGCACACCCTCAATCTTAATTACCGTCCCTATCCGACCGCCTGTCCGCTCTGCGGCCCTATCCAATGTATCTACGGGCGCATCCTCTTCGTTAACCAATCTCGCTGATGGGCCTGTCGAGAAAGTGATCTTTCGTCACGGCAAGGCCGAAGATGCAGCGTTAATGACCGAGATGCAGTTCTCAAACTACATCCTCCATTATCGAGGTATACTCCCGAAAGGCTTCTTTGATAGTTTGGATCCTGTTTCAATGACAGGCTATCATACAAAGAGAATGGCTCGTATGTGATGAGATGGTTATGTATAAGTCGGAATGTGTTGAAGAAGGAAACGCTTGTCCAATACAATTGCATTGAAGCACCTCATTCACAATTACAGCGGTCCCCGATAATTTTAGTACTTTGCTATTATGTGTTTGCTGATTCTCAACTGATTTCTTGCTCAATTCTATTTGGGTGCCTTTTTTTTTTTTTTTTTTTTTTTTTTTTTTAACAGACCCAGTTGAGAAGCGAGAGATGGTTTATGTCGTTGCTGAAAGGATAAATCCAAGAACTAATGAGCATGAAGTCATTGGTATGTCCCAAGCCATGGCACCATACTGGAAACGCGCCTACAACCATCGATTTTATGAAGGCTGGTCTCAGAATGACTTTGATTGTGAAATTGATACACTCTATGTCAAGATTGGCGTCCAAGGAGGAGGTGTTGGTCGCAAGTTGGTATTGGGGGCCTTAAAGGAAGCATATGAGCGCCTCAACATGAGGAAAGGAGTTATCATCTGGACTCTTATGGCTAACACTCAAGGCAGGGCCTTTTACATTCGTATTGGGTGTGAAGAGGTAGCAATAAGAACACTCGATTTGGTTGGTGTCCCTTGTGAGTGTGTTGGATATGCATTCAGGAAAGTAGGCGAGGCTATTGGCGTCGAATGAAATCCAAAAGCGTACATGGTAGCATAATAAAGCAGCAAATATTCACATAATAACCTCATACAAAGCCATCAGTTTATTGAGGATAACGGCTACGGTGCATATTTTACATGGGAAGACCAGCTCCAGACATTTGCTGAAGTTTAGTGCCTACAGACTTGTTGACCTCGAAAAATTTGGAAACACAGCGGTCGATACAGACTGCCTCGCCTTTGTTCAAATCGCCTTCGATGTAGGTCTTGGGGATGCATTTTTGGTGGCATGACGACACGATGCTGTAACGGTTGAATAAAGGCATTGTCCAAAGCGATGTTCACCATGATATGAAAAGAGTCCAGAATATTTATTCAAATAACCAAACATCATTTTAGTCCATAGAAGAAAATGTGAAGCCATAGTTTTGAAGTCCAATGATGAAACGGAGTTCGTAGATCAGAACAAATGGGCAAACAAAGGTGTTGATAAGAAATAAGATAAGACAGAGTATAAGAAAGCTGTTAGCGGGTACAATCAATATTCATAATCCCATTATCACAATCCATGCTACAGCTAGCAACACCGTTTCTGGTCAAGAACATATCTCACTCCTTTTTTATTTACGGTATGATAGTAGATAAATCATTGGTGAATTTACCGGTTAAACAGGTCCGACACCATTTCAAGCTCTTGCTCGGCCATGGCCATGTTCTGCATATTAACCGTCTGGTTGGCTGCACTGTTCATAAAGAAAGACATGGCTGTAACTGTGTTGCTGATTCTTACGGCGGTCGATGGTTGAAAGAGGTGATGTGTTGTTGTAGCCAGAAGCTGTTTCATTTGGGATTATGGTGGCTTGTCTTTGACAGTTTCTATGATTGGCAATAACAAAATGAATCATGGAAATAGTGGATCCAAAATTTTCAATGCTACTCACTGGCTGCTTTTGATTGGTTGTCCTAAGGCCCTCAATTTGCTCTCATTCTCATATTCTAAAATCAAGGCTTCATCTTCTCATCCTCTCTCTCTCCTTCTTTTGTTGCCAAACCTCTCTCACCTTCCCTCTCTTTAGTTAAATTCACTTCAACACTCACATCTTCGCAAATGGATAATGAACTCGCCCAGACTGCCATCGAAGGCCCTAAGCAATTTATTAAGGATGGTGTTGCATTCATCAACCGTTGCACAAAGCCTGATCGCAAAGGTATATTCATCCTCAATTGTTCAAGCCGATAACGAATAGAACGAATGGAATAATATAAACAGACAGCGGCGATGACCCTATAGAAAGATACTTCTTGCTCTGCTATGGAAGGGACTCAAAAAAAGAAGGACTATTTTGGGAACAGCATGTCAAACCAACTCTCTGTATTGCAATAGTTTTTTGAGACTTCATCTGGAAATTAACACAATATTCCGGCTCCTATCATGAAAACATTGTATAATGCGCTGACAAATACCATTTTTCTGGCAGAAATAACATTCATTCATGTCCTTGGCGTTTTTTTTTGTTTTGGGTGTAGGGTCATAATTTTTTAACGCGCGTCATTTATTAATTTATTTATTTCATTTTCAACGATGTGTAGAGTTCATGCAAATCACCCAAGCCGTCTCTATGGGTTTCTTCGTCATGGGCGTCATTGGCTTCGTCGTTAAGTTGATCCATATTCCCATTAACAATATCCTTGTGTAGGTTTCTAGATCAAACCATCATTGATATGACCTCGTGTTGGTCATCTTGCTTTATCTGAAGATGATCATGGACATTTTGAGCGACTCAATCAAATATTCTAATATCTCTTTTTACTATTATTTTTATAATCTAATGTATAGCGGCGGCGCTTAAATGCTTTGAACATTGCCATCCTCTGCTCGATTATGCCATTTCTGATACGCACGTGTCACCCTTCATCTGCTACATTATACACATTTTTCTTCCATTTTGACGTAATAAACTTGAAACATGTATTCATTTAAGACTATAAAGATGAAGACGCTCATCAGATATTGAGAGTTGTTGAGAAATGTCGATCAATAGAGTGAAGTGCTGTCAATTTCGATATAGTGGCTTGTAACCCTGCCAAATGCTTGATCTTAGACGCGTTTCAATCACTAGAAAATGATAAAAACATCCTTAACGTCTTTAAAAATGTGCATCTTTGCTTACATTCCATTCCTCTTCACTTATCCCAAACTCGTCTGTCTGTCTTCAACTTTTCACAACAACAATGTCTTGTTCTAAACTTCCTCCAATTTTCACCAACTATGGTTACCAACCTTCTATATTTTTGGATGTATATCCCACGTCTATGTCGTCCTTGAATCGATACCGTCCTCAGGTTTCTGACTATGCCCACTCTATATCTAGTGAGGAATCAGCGACGAACTATCGAGTTGACTATATTCAGATCTGGCTGAACAGTCATCGGAATGAGGTGGCGTTAGAAACCTGCCCTGGATTAAGATCCTCATCCTCTCCAGCCGTGGTGCTTGAGAGGGCTGATTCTCAGGATATCTCTTCGGTAGCACCTCCTTCTAATTCGGATTCAAGCAATAGTTCTATGGAATGGACGAGCTGCTTATCTTCTCCTACAACAACACAACACATACTCTGTGTGGACAATGTCCAAGAAATGTCTCTTGAGTCGACCAAATCGAAAAACACTACGATTTCGTTTGCGCATCAACATTACCCAATGTTCCCCTTACTCCCTTTCCGAGGCCGAGGTCGATGCATGTTCCTTGCCCCCGAAATCTCTAATGCCATTGGTGTCTATCACCATATCAAAGACCTGCTTCAAAACGCATCGATTCAACGAATCAGGGCCTGGCTCAAGACCACAATTGAGCCTTATGCACTGGAGCAATGGCGCAACGTCTCCTATCTTAATTATCTGAAGAGCCTAGTCCCTATTTCAACATCTCGGTCTGTTGACCGTGACATTGATGAAGCTCAGTCCAACCCAAATAGCTGTCCAATATGCTTTAGATCTGGAACAATAATGAAAAGAATTATTGGGTGCCAGCATCTTATTTGTTGGAAGTGTGAGCAAGCTTTGGATTTAGCCGGCAACATTTCTTGCCCTATATGTCGAGGCATGCGATTCTCATCTTCCTATGTTAATGTCCTTGACATGTTTAAGACAACAGTAGGACTGTATAACAGCGATTACACTCATTCCCGCTGCCCAGCACCTACCCAACCTTCAAGAGCACACAATGTCGATTACAATGAAATCGATGACGATGAGGAATTGGAGCACGAGATGACAGATAGATACCTTTGGGAACAAAGTCATTCCTTTCTTGAGTACGCTCATGCACTTTCAACAACCAGCCAACATCCATATCTGCAATATTTTCAACTGAATGCAGCACAAGATCTTTGCTTCAAGTCCTCTGCAGAAGAGCACCTCCCAGAATACAACGACCAGGTCGTCCTCGAGCCCCCTATCTCTGGGGTAGTCCTTCCACCCCATCGGCTCTATATTGTCTTAATTCACTTCTGCCTTGACATGCTCACACTCCCTAACCCTGCCGAATTCCAGCTTCACCGCCCATCAAAGTACAGACATGAGATCTTGTTAATAGAGCTTGTTATCTTATTCTTGGTCCCCACAGACGAATTCTCACCTCGAGAGCCTAAACGTATTTACAATGCAGTCGCCTGGATTGAACACGGGCAATTTATCTTAGCGAGGATCCATCGCTTTTTGAAAGCCAAGGTATATCAGCAAAAGAAGGAGCTAGATGGATCTGGGGCATCTTTGTCGGTGCTACGGAACCAACCAGAACAACAGCAGCAACATCGAACCCAACAAACAGCTACGCAGATCAGCACCGGAGTTCCCTCGCTGCCCATACCGCGCCATATCTTGTACCTGGGACCTGCTCGCTGGATGTGGGTAGCAAGGTCATTGACCGTGCTCTTGACCTGGCTACAGGCCGCGCAGACGAATCCATCAATGGTGACACCTTCAGTAGCAATGAGGACGAGTCCATCAAAGCTGGGAAAGCATGAGGTGCAGCATGAAGAGCAAGGGGACGACTCGCATCCAATGAAAAAGCGGCGTATTTCGAAACGAATTACATAAACAAGATATTCAATAGAGATAAAAAAAAAAAAGATAAGCTAATCAATCGTGAATCTTTCAACTTTATCACTATTTCTAAAAATTAAAATACTCAAGAATGAAAGCGAAAAGTAATATACAATTTGAGAGGTGTATTCTCTAATATGCTTATAGTGGAGGTGAAGCAGAGGTATTATTTGACATCGAATAGCCTTCAGCCGTCTGCTCAGGCACAGATGGTGATGAAGTATCGTCAGATAGCATAGTATTCACTACTGGGTCAGATTTCATGGCTTCATCGTTTTTAAGGATTTGCTGATAATCTAACATTTCATCTGGAAAGGTTGACCCTAAATTTTGCATCAATGCTGCCTCAAAACTCTATTATCCAGGGAAATTGGAAAAAAGAAAAAAGTATTTTGTATTAGCTTGTGCCTGCATATTATTGTTTAGCATTTTCCATTATTCCATCTATAATATGCGATTACTTGCCTTCAACGCTGTGATTTTTCCGTTTGTAAATTGGTTTTCTCCGGCAACAGCTTCCACAAAACTCTTTGAAAACAGATCAGGATTCTTTCCATCCTCAATATAACTATACTCACGACATGACCAGTCCGATGTCAGATACCAAGCTCCTTAAAAAATTACGGACTAAGATAACAGCCATAAAAAAAAAAAAAAAGGAGTCGGATACTTCACCTCAAAACCTCCCATGGCACCATCATGTCCAGTTTATCTTTGAATCCTTCAATATCAGATAGTTGTGCAATGAGGTCTTGACTATGAACCATGACCCAAGAGGAAACGAGCATTTAGTCGCTAGGAATTAAAACAGATTTCTGTATCACTTTGCCTTCCTGGATCCTTTACATTTTCTGGTGCACTAGAGCGTTGCTCTCAGATTGAAAGTCGTAGACTGTGATACTAAGTTCTAGCAGACACTCAATCAATTCTTGAAGCTTCAACTCCAAATCTTGTCTTGTTTGCTCATTGTGTGTAGATGTGGAATCCATGACATTTATTTGTGTTCCTGATGACGTTCCGCCCGATATTGTCGATGTGGATCCGGTAGGTTGAGGTGCCATCGTATATTTTCTAACCGTAACTGATGGGTCTGTAATTATAATGAATCTTCCACCATGTGAGAGGGTAATAGGATCACGTGCTGGTGGCTGCTAAGTAACGAATATCCTTAGATACTCAAGTTACGTAGGGGTATTTTTTAATTATAACTTTTAATGAGGTGACGTAGTAGACTTTTTGCTAAATCCATCCCTTTCTGCCAGTTGATACTTCCGAATCACCATCGCCATTTAATCCTCTTCCATCGCTCATTACCCATTTTATTTATGTCAGGATAGCTCTCCTGCAGACTCCATTCAGGCCCTTCTCGTGTTTCTGTAGTCCATCTCTTGTCCCAGGTAACCTTTTTACTTTTTTTTAAAAAAAAAAAAAAAAAAAAAAAAAACGCGTAAATTCAAATTAGCCTACTTCATTTCTAACTGTCTTCCTTCTCTCTGAGATAGATAATATTAGCCGTCCTTTCCACAATGGTATTTATAAATATCACGAACATGCTAGCTATTTCGATTAGTTCATTAGCTTATAATTAATTATTTTTCTTAATGCAAGTTATAGGTCCTCACTACTGATACCTTAGTTGCCTCGAGTAACGATGAGGATGCAACTGAAGAGGTCCTTGAGCCAGGCTTCGAATTCTACGATCATGATGAAGCTACCGACGTTGATACGGATCCTGAAGAGCACGACTGTGATGATGGTGAAGACTATTCTTCGGATGTGTCAGATTCCGAGCCAGAAATAGTGTGGGGGCCAGTTGAACCATCCGGTGAAGACAACACCTCCGGGAATGACCTCGCAACAGAATCTCTTAAGAAAACTTTCGTTGAGGCGCCATCTGAAAATAACGTAGAAGAAGTAGAGGATATATCGAGGTTGAGTCAAGATAAGGAGGCTCGTGCAGTCAGTCTGGCTTCCACAATTGTGTCTGCGCAGCTACAAGAATACTCTTGGATTGAGTCGATGGTCCCAGAGGCTAAGATTAGGGATATTGTTGATGGCCTCAGGATTAAGAAACAGGACTACGATTATTTGCCGCACGTATTCTATGTGGACAAAAGAGACTTTGAACTGTGGAAGGACCGAGATGGCAGCGATCACTTTTTTATTTGGAATAAAGGCAACTCTGAGATAAATGGTAGAAATGAAGACAATGAAGACTCTGAAGTCACCAACGACAATGATAGCAAAGGCAAACTGCGTTCATTTCAACTTTATTTCTGCCACTGTGCAGGCGCCCCACGCAAAAAAAAGATTACTGACCAAGATCAACTACTTGAGAGGCCAGCCAAGAAAACCCGCAATGTTTATAAACCGACCAAGAAAGTAGGCTGTAAAGCCAGACTAATTGTTCATGACGTAAAACCCAATATGGAAGAGTTCGCAAGTAGAGGAGAAAGGAACCAGCTGCGTGTGATATATTACTACAAGCACACTGGGCATACTCTTGCCAGTCTCGAGGACCTTCAACATCTCAGAGTGACAGAAGAAACAAAATCGCGAATTCGAAACCTTGTCCGTTTAGGTCTCTGTACAAGAAAGATTCTGACAAGGATAAACCTGTCTGGCAGCCAGGCATTCTCGCGACACCAAAGAGGGTCTTTGCAGCGTGGCCATGTCCTGAAGTATGAGGATGTGTACAATATTTATTATAAATATTCAAGTGGGCAGAGTCAGCTTGAAAAGAATGACTTAGTCTCGATGAGGCTCTGGATGGACAAACTAAAGGACAAGGGCTTCACTGTATTCAGGCTCGACTACCACATCGTAATAGACGGGGTGAATCATGCAAGATTTGCATATGGGTTTATGTCGCCGTTCCAGAAATCAGTTTATGGATCCAATTTTAAACACATTGGGCTAGATTCAACGCATGGAACAAAACGCTCTAAACACGAGCTTTACACCATAATTGTGCGGAACCCACAAAGTCTGAGTGCTATCCCAGTTGCCTTCTTGCTTACGAACGATCATAGCCATGTACCGTTGGCAAAATGGTTGAAACATATCAGAGAAAACATTGGCTCTCCTGAATACATCACCACTGATGATGCTCGAGCAGAATACAAAGCAATCCGATTGGCGTTTGGAGACTCAGTCACAGTTCATTTATGTCTATGGCATGTTATGAAAGCTTGGGGCGCCAAGCTTCGAAATGTTATCTGTGCAACGCAAGACAAGGCAGCTAAGGAGTTGAGGGAGGAAGCGATGGGAGAGCTCCGTAGAATTTTGTTTGATCCAAACCGTACGCGAGCTGAGACTCTTATTTCAGAATTCGGGTTGAAATGGCAGGATCATAATGAGGGCAAAGTCTGGAATTATTTTAGAGAACGCTACCTCAGTGAAGACCGAAGGAGAAGGTGGATGAAATGTTATCGTATGGGAAAGTTTTATGCCGGGATGGATACTAACAATTACGTCGAGTCCTGGCACAACCACCTTAAGTCGCACTTCTTACGAGGTTATACAAACTGCAGGGGAGATAGATTGGTTTATATCTTAACTCATGATGTAGATGAGTTTTACCAAATGATGGCAAGGCAGACTGTGCGACGCTATGGGCAACATTTAAAAGGCGAGAGAGATGACTTTCACCAAAGAAAATTTCTAGATGGTCTAGAAGACCTTCCACAGCGCATTGTTCACGAGCAGCAAGTGGGAGACCGAGCCGTTTACTGTGTGCGCTCGTTCTCCGTATCTGGCGGATATTATTTCGTGGTTGCCACGAATGAAACTATCTCAAGATGTAACTGTCAGTACTTTATGTATTCTCAGCGCCCATGCAGACATATGTATCTTTTGCATCAAGTTCATAAGGATAACCCAGACCCACCACTCCGCATCATACATGATGTCCTTGAGAGGGTCCCTGATAGACATGCTATGATCCAGAGTTTTCAAGATGGCCTGGAAGGGAATGTTAACCCCAGCATGAGTGATGCTCTGTTGGAGGTAGAGGATGCTGAAGCAGAGGAGGTTGCTGAGGCGGAGAGGATTGCTGATGCGGTTACTGAATCTTTGGTGATACTCAAAAAGAGTCTCCATGATTCAGATAGCATTGTGAGAAGTTCCGACGCAGCAAGGGAATTAAGTGATATAGTTGAACGGTTTTGTTCTTTACAAAGAACGATAAATACATCTGGGAACCAAAAACGGCAGCGCCAATAAAAAAAAATATTTACATGTATATATTTGATCAAAAAACTATTCAATCCAATTCAATCAAAGAGAGCACAATTGAAATAGCCAATCAGAAATCAGGATTTCTTTTTTTTTATTTTTATACAGAATGATGAAAAAAGAAATCCATTTTCTGTTGATATAGAGTATCTACAAGACTGAAAACCATATATTTTGTAGGTAAGATCCATTGGTACGATTTAAAAAAAAGTTGAAAAGAATCGGTTAAGTCTTCAGTAAGATACCTCCATTCAAAGAACTTGTACATTGAAAATAATCAAGATTACGTACATCTTCTTTCGTTCAAAGGTAATATTACTCTGTCAGTAATGGCGATACACATTGCAAAATATAGATTCTGGTACCCAAAAGCTATATCTATAAGTCATGTATATGCACTTCAAGGAACTAGCAATGCGGTTGTCAAGAATATGCCCATTGAACTCTCTAAATAGAGTAATTTCTGGAATTTATAGTCTCTCCTCCATCTTTAAACAGTAAGGATGGTTATTTTTGTAAACTAAGTCGCTGTAAAAATACCACAATTGGATTCAGCATTGACATGTCCTTTAAATCTGAGAATATGGTGAAGTTTGAAGGTTTTATCATAGAGCTCTGCTTTTTTTACTAATTTCAACGAAACATTTTTTAAACAAGTGTCTACCAAGCTACACTTGGTTTCCAAAGTCGGTTTTTATGTCACTACGGATACTCAATTTCTTCAGAAACTTCAATTACTACCCTAGATCGCTTTATATTAGTGTCTTTTGACATTATCCAAAGTTTGGTTTGGATTGAGGTTCATTTAAATGACTTTTATATATGAGAACTGGTTTTCCCATATGACTTAGAGACAGGTTAGAGTGAACTTCCATATATAATTTGGCCCACATGACCCACATGACCCACACGACTTGTATGGAAATAACTTTTATTTTTTGTTTAAGGGTGTCGCATATTTGGCTTACTTGAGTATCTAAGGGGACTTCCTCAATTTCATTCCTAGGCTCGTTCCCAGCCCCTTCACTTTAGGTGACTCAAAAAGGAAATGGAATTTCCTGTCACCTTTATAAAGTGAAGAGGGATGGGAACGAGCCTATACAACAACAATTAGCTGTGTTTGATATAATTGGATGGATGGTTCTCGAAGTTTCGAGCGTTTCTTACAAATAAGGAAATGACAAATCACAGCGGTAAGGTAATGGAATTTGAAATAGAAAATTAGAACTTTGTCGAAATAACTGGAAAGCTCTCTGCATGATGACACAAACACAATGATCGGAGTGTTCTTGTCACTATAAAAGACCGCCACTTGCCCTGTGGAGAAGAACAATCATCAAATAACAATTCCAGCGAAACAACATAGCAAAAAAATAACAACGCATATCCACACACAAACACACAATTCCTCCACTCTTATTCTTATTCTTATCCTTAAAAACACACAACACACGCATCAGCTTTCGCCATGTACACTTTGTTCTCACACCCTACATCCACAATGCCTGCCCGTCGACAACACGCATCAAGTTATTCGACTCCAATGATGTTCCATCCCTACTCTCCCTACGCTACAGCCTATCAACCTTTCGATGAGGATCTCGACTCTCCTGACGAAGAGGAGCAGCTTCTGTTGGCTGCACTTGAACGCAAGCGTCAACAAAAATTAGCTCGTCAGCAGTATCAACGTCAGCTCCTCGAGCAGCAACGTCAACTCGAGCAACAACGCCAACAACGCCTCCAGCAACAGCTTTACGAACAAGAGCTCAATCGCCGTCGAGCCCAGGCTATTGCTCAGGCTAAATACGAGGCTGAGCAGGAAGCAATTCGTCAGTACAAGAAGCAGCAAGAGAAGGAACAACTTCGCCAACAGATTGCCTGGGAAAACTTCTGGCAACATGTCCAACAACAACAGCAAATCGAGGACCAGAAACGAAATGAAGCTGCCGCTGCTAAAGCCATTGCTGAAGCCAAAAAACAAAGACAACTTGCGCTAGAACAAGCTGCTACTGAGGATGAGGGAACCAAAGGTATTGCATTGGACGACCTATTGAATGCACTCTTCTTCCCTCATTCACAACTCAAACGCCATCAGTCACAGGAGCAGCAGTACCCATCCAAGCGCCGCCAACAGCAAATTGAAGCAAAGAAGGACGAAGACCAGAAGACCGAAGATCAAAAAGCCGAGGAGTTGAAGAAGGCTGAAGAGTTGAAGAAGGCTGAAGAACGAAAGAAGGCCGAGGAGCTGAAAGAAAAACAAATTGAGGAGCAGAAAAAAGAAGCCAAGAAAACCAAAGAGCAGCAAGAGAAGAAGCAGGCAGCAGCTGCTACTACTTCTCCCAAATCTAAAGACGGTGATTCCAAGAAAGAAGATCTAATTGGCGAGTACTTCCTGGCGTTCCCTGAAATCAAGGCTATGGTTGAAGCTCTCCTTGGTGCTAAAATCAAGACGCCTACTAATAAGCAAGAAGCTGCTATGCCCAAAACCAAGACTATTGAAAATAAGACAGCAAAGACTGCTGAAAACAAGACAGCAGCACAGCCTCCTCTGGCTCAAGCTTCGCCGCAAGCTGTTGAGAAAAAGGCTCCCGCGACTCCTTCCTCTACCCATTCTTCTCCTGAACTTCGTGCAACTGATATTTTAAAGCAACGTCAGGATCGTCAAGCACAGCAGCAGCAGCAGCAGCAAAACAAGAAGATGGAAGAACCCAAGCAAGAGAGCCAGAAAGTAGACCCAATCCAAGAGAAGCATTCTGAGCTTAACCTGATTGAATCCTCCCTCGATGACCTTTCTCGTGAGCTCGATCAAATACTCGTTGGTACCATTGCGAACAAAAAACAAATCTTGCTCACAGAGGAGAATTTGATCAAAACCATGCTTAGGCTTGACTCTGTCTTGAGCGAAGGCGATGCTTCGATTCGTAAGCGCCGAAAACAGCTGATCAAGAAGAGTCAGCTTCTTTTGGATCTTGTTGACGAGTTCAAGGCCCGAGAGCTTCCTTCCTCAGTCCATCAGGTCAACAATAACAACACTAATGAGAATGAGATGGATTCCGATACTCTGTCTGTATCTGACATTGAGTCTCTCCCTGACACGACAGATGACGCTACACAGAATAGTGATGATTCTAAGGTGTCGTCAACAAAGGCTTCTGAACAAGTTGAGCAAGACCGTGAACCCGAACTGAGCCACGCTAAATCTGATTCTTCAAATGAAGAGTCTGAAGACAAGCAAAAGACCGCCCCACCAGCGTTGACTAAATTCGACTCGAATCCCAAGGCCGACCCTCTCGACCTTATTGCTAGTGCAGCATTAGCATTGGGCTCTCCTCAGACTGAGGACATGGTCTTAGCACAATAGCTTGTATATATACTTTGTAATTGAAATGAAATCAAAAATAACTTAATAATCCAAAATACATGTTATATAAAATGAATTTACAAAAAACCCAACATTAATAAAACTTGACGCGAATATTTTTTTTTTTTTTTTTTTTTTTTTTTTTTTTAATTTGGTTCCAACAAAAGAGCCCTTAGATGACACCTATTTGGTGCTTCTATGAACTACCCTTTCCCACAGATTTTATTGAGATAGAACAGTACTCATTAAAAAGAATTTAGTCGAAAAGACCGAAGCCCATGTCATCATCAGATTCCTCCTTCTCTTCAACCTTCTCTTCAGCCTTCTCAGCAGGAGCGGCAGCTGAGGCAGCGGGAGCAGCAACAGCGAAAGCTGATGGATCAGCAAGGTAAGCCTTAACCTGTAGTTTTTTTTAGGACAAGAGACATAGGATTAGATTTCAATGTTAAATAATAACCAAATGTAGATGAATAAAAAAAAATAAGTGAGGACCATCAGGAAAAAATTAGAGTGTTTTGATTTTCTCGTCATCGCCTTGTTGAAGGGCTACAAAGAGTTTTTCATCACACGGCTCACATATGAAGGAATAAAATAAAGACCAAAAGATGAAAAAATCATATAGCAGTAAAGGTAATAAAATCACAATATGCTTTACCTTCTCAGAACCAGGGAAGGTGTACTCGGTAGCAATGGAAACGGCCAACAGGTTCTTGTAAGCGTTGATGATCGAGTGAGGAACTGAAGCAATAGTAGGGTAACCGATCTGGAGAGAAATGGCGGCAATGTTCTTGATACCAGCAACGAAGTGACCAATAAGAGTATCCTCCTCAATATCCAAGATAGAGGGGTGGAAGACAGTACCCTTGTCGTAGACCTGAACGACAGTCAAGCCGTAAGTGAAAGGAGAGATGTTCAACATGTTGAGAAGAGCAGCCTCAGAGGCACCGACACGCAAACCCTCCTTGATAAGATGGACATCATTGATAATTTCAATGGTACCACGGGCAATCTTGGTGGGGACACCCAGAGCCTGGAAGAAAGATGTCTTGCCGGGTTCCATACCAGTGTTACCAGCAGGGACGAATACATCAATGGGGGCAAGAGCACCAGCCTTAGCGGGGGCCTTGACACGGTTGGACAAAATCTTGTCACGGATGGTCTTCAAGTCAGAGTTGGTGAAGACGAAACCAACGTTGCCACGGACCGAGGGCATGAGCTTCTCGTAGTCGGGGTTCTCAGCCTGGAGGATACGGATGGCACGGCGGACCATGGTGTTCTTACCCATGAGGATCCTGGCATCACCACGAAGAGCCTTACGGATCTGGTGCATCTGGTTGGAACCGACATTGTCAACGTTGACAATGAAGATGGAGTTGTACTCCTCCAAGTAAGTCTTGAGCTTCTGGAAATATTCTTCCTTTTTGCCTGCCTTCGACATGATGTTTACTGTTCGAGGGATTTAAAGGTCTAAAAGAAAAAGAAAATACGCAGATGATCAAGTCAGCCTATGAACTCTCTCAAACTGAAGACCCCATAACCACTCCAACGCATCGTTATCAATGATAAAGATGTTTAATGCTGTCTGATAGTTGCTGAGTAGTAGATTCTGATGGATCGATGATTCGATGCTTTAAGCATTCAATGGATTGATAGGCAGTGCCGGGATGAGCCAATGGATTCATAGATTTCTTCTCAATTATCCTGCTAGGTCACATACCAAAGTTGAGAGGATTCAAAAGCTGCTTGCTGACTTTCGATCTCTTCTTATTCTGTGACACCAAGCCACGTATCAACCAGAAAGTCTTGTCACAGTTCAGGCACCACCTTGCTCAAACAAACCGATATTGGGCCATTCGAACATTCATTAAGGCACGCATTGATTCCTTGTTGTCTATTCTTTTATTTTCTTGAATTCAAAAAAAGAAACAGCCTAAAAGGAATGAACTACGGCGAACTCGATTTAGAAGACAAAAAGGATATAGGCCGGTTAGCCACCTGGTCAGTATCCTCTGATAAGATAGACCACGGTATTGAATTACTTTGGGACAATGATCTTGAGACCTATTGGCAGTAGGTTTTGACTTTGTATTATTCATATTACAGGATCAATCATAGCGTTTTGTCCCAATTTTAAGAATATATTGCTGTTATATCATGACAGATCCGATGGTCCACAACCGCATCTTATCAATATGCAATTCGAGAAGAAGATGCCAGTTCAGCAAGTATCATTTTACTATGATTATAAGCAAGACGAAAGCTATACACCTTTGGGAATTAGCATCAGAGGTGGAACAGCTTATCATGACCTAAAGGAACTCGTAAATGTTGAACTGGAGAAACAAACAGGATGGGTGAACATCAGCTTAGAGGACAGTCCTGGCAGGTACGCTTTATAAATTTAATAAGATGAAGAGGTGCGGCTGCCCTAAGAGGCCCAGATTTGACTAACGGCTTTGTGTTTCAGTGGGCGTCCACCAAAAGTTTTTCTATTGCAGATGGCTATACTCTCTAACCAACTTGGTGGACGTGATACCCATATACGACAGCTGAAGCTACTTTCAACACGCGAGTAAGTAGTGATTGTCAGAGTTGTTAGATGTTTAAAATGATAGGAAGGCTAACCAGTATGTATGCCTGGCAAATAGACCTTTGCGAACGGACAACGATCAGTCACCATTCATATCGCCAGTATTTCTGAATCATACGATGTTACGGTGAAATAAGAAAAAAAATGTACGATCCGTATCTGTCCCGGCAAGGCCAGTACTTGGGCACCGAGTCATTAAAGATCGATATGACAGAGGAGTCTGATCTCTCGTCCCATTGTTGGGATTCACAAACTTCCTGCATCACTACCACGCAGCAGCTGTTACATACTGATGTAATAAACAGGAGATTGTGGAGAGCTAACGGCTAAAGTTCATGATCCCATCAGGAAGCATTATTCCCCACATGCTGTGCCATGAATGCGCAAAGCACTGGGAGATGAGACGAGTTGCTGATTATGTCTGTTTACTCTCTTGTCCTTTATGTCACACAACACATCAAAATTATATGTGTAAAATCTACATTATTAAACATTTAGAAGCCTGTCTTTTTTGAAACTCCTCAAAGTCGTCTTTGACTTGTTGAATCACAGATGGTTGAATCCTGTTTGGAGGCTTGCATTTGGCAATTCCAACACGGTGTTTGCCCATATCAAATACACACTTTTTGAATAAAAAATAAAAATAAAAATAAAAAAAATAAAAAGTAAGAAACGTGCAACTTCACTTTGTTGTGTTTGAATTTTTTTTTTTCTGATACAAAAGCCTACTCACAAAATTCTCCTTGATAAATACATCGCCTAAAATCCAAACAGGCTATCAAGGCATAAAGAACAAAACAGTTTAGATTCAAAGAAAAAAAAGAAAAACTTTTCCGTCAAAGCATCATGAACTTACGATCTGATCGTTGCTTGTAATGCCAGAATAAACATATCCTCGCTTTCCCCAAACGCTCTCACGCATGATATCCTTCATGATCACGTTAAACTTGACTCCGTTCAATACGAATTGTACACCATTCAGAGCAGCCACTTCCGGTGTATTCGGAACGATCCAACCGTGCTTTTTATCGTTAATCGCTCCAGGGATTTGAGCATGGATTGCCTCGGCAACTAATGTGGGGACTATAACCAGCGTGGTACCTATGGGAAATGTCCAGCATTCCGGGTGTTGGTACTTTTTTTACCTTTAATTTCTTATTTCTAGCACAAAACATTTGAGTAACATTACCCGTATCGATTATCACATCGCTCTTCAGTTTGAGATCGACATCTCCAAAAAAGAGTCCATCGCATTTTACTTGCCAATAGCGCCTGACTGTTACTGGAACCCATGTCAATTCGCCTTCAAAACGTTCACTATCATATCCACCAAAGCGATATTCTGATGTTTGCAGAATGGTTAAAAAAAAAAAAAAAAAAAAAAAAAAAAGGTATATATCTCTATTAAATTATTTCTTCGCTTTCTTCTTACCTCCGCCTCCTCCTTCAGTATTTCGGCCTAACCAAACACTGATTGTAGTAATCCAAATTGTTTAGTGAGCATCTATTTTTTTTTTTTTTTTTTTTTTAAAAAAAAAGAAGCCCGGACCAATATTTACTCACCTAAATATAGGTGAAGTTATCAGCTTCTGCTCGATCATGTTCTCCAGTGGTGTAAGGACTCCAGGTACTGAACATATAGAACTATAAGCCAGACCTAGAACCCCATCTACTACATCATTACTAAATGTGGTTGATTCTTTTGTCGCAAGACCAAAAATCTGGTCCTCTATGATAAGTCCTGCCACATTGATTCGATCTTGCCCCAAGATTCCCGATACTGTAGATCCATCTCCATAAGATATCTTGAACTTGCCTTTGAATGGCTTAAATGTGGTGGATGTGGTTCTGTTGAAGGTAACGCTCCGAGTCTTACATGTTGAATCTGGCACCCACAAATCACTGCTTCCTGTATCAAAGTCCAGTCGAAATTTTTGCTCATTTGAACCAATTTCAACTTTTTTTTTTTTTTTTTTTTTTTTAATACGAATAGAGATAGAATTGAGTGTAAACTCATTTGCAGTTCAATCTTTCACAATGATAGTTTGCACCTTACTACCCAACTAATTTCTTCTCACCTTCCGCATAATATTGGACATCCCGAGCGACATCGGTGAGCGATTCAACATATGGAGGCGAGGCTACTGAGTTGGTTGTCAAAGCTTTATCTACTACCAAACGCTGCAGAAATCCGGGCTTTTTGGCTGGAGGTGCATGTTTTGCAGCTACAAGCTTTAATGATTCTGGCGTCCGAAGCTCATAATTAGGGTTGCAGGTCAAGTGAAGTCTAACAATGGCAATGGGAGAACGCTTTATGGTAAGAGTCTAAGACGAAGAGTAGGTCCAGGAGAAGGGACATGCCAACACATGTGTTAATAAAATTTTACTGTTGAAAGCAATAAAAGATTTTATTCATCTTACGAAACCGCTCTTTGATCAGACATGTCTGCCTTTATGGGTATATTGGTCAAACCGAGGTGGATTTTGAATTGTAAGGAAGAAAGAAAAAAATAAAAGGAAAAAGAAAACGGACCATCCCCTTATTTCTCCACAAATAGAGGGGAACACATGGACATGTGTGATGGAGAAAATGGTAAAAAAAAGGGGGAGGGTTGAAAACCCAAATGCTTTAATAAATGTGCTATGATTTTCTACTTCAGCCTTCCTATCCTTCTATACGCTCTGTCATGTCCTGAGCTTTATGAATCTTCATCTGATTGTCTTCTCCTCCCGACAGCAGGAAATCATTACTCCAATCAATGCTGAGCACCTTTTTGGATCCCTTTCCATGAGACAATGTATACAAGGCCCCTTTAGCACGGATATCCCAAACTTTGATAAATCCATCATAAGATCCGCTGGCTAACATGTATGCTGATGATGGTGACCATGAAACAGATGTGACCCAGTTTTGATGTCCGTTAAGAGTCTGCTTCACGATAGATGATTCCTCGGTGCGAGGATCCCACAGACGGATGACAGTATCTGCATGGCCAGAAACTAAAAGTCCAGAAAGCTGAGAATAATCCAAGGCATGAACAGTCTTTTCGCAGTTCTATTCAAATGATCAACCCCCAAACCAAAGTCATCAGTAGTCTTTTTCAATATCTCTCTTAGTAGTGATATCTTAGTAGATCTAGGTATTAAAACATTTTCTCAAGATTTCCAATTGGTACCTTGGTGGCGACATTGACATGGTTCTCAACATCCCAGACACGAACTGAGTGATCCCATCCAGCACTGTACAGGGTATCCGATGATGTGGGATTAAAGACAACTGAAGAGACGGGGCCTGTATGTGCAGCCAGCGTAAGGATTGGAGCCTTTTTTTTATAATCAAATCAATAACAAGTCAATATCGAGTCAGCTTAACCTATAATGAGCGCATGATCAACTACAGTAGTCTTCACTCGTCTTCACCTTAAAGATCCTATCGTCTTTGGCCGTCTTTCTTTTTTTCCGTGTTTCCGCTGCTTCATCAAAGTGGTCACTGGCCGTAGGAACAGTGGTGGTCCAAATCTTGATCATAGAATCTGCTGATCCTGAAGCAAATCTGTCTCCATTGGAGTTCAAAGAGATGCTCTCTACTCCTGCAGTGTGTCCTCTACACTCATACAAAATCGAGTTGCTGCTATCAGTATGGTTATACTCCCAGGCCAAGATTGACCGATCCAATGCTCCAGACAATAAAGTGCCACTCTCTCCTGTAGTATGAGAAATGAAAGAAAAAAAATTGAATGAAAGATGGTCAACTTTCTGTCTATGCTAGGCAGATCCACAAAGTGACTCACTGATGTTGCGACAAACACCCTTTACCATTTGATGTGAGCCATTGGACAGTCTTGATGGCCCCGCTATGTCCTGACAAAATGTGAGTGCATTCTGCCTGCTTATTCCAAATGCGAACATGGTTGTCGTACGATCCTGTCAAAAAGCCACCAGGTTGATGAGCTTGAACAGCACTAACCCAATCGTCATGCTCGTATGACGATAGAGGTGTTGGTGGTAACATTGATTCGACATACTCAATAGTCAGAAGATTTTCAGTTGACAAATTCTTCTCCTCCAGATATTCAACGAGTGAAGTTCTTAAGAACTCGCCATCAATCAAAAAGTCGAAAGGTTTCTGCTTCTCTGTTGACAAAAAAAAAAAAAAAAAAAAAAAATTATTCAAGTATTCGCTTTTTAATTGATATATGTTGAACAAACATCTTTCATTAAAGTAGTCCCAAGATTAAAAACATGCCTCCTTCGTTCTGAAGAACAAGATTGATAATTTGTGAGAGTCCATATCGTCTAAGGCGTGCAGGTGTCTGGATAGGGGTTTCAGGGATAGCATACTGTCTCTGGCGAGTCACAAACTTGACTTGGACCTGAGGTCCTTCTGCAAGTGCGTCCATGTTATTATAAGGGAATGACAGAGTGCAGGTCTAGAAGAAAGGAATGAGAATGAATGTGGACATGGTTTTAGAAAGAGAAAAATAAAAAAAAAATTGTTTACCTGCTATTCAGCAGTCACTTTTTTTTTTTTCTTCTTTTTTTTTTTTTAATAGTGCATCTTTCTTCCCACGATAAAATCATTTTGTCCTCAACCAGCTTCCATAGCCATTTGGTCTACATCTTTTCCAAACAATAGCCATATTGTCTCAATCTCTCTGTATCCGCAGCAAACCTCTCTCGATTGTCCCTAAAGAGAACGCTTTTGCAACTTGTACCTCTTTTGATCCTGACGCACCGCCTCCACCCTTTAATGACCGTCTTTATAGACCTTTATCAGGTTGAGTAACCACTAAATGAAGCTTCATTGTTGACAATGGTTCCGGTCATCAATTAGTTCTGAAGCTACTGCTCGTAATTGACATTCCCCACATATTGACTCTGACGAGGTATAAAAGCCGATACATTTGTCATGACATCAATCAGGCTACTTTATCGCTTAACACTTTAGTGATTTATTCAACTAGAAACAGTAGTTAAAACACGTTCAATGCGATCTACTATACATGGACGACCAAGCGTTACGATTGTCTCAGGCACACCAGCGCCGATCTAAGAGTCAAGTAAGATGATAATACAATATGAATGAGACAGAGCTAAGAGGATTTCATATAGGTAAATAGCTTTGAATTTTAAAAATATGGCATTACCTTGACTCCAGAAACCGTATAGCGAAGTGCATTCATAACAGTAGAGAGCTTCATTTTATGGCTATCGGCAATGTACTTCAGGATTTCCTTAACATCCTCTTTGTCATATCTTTTCTCTAGATTTCTAAACCGCTCAAGCGCCATAGGAAGTATCGTGCGAAGTGTGTCGTCTCCGACTTTATTTCGATAGGCTGCCGATTCTTCCGTTGTATAAATGGGCGTTTGAAAATAATAACTGCACAATGTAGGTATATCATAGAGGTTTTTAATCCTTTCCTTCAATGTGCCGATGACCTGTGCAATGTAATCATCAGAGTATTGCTCGGAGAGAGGGCCTAAATCAGCCTCAAGTTTAGGGCGAAGAATAGCAGCCATCTCTTGCAACCCACTTGAAGTCTCTGCTCTGCGAAGAAGATGCATCTTGTTGATCCAATCCAACTTCTCCCGTAGCACAACAGCATTTGACTGTTGAATATTTTTCAATGAGAACTATATATGGAATAAACATATGCCAGGATTAGTTACGATGAGCAGGTTAAGGCCTTGTATGTAACTGAATTGTCACCTACAGCTGCTACTAGCCCGTCCATGTCAAAGATTTCATCTGTTGAGCCTGGATGCCATCCTAATAAAGCAACAAAATTGGCCACCGCTTCTGGGAAATAACCTTTATCCTGATAATCACATTAATGCAAATAGTGTCAATAAAAAGGTGTTTATTATCAAGCCGCACCGACGCCGTAACATGCTAGATAAAAGACCCAAACCTTATAATCCTCGACATTGACATCACCGGAGCGCTTCGAGAGCTTGGACTTGTCTTGATTTAACAATAACGGGACATGTGCGAACTTTGGAACACCCCAACCAAACATTCTGTAAAGCATGACATGTTTGGGTGCTGAAGGCAGCCACTCCTGTAATGTGCAACATAAATATTAGGTTCACTTGCGCTTTTTCAGCTATACGTTAATGCCATGCTCAATATAAAACTAAAGCTTGAATTTTACTAACTTGTCCACGAATGACATGTGTGATGCCCATGATATAGTCGTCGACTACATTAGCAAGATGATACGTTGGAAAGCCATCACTTTTCAGTAGGACCGAATCATCCACCTCCTTGTTCGAAAATTCAACTCTGCCATGTACCTCGTCCTGGACTATGGTCTTCCCTTCAGGAACCTGGCTCGCAGTAGAGGTAGAGAGTAATAATAATGTCATTTAGTATATAACTATTAATAAAGCCATCCTTTTTCAGACATTGTTCAACGGAGTTTTCCTCAAACGTTACCTTCATCCGCACCACGAACATCTCGCCATTGCCAGCACGTTCTTGTGATTCTTCCTTACTAAGGTGAACACACTTCCGGTCATAAGATACTGTCTTGCCTAATTTTTGCGCCTCAAGCCGAACAAGCGAAAGGCGCTCTGAGGAACAGAAACATCGATATGCATGTCCTTTCTCAATAAGATCTTCTGCATGTTTTTTGTAGATTTCCGATCTCTGAGACTATATATATATCCATAGAATTAGTAAGTTAAATGAAAAGAGAACCCCTATACGACTAGTTGAGGACATTCTTAGTTGTTAGTTTGAAAAAGCACATACTTGGTAATATGGTTCATGAGGTCCTCCAATACCTGGCCCCTCATCGAACTTGATGCCAGCCCATTCCATTGCCCTGATCAGACTCTCTGTTGCTCCAGAAACATATCGATTCTACTTTAGATAAGCAATAGTCAGTATGAATTTTGGAAAGGTGACAGCTGAGCTGAACATCATTGAATACCGTTTGAAGCGAACCTGATCAGTGTCTTCAATCCTTAGTATACATTTGCCACCGTTCTGCCGAGCGAAGAGATAATTGTAAAGTGCTGTACGGAGCCCACCCAGATGAAGATATCCTGTTGGTGAAGGAGCGAACCGTACACGAGTACTTTTAGGAGTAACCTTTCCTATATCTGATACTAATGTTTCTGAAGAGGTATACGCTCTTTTTTGGCAACTCGTAATTGCGTGAAGTCGAGTATACAAAGTCCAAGGCGCATCCTTATGGATGTTTTGTGTTTGAAAGCGACATGCGAAACTTGATCGAATGAATGTCTGACGCCAATGCATGTTCATCCGGAGTAGTTCGGAGAGTTTACTGATTGCAACGGTTGATTTTTATTTTATTTTTTTATTAAGAACACTATGAGGGACTGCTCAAATGAACAGCTTTCTTTATCTCCAATAACTCCCTTTTTCCAAACGTCCCGGTAACTTTTATGCCAAAGATACCACTAAACGTTTTAGCAACGCTGCCACGTAAGCTTGGGCCTGCTCCAAAGCGGCTTCCTGTAGGATTCAGGCCAACTGAAGCAGACGCGCGTTCATTATATCGTCAACTGTGGCGTACAGGTAGTTTGTCCGTTATGTATACAAACCCTGGAACAAAGGTTATCCGGCAAAAGTTAAGAGAGGCCTTTGAAGAAGCACAGCAAAAGCCAAAGACAATTGATGCTGATATTAGGCAGCAATGGGAGCGAGGTTGGTTGTCTGTTTGCGTTTCAGTTCTTCAATATTTTACAAGAATACTGGCGCTTACTACTTATGCGCATTACACTTTCGAAGCCTATAATACTAGGTTTTTTTTCGAGATTGCCTCCACTCGCTTCGGGGTGGAGCATTCGGTGATTAGCAACATTACGAGAATAGCAGCAGAGAACAGTTCGGGGTATGGGCCCATTTATCGTAGCCACAATCGTTTTTTATTTACAAGCTGAAAAGAATTTAATTCTATTCAATCTTTCCTTGCTATATTAGACCGACCCACATGCAAAAGTCAAGTATGCGGCAAGCGCAGAAGGAGATTGATAAAGAGTATAACAAAGTTATATCCGCTCTGAACGAGTCTATGGGTCTCAGCTTGCGGTGAACTGCTCAGACGACCAGACGATAGAGCATAGCTAATTATTAATGTTGACACCTGTGGCTTTTTTAAATGGCAGTCTCAAAAAAAAAAAAAAAAAAAAAAAAAAGAAATAAACCTTGGGAATGAAGTCGATTTTCTCATTCACAATACTTCATCCACATTCCATAAAATGGCGAAGGCAAAGAGAAAAGGAAGTCGGCCTGCTATCGAGAAGAAGTTCGACGGTGGGGGAAGCCGTATTAAGGCTGTCAATACTTGGGATGAAATGGAAGGCGACTCTGAAGATGAGTGTAAGCTGACTAGTTAACTGTTGACAAGGGGTTTTTTTATTTGATCTTTTTGACCCATTCTTGCTGTTAACATATATTAAATCCTCTTAAAAAAATCAAGTTCATGATAGCCGGAATACTATTGATTTGGACCATGAGAGAGAGCTTGAGCGCCGGCAATATGACGAGTACGAGGGAAGCGAGGAGGAAGTCTTCAGTTTAGATGATGGCGAAGACGAGCAAGATGACGAGGACGAAGAAGAAGATTTGGAAGATCTTGAAGATGACCTTGGACGTGGAGAAGATGATGAAGAGCAGTTGGATCTCGACAGTAAGTTAATTTGGAATAGAGTATGATAGCGATTCAATGGCAAAGTTGATATTTGTCTTCATTCTAATTTAATATTTTTTACATGAAACAGAAACATCATGGGGGAAAAGCAAGCGCAGTTACTATGATGCGGATGAAATTGAGTCTGACGAGGAGACGGCCAAAGCCGAAGAAGAAGAAGCTCTAAGACTTCAGAAAAAGCGTATTGCAGAGATGTCAGAAGAGGATTTTGCTCCTGGGGAGGAAGAAGCTGTCTGGGGCACTGTCGCTGGGCGAGGCATCTTAGGTGATAAGGATGCCGATCGTGCTCTTGTGGAAGGCTTTGAGAAAGAACTTCAAGGAATTGATTTATTAAAGGCCAAACAAGGAGGAGTTGTTGTTGAAAAGATTGCTAAAGCTGGTGTTAGCAAACTATCAAAGCAGGAGATCCTAAAGGTTTTACAGAATCAGAGCCCGGAGTTGCTTGACCTTGTGGAGGAGTTCAAGGAGAAAACAGAGATGTTGCATGCCATGGCAGAGTTACTCCAGCTTACAAACTCACTACGCAAACCTTATCCGGACGACAAGGCTCCAATGCCGTTCCTGCGCTTGAAATACCAAACACTAATCAATTACCTCACAAATATTGCATTCTACATCACGCTGAAAACATCACCCGATAATGGAACCACGGATCTTACAAACCATCCTGTTATTGATGCACTGTATGAGCTGAAAAAATCAATCATCAAGTTGGAGAAAATGGAAAAGAAGAAGACAATCAGGGAGAGTATGGAGGATCTGTTGGAACTTCTGGAGAGTGGTGAGGACCCTGAAGATACTGACAAAAGCGAGGATGAAGAAGATAAGCAGCACTCGAAGCAAGACTCTAAGGCAAAAACGCCTCTCGAAAAGAATAAGAAAACGAAAAAGAAGACCGCTGTTAAACAGACAGCAGAGAAAGCAAAACCCAAGGGGTTTGAGTATAATGTTGAACTTGAAGAAGAATTCGTATCGCACAATAAGAAAGTGAAGAATAGGAAATCTGCAGCCGATAAGAAACGCAGTAGACTAGAGAACGATTATGGCGATTTGGACGAGCTACTAGACGTTGATATGGAGGACAAGGCACAGAAGAAGAGATCACTCCGAGATTATGTTGCTAAGTTGGATCAAAATGCTAATAAGCGATCTAAAATTTTACGGGGTTCTGGGGACACAGATATTCCTTATCGTGAGAAGTTCAAAGACCGTCAGGAACAACTCAAACGACAGGCCGTTAAGAGCGCACCTATACCAGAGAACACTGACCTGGATGATCTTGAATGGGATGCCAAGGATATTGAAGACGCTCGTCCTATAGATGAAAACCAAGATGATATCTTCAGCGCAGATCGGAGATCGAGTCTTAATGATCGTGTGCAACAAGATACAGAGGGCGAGGATTATTACCAAGAGGTTCTTGCTGCCAAGGAGGCTAAGAAAGCTGCCCGTCGAGCCTTAAATGAAAATTTGGAGAAGAGGTATAGCCTTTTTATTTATTTTTTCACATTCAGCTATAATACTTTATACCGATTTAGTTTACTAAGCAAATGCATTATTTTTAATTTTTTTCTGTTTTCTTCTCTTTTATAATAGCACTTCTTTTGAGGATACAAGTATCGATCCCAACGACAAGCGCTCGATCTCGTGGCAGATTCTCAAGAACAAAGGTCTTACACCTCATCGCAAGAAGGAGCAGCGCAACCCACGTGTCAAGCATAGGAACAGATACGAGACTGCCAAGAAGAAGATCAAGTCTGTCAAGCGAGTTTTCACGAGACTGGAGGGTGCGTACGGAGGAGAGAAGACTGGCATCAAGACTGGTCTTGCGCGCAGCGTCAAGTTTTCTTAAAGTTAATAAATTTTTTGCACACTTTGTAATTTTTTTCATTCACGTACGGCTGTATCACGTAAAAGGGAATCAGATATGCCATTTTTGAATGGACAAAAAGAGCCAATCCAATCATCCAATACACTCCTGTCTCACTCTTTTGCAAAATTTGCAAAAAAGTGGATTTTATATATGTTCTGCAACGCTCATTGGCTGGATTAACTTCAATTCAAAAGTACTATTGTAAAAAAAAATCAAGTGATTCTATTGGCTTACTATTTTCTCTCTAAAGGCAGGGAAACTTGCAGTTACAGAGCACTCATTTCATGTGACCTTTGATAAAGTTCCCCACCATAGCACCACATTAACTTGCAGAGAATAAAAATCCTGCTTACAAACCTGTATCCAGCAAAAAAAAATATATATATGACAAAAGTAATCCATGGCTGTAATGATATCTTTTCTCAATTACAGACATCGTAAACACACGTCAGGTTAGTAATGTGCTTCTTTGCAAACTTTGAGTGCTGCAAGGGCTACCTGATCCATGTAGCCGAGGAATCAATGCTTATCCACCTTTACTACGATCCGATTTAGTCCTTAAAATGGCCAGCAACATCAACATCAACGGCAACAGCAGCAGCAATAGTGCTCGTACCAGGACCAGCAACAGGTCAGGCAATATCATCTCGCACACACCAGTTTATGACACGTCCAATGGGCTAACTATGTCTGGAACGCCTCAAAATATACGATCAGGCTATATCAATAATAGTGAAAGCCGATCCAACGTCGGCAGAGGCGGGAACGACAGTTCTGCCGTCTCTATCTCACCACTTAGTACTAATCCACCAATTGTATCTAGACCTTTCCGAGCCATTCGGCCTTTCCAACCCATCCAACCTCTCCAAGTCTACAATGACAACACTAGTAAGGGTGACGATAACAGCGCTAGTCTTAATATCAGCCGGCAGAGTAGAAACAAAAACAGAAGTGATACTAAACGTGCAAGGAGAAGTAGAAGCAATGTGCTCCTCACAACTTCTCATGCAGGTACCATCCAGGAAGGACTAAGAACGCCAAGGCCTATTCTGCCTGCATTATCACAAAATAATAAATGCAATAGGATGACCCTGAGGCAACAGCTGCAAATTCTGGCGGAATATGATGACTACTGCGAGAAGTGTGCAATGGTACCGATTAAACCCAGTACATCACAGTTCGAGAAGAAGATGAATCTGCCTTCCCGATTCATTTCGCACCTTCTTACTAAAAGAACTGTGCTCAAATCAATGCCCGAAGGTTTGCTGGATTCCAGGTATAATGTCAGAGGATCAATCCGTGAATTCTATCCGGTAGAGCTGGTTCTAACAGAGCTGGTCCTTGCCGTGAGGCGTATGCGTTTACCTGTCGATTACTCTTTGTTGCGATTTATGGCAAATGAAATCTACACGATGCTCTCATTGCGTAATGGTGGATTGAAGTTCCCAAGACCAAAATTTTCAAACTCATCTTTCACCAAGGCTTGGGGCTTCTCATATCATTGATTGAAGGGAGAAGCAGGCTCTGTCGATCTTGCCAAACTTGCGCCTCAGATTGCAAATATCAAAAAGATTACTTCCCAGTTTTCGTTAGCTGATATTTACAATGCGGACGAGACAGGTCTCTTTCTACAGACCGTTACGCAATGGACCTTTGACCCGGCTGAGGAACTGAAAGCAGGCACAAAGCCTGCAAGCTCAAGAGTGTCCATATTGTTCTGCTCCAATGCTCTGGGAACTGATAAACGCAAGCCTTTCATCATGGGTAAGGAGGTAGTGTATCTTAGTGATGTCTCTTGCTTCTTTGCCATGCTTATCATGCGTTTTTTCTTTCTTTTATTTATGTATTTTAGCCCAGCATTTGCCGAAAGACTTTAAACAAAACAAGGTTTTAATGCAAGATGTTGACATCCAGCCTTTGTCATCAGAGACACTTACCAAAGCCTTGGGAGATGTTCTTAATCAATTGTTAAATGGTCTTCCAGATGGATACAGAAAAATCGATCTTCACAAACGTGCCGACTACATGACAGGGGTACTTTTCCTTTATTGGCTCAAATGCTTTCATGATTCAATTACGAGAGCCGATCCTTCTCGTCGCATCCTGCTACTGATGGACAATGCCCCAGCGCATACTCTCGCATCGAGGTATCCTCAATTGTATCCGAGTATTCAGTTGTTGGCGCTTCCACCCAACTCCACCTCTGTTACGCAGCCGCTTGACGTTGGTGTGATTGCTGTTTTCAAGCGGAAGTATCGAGCCTCCGTCCTCCGTAAAACAGCGATTGAGAGGGCTCGGAAGGCGTTAAATCCTGTTGAAGGTAGCCCTTACAAGATCACCAATCTCCAAGGCTGGTGCTATATTGTGAAGGCTTGGCATGAGGTCAAACAAGAGTGTATCCGACATTGTTTCCACCATGTTCCGATATTCGAAGACAAGCAAAAGGAGCTACTCTTGGCAAGTGAAACTGATGGCTCTGATATTGCTGAGGCGCTAGAATATTTCCGAAGCGATGTTCTATCACTTTATCAGCTGAACGACATCATGGATGCAGAGCTTCGGTCTTTGCCATCTGACATGCCTCAACCCTCAGTCCTGTCAAACTCAATAAGTATCCAGCATGTGCCTCAAACTGTGGTAGAGTTGATGCACGAGGAAGAGATGGCGTCATTACATAGCTTGCTTGACGGGGCCCCCATTCTTTGCCAGTTTATTGAAGAACAAGAAGAAAGCAACGAGTACTTCCAGGCGCACTTCAAGCAGCAGGGAGATTACTCTTTGGGGCTCTACGAGTATCCTGAAACTGATTCCGATGATGATTTCCTCGGCTCCAGCGACGAAAAAGATCTTGTATTTGATGAACACGGCAGGTTCCTTCATGTGGCGGTTAGTGATACAGAGTTGGAGGAAGGTGGCGAGGAACCTTCTGTCATTATTCAACTGAGCTCTACGACGATTTCTTCATATTCGGACTCTGAGGAGACCAAGGGCGAAAGGGAGATAGGCCCGAAGCGCACGACAAGCTCATGGCTGCGGCTCAGGTGTTGCGGGGAAGAGAGTACAAGGAGATCAAAGAAAAACTTGAGTTGTTAGCCGATGCCCATCTTGGCAGCGATGTCTTTGAGGCCAGCCGAGAGTATGTTGCGGGGGTTCGGAAGCGTGAACAAGAACGTAGAGAGGAGGAGGAGCGGATTGATGCGCATATTAAGGCCAGATTTCCCGGCGTAATCTTTCGGCCCCATAATATTGGGGGTAAATAATAATTAAATTTGGTACTATGGAACTTTACTTTGAAAATTGTTACTAGTTCCATTCGAAAATGGGCAAGACGTTGTCAACGACGACCCTTCCTTTATAGTCATTCTGTCATCTGAAAAAAGTTATTGGGGGTTTTAAAGAAGCCAATGCGGCGATTTATAAATTTTTCTTTTTTTTGACTTGTATGGATGAGACTAGAGAATCATTGGAACGAATGGATGGCGTGAGATTTCTTCTGTTGTTTTCGCTGTCGATGATTAGCATTTCCTCGATCATCTTGAGGAGATGCATGAGGATATTCCTTGCTTCATCCTTCCAATCTGCGCTTTCGAGGGTAAAATATAGGGCATCGGAGTATCGGAACTTGAGTACTTCAGACGGAGGCTCGAGATAACATTTCACGAAATGCCAGCGGGCGCCGGTCGTGATGATCCCATAGCACATTGATCGCTTCATGTTCGAGCTTGAAGAGGGGTATTTTGCTAAGCGCGCCACCGCACACGATTCTAACTGGACCAAGTTTTGTGCTAACCCTTGTAGCCAATCATCATGCTTTACTTCAATAACGCCAAGAAGTAATGCGTCGTCTGGAGATTCGAATGCGAAGTCAATGGAACCGCGTCCTCGTTGACCCTCCAATGTTTTCTCCACCCTTAAAATTAATTGACCCTTGTATACATTTAGAGCATGGCTGAGGAAGGCTCCGACCCAAATGGACACCTCTGCTTCAGACTCTCGAGGCCGCTTTGTCTCTTGATAAGTAGCCAATTGTTCGTAAAGCCCAGCCAGAGCCTCCAATTTTCTATCTGATGACTCTTCCTCGGGGAAAATTTCTTCAAGAGGAATTTTTTCTGGGTTGAAAGCTCGCAGACCTCCTGGAACCTGAACGATGAATATGGTCTGGGACACGGACGGAAAGCGTTCCGAGTCCCCTCTCGGAATAGGTGCAGAGGATGTTACGCAGGTCTTTGTCGGTGGCGGGTGTTTCTGGCAATGACGAGGCGTGGCAAAGTCTTCGGCGATGCTGAATTGATATTTTTACATTTCCGATATCAATGCCGTCATGGTTATTAATGACAATGGTCTTCAGCTCCTCGAGGAGGACAGTAGTATGATTAGTGGTCCAGGAAACCTTTTGTTTCTTCTCCGGAAAATAGATCTTGAGCATCAGTTGAGAAGGTCCTATGATTGAATAAGAGAAAGAGTAGAAAATAAGTGTATGATATGATATGACGCTCGTGGATAAAAAGCAGTGAAATTCATAAATGTAGGGTTGTACCTTTCGGTGGACATTGAACGAATATGTGGATAAATTCGCCTTCCTTCAGTCCTTCAAAAGCAACTCTGAGTGGAGTGGTTGGGAGTAGAACCTCTTTGTCAGTCAGTTCTTCCAGAGAAATGACCTTGTTCATGTCTTCTTTGGTAACGGGTATGGAGACCTTCCAAAGGGTAAGAGTGTTCGAATCTACACCCTCAAGCCCGGCACTCATTGTGGCCTTGATGGACTCTTTAAGCTTATCGACAGTGGCACCAAGTGCAACCTCCACGGAAAAAGAAGACGAAACCGTGTGTCCGTCGAGGATGCAGAAGATTGAAAGATTATTAGTCATAGTTTCCTGAGTGTGGGTGTTGTGTGAGGGTGTTGTGTGAGAAAGAAGGGCAGGATTATTTTGTCAAATGAGACGCTCCTTCATCAATGGTCACATGAATGAGGGCTCTGTAAGTGCAAGTCTCCCTGCCTTTAGAGAAAAAACAGTAGGCCAATAGAATCGCTTGATTTTTTTTACAATAGTATTTTTGAATTGAAGTTAATCCAGCCAATGAGCGTTGCAGAACATATATAAAATCCACTTTTTTGCAAATTTTGCAAAAGAGTGAGACAGGAGTGTACATTTTAATGTGCAGAAGTGAAGAAAAAACCCCGTGTTTTTTTTTCTTATTTTTTTTTTTATTACTATTTGTTTTGGTAAGCACACTTGTGTCGTGTTCCTGTAAACACCCATGCTCATAGCCGCTCCATGCCACGCGCATATTTTTTATTATTTTTATTTTGATCACAGACATTCAAACAAGTCATACCACTGCACGATTACACGGAATCTCATCTCCCCTCTCCCGTTTCGCCACCTTGCTACATATTACTCATACTTTTACTTCTCTTTTCTTCTCTTTTTTCTTTAATTGTTATTGTTCTCAATTGACAGGCACAAGGAATCCGTCGACTCCGAACATCTGGCTTTCTTTAACATCCTTTTTTGTGCAACCTAAGCTTACGGACTAATTTAACAAAATGAATGACCTAATTCCCCTTGTCAATAAGCTTCAGGATGTGTTCAATACCATCGGAAGCGACCAGATCGACTTACCTCAGATCGTTGTCGTCGGATCTCAATCGTCTGGAAAGTCGTCAGTACTGGAGACTATTGTACAAAAGGACTTCTTACCTAGAGGAAACGGAATTGTCACTCGACGTCCCTTGGTCTTACAGCTCGTCAACACACATATCGGAAACATGCCTCCATCATCCAATTCTTCCGATACTACATTGAATGATGCTCCTGATCGTGCGGAATTCTTGCACTTACCCAACAGACAATTCTTTGACTTTGAAGAAGTCCGTAAAGAAATTGAGGCCGAAACTGCCCGAGTCGCTGGTCAGAACAAGGGTATCTCAAGGACACCCATTAACCTCAAGATCTTTTCGAAGAACGTCCTCAACTTGACACTGGTCGATTTGCCTGGAGTAACCAAAGTAATATTACTCATCCTCGTTTTTTCTGCTGATTCTAAAAGTACTTTTGTTTGAATGGCGGTGTGTAACTGCTATTGATGACTAACAGCGAAATGACCTCAATCATCACTTTGGTTCATTCTTTCAATACACTGGCAATTTAGATCCCTGTTGGTATGTATTAAGTTTTTTTATTTTTATTTTTTTATTTTATTTTTTTTTTTAAAAAAAAAAGCAGAGTCATCTAGTACTGTCAAAAGGAGGCGATCAAGATCTTTTCACATGTCTGACAACTGTTGTTAAAATATTTTCATTTGAAAATGATTATCCAAATTAGGTGACCAACCCACGGACATTGAAAAACAAACTCGTACTTTGATCCTGGATTACATTACCAAACCTAACAGGTAATCAATAAAATGAGGTGGAGGACCAAAGTGGTTACGTACATTTTAAGCCGTACCCATATATTCAGCTAATTAGTTTTGCTGAATGTGTTTATATGTATGAATGCTTATTAAAAAACGCTTTATTTGTCTAAAATACATAGTGTTATTCTCGCCGTCTCTCCTGCAAATGTCGATCTTGCAAATTCGGACAGTCTCAAGCTTGCTCGCCAAGTTGATCCCGAAGCAAAGCGTACTATTGGTGTCTTGACAAAGCTGGATTTGATGGATGCAGGAACCAACTCTCTAGATATTCTTGCGGGAAGAGCTTATCCCCTCAAGCTGGGCTTCATCGGAGTTGTGAACAGAAGTCAGGCTGATATTCAGAATAATAAGCCCATGGCGGAAGCACTCAAAAGTGAAACCGAATTCTTCCAGAGTCACCCAGCATATCGCGCTATTGCTCACCGCTGTGGTACTAACTTTTTGGCAAAAACCCTCAATACTGTAAGTAGAGAATGTGATATGCATCAGCATTGATGCGTCGAAATACGCTGAAACTACAACTTATACATTTTTTTTACCTTCTTTTAAATTGGATAGATCTTGATGAATCACATCCGTGATAAATTGCCAGATATCAAAGCCAAGCTGAACTCTCTGATAGGACAGACTCAACAGGAATTAACATCATATGGTGATCCTACCTTCACTGGCAAGGCTCACAGGGTAAAAAAAAAAAACTAAACATATGTAGATCCCTCGCTACTAGTTCTGTCTAAAAATTGGGACTGACTATGTCGTCTGATATATGATTATTTTAGGGTACATTGATTTTACAACTGCTTACAAAGTTCGCTACCGATTTTGTTGCTGCCATTGATGGTACCTCTGCAGATATTTCAACCAAAGAACTGTGCGGTGGCGCCAGGATTTATTACATCTTCAACAATGTTTTTGGCGCTGCATTGGATTCAGTTAACCCTTGCGAAAATTTGACCGTCCAGGATATCCGTACGGCCATTCGCAACTCAAAAGGACCACGCCCCTCACTTTTCGTGCCAGAGATTGCATTCGATCTTTTGGTCAAGCCTCAGATCAAGCTTCTCGAGCCTCCTAGTTTGAGATGTGTTGAGTTGGCTTATGAGGAATTGGTCAAGATCTGTCATAACTGTGGTGGAAAGGTAACAAACCCTTCTTTTTCTCTTCTTCCCTCTCCCCCTCCTTTATATATATATATAGTATGTTTAAGCTTGTCTTTGAACGCAAGATTTCTTACAGTATCAAAATTTTTTCCAGGATCTTGCTCGCTTCCCTAGATTTCACGCAAAATTGATTGAAGTTGTGTCTGACCTCTTGCGAGAGCGTCTTGGTCCTACATCGGAGTATGTCGAGAGTTTGATCAGTATTCAACGATCTTATATTAACACCAACCATCCCGATTTTATCGGCGGTGGAGGAGCCATGTCGGCTCTCGAGAGAGCATCCCAGAAGAAAAAGAAGGAGATTGACCGGACGAGAAGGCTGAGCACCGTTAGCATGGCCTTGGCTGGCGGTAATGGTACTGATTCCCCTATCAGCAGAGAGGAGAATGGTGAGAAGACAATCACCGCCCATTTGAACAATCTCTCTGTACAGGCTGCAGAGAGAGGTGATCGCGAAAGATTGAGTCATTCGGCCCAGCATAGTGTATCCGGCAATGTGTCAATGGCATCTTTGAACGGATCACCTCATGGATCAAGTACTGGTAGTAAGGATACGTTTTTGAATTATTTCTTTGGTGGTCCACAGCCGCGTATAGATCGCCCTGGTCCCCAAGAAAATCCTTACAAGTCGGGGAACGTCCATAATGTCGCTAAGGAGATGATCATGCCTAAGACTCTTTTGGATGGAGAGTCTCTCGATTATGAAAAGAAGTTAGATCATGCATCGGACGTTGAGGAGCTCACAAACCTGAGTGAACGCGAGGATATGGAGACGCAGCTCATTCGCTCTCTTATTGTTTCATACTTCAACATTACACGCAAATCAATCCAGGACTTAGTTCCGAAGGCTGTCATGCACCTACTGGTGAATTACTCGCGCGAAGCTGTACAAAATCGTTTGGTTGCCACACTTTACAAGGAAGAACTGTTTAATGACCTTCTCCAGGAGGATGATAATCTTTGTGCAGAGCGTGCAAAGTGCAAGGCCATGCTCGATGTCTACAAGAATGCGTTTACAATCATTAACGAAGCCACTTAAAAAAAAAAAAAAAAAAAAAGTACTCATCCTCATTATCAAAAGAAGATTTTTTATTACACATAAAGCTATTTATATATTACAGGAATGTATCATCAACTGCATTAAATTATAATCTGCATGTAAGATGCTTACTTTATTTCTCCATCAACGTTAAACATTTCTAATGTTTTATCGTTTTTAACCCAATTTTGGAACACGCCTTGAAAGAGCTGCTGCTTCACAGTATTATACTCTGAAGTCTGTGCTTTCCAATCTGCATAAATTATATTGCTTGAATCCTCGCTCATCAAACGCTGCACAAGATTGTCTTGATTTGAAGATTTCAGATTAAATGAGGGAAGACTTTTCCAAAGAGCAACACTTGCTTTGAACATATTAAGTTTACAGAGCCGACTTCTTGATTTTGACTGTAGCGGTTGTCTAGCAGATGCACCAGCTTTACAGCCATTCACAAGGACCTCCGTTGTCAAGGACTCCGATGCGATCCATGAGATACCTACAATGAAAGCAAGTGAATATTAGATAGGTGAGCTAGCAAAGATAAAATGCATATGATTCAGTAAGGCCTTGGCATGCCTTAACAAGTATAAGCATGAAAAATCTATTAATTAACATTCATACTAGAAGGGCATGCAACTGGAGGGGTCATAACCCCTTCTTGTTCATTCTTTGCTGTAATTGATTCTTTACTGAACTCGAACACGGATGTAGTCTTATGAATGTCAATTGGATGCAGTTGCGTTGGCTGTAAAGAATTATCAGAACATCTGCAGCACTTAATTCGGCCAAAAAGCGCTCTCTCAAGTGCAGTAGTGTCAAATAGCTCACAAATCACAATAGATTGCAAAAAAATAGGTTTAAGAAACGGCGCAACTAATGCTGAGGTGATTCCAAGGACGTTCCATCGTGCAATCTTGTCTGAACAAGACATGGACAGGGTTGGCTCTGAATCAACTCGACCAGGTTTTGTCCGCAGCACACCCACTGAGTCATAATCAACCCGGCCCCGCCGAAGCTCAAGAACATGATCGCAATTAATTAGCGACGCACTAACGGTAGAGATATCTTCCATCTCATCAAGCCTTGGACATTTTATAGCAACTGGCAAGCTTTCAATATCCTTTTCGCGTTGGCGTTTAGATCCCACGACTCCGATTTCAAGAGCTGGTGCGAATATTCGTGTTCCCATGTTAGTCTGTAGCTTTTGGCCATTCATGAAAGCTTGTTTAGATTCTGCTGTTTGAGTCAAAGCAAGGCTGGCTGTTGTGGCATCGCCACCTAGTGTATAAACCATAACCAATGGCTAATATTAGGCTCAATTCATTCGACATCTTGGATTGAGCGGAAGATCTAAAGGGCTATTATTATAAGTCGTACATACAAGGTGACTGGCTGACATACAGATGGAACTGAGTACGCGAGCTTACAAGCTCGAAGAATGGCCACTTCTCGCCCTGCCCTGTACTTTGCTCTCCTATATAGCGAAATATATTCTTGGGATTGTCGGGATTGCCAATGCACGATTGCATTTGCGCCAGACACCATCTGTCGGATTTGAAAATAGCGATCAAAAGATATAATAAAGTAAGATTTCCTAGTAACAATAGTGATTGGTGCTACTAAGCGGTACGTGGTGCCTCGATTCACACACCTGTTAAATCCTCTGCGAGCAAGGACTTCTGCGTGGCAGTCGTTTACGACATCCCCACGAGGACTCAGTTTGCTTTGAGGTAAACATTTGCTTCCTGTTCTAATATGTTGAAGACGACATTGCGTCAAACAGTGTCCCGCCCTACATCTTGATGAAAACTCGATAGGTAACCGAAATAATAGTAACGATGCTTCAATACTTACGCAAGTGATATACATGCTATGTCCCATAGTTCATCTCCCTCGCCCTTTTTATCAGCACTCTGTTCAGTGTCGTTTACAGGAATTGCCATGACAATTCCTGCAAGAATAGTCCATTCTGTCTGACCATTGGTCTTCTTGGCTGGCTTCCCATGCTTAGGAAGTTTACTGAACTGAGTGTGGCATTCCTGCACGATTCCTGAGACTAGCTCCTGAGATGTGATCCGAGGCATTGAATTCTTTCTCCAGTCCAAAGTCGTGCATCTTAACAAGGTCAAGGCTTTTTGGCTTTGGTAACAAGCCACCTCACAGAATAAACGAGATCAAGCAACTCCCACTGTTCTTGAAAAGGCACCAACTCAACATAACGCCAAAGACGCCATGGCTGATTCACCATCAAAGAGTCTATGGGTGGAGTACACGCATCAGGACGGACGAAAGTACTACTATCACCAGACGACTAGACAGACAGTTTGGCAGAAGCCTGATGAACTAAAAACACCAAAAGAGGTAAGCCGTCTGAACTAAACTGGTTTTGAGACGGTGGGTTCCTCAATAAAACTCTTAATCTGGTAACCTCATTATTATACTTGAACACTAGCTGGCACTTGAAAAAAGTCCTTGGAAGGAGTACACGACACCTGAAGGGAAGAAATACTACCATAATGCAACCTCCAAAGAGACCGTATGGACCATGCCAGAGGAGTATAAGGTGCTGCTGGACGAACTTGCAGAAGAAACAAAGACTAGGGAAGGGGCAAAAGCGCCTGCAGTAACAGCGGTAGTGACTACTACCCCTTTAGCTGCTACACCACCGCATCAAACACATGTGAAGCCATTGACACCCACGTCCGCGTCCGTAGTTTCAATTCCCTCACCTCTAAGACACCAAACAATCATCCCAGGAACACAGCAACCTTCAGCTCCACTTAACCCACCTCAGCAGCAGCAGCAGCAGCAAATCCACCTACAAACGCAATCACAGCCACAACCACTACAGCAAATACAACATCAACAACCACCACTTCATCAAGGGGCGCCTCTTCCCATGCTTGGACAGGATCCTATGAGAAGCAATGGCCCACCTTTCATACCTACCCAGAATCCATCACAACGGCCACAATTCCATCATCAGCACGGACCTAGGCCTCGCTTTCAACAATCATTTGTTCCAACCGATAGCAGCAATAATCGGGGACGTGAAAGGAGTGTTAATGAAACACCAGAGTTTGCGACTAAAGAAGAAGCCGAGGAAGCGTTCAAAAATATGCTTAAGGAAACAGTGAGTGACTGTCATGATAATCATTCAGTGTGTATCAGACAGTTACATACATAATAGGGTATTAACAATATCTGTCAACTACTATATGTTTCACACTAGGGTGTCACGTCAACATGGACTTGGGAGCAGACCATGCGTGCTGTTGTAACAAACCCAATGTATCGTGCGCTTAAAACCACTGCAGAGCGCAAGGCCGCATTCCAAGAGTATGTAGACGAACGACGCATTCAAGAAAAGCAAGAAGACAAAGCCCGCCAACAAAAGCAGAAGCAGGACTTTTTGGACCTACTTAAGAGTAATGAGAAGATAACACATGCTAGTCGATACACTACTGTTTCCAGACTTCTTGCAGATGAACCAGCCTTCAAAGCTATCACAGACGATCGCCAGCGCTATCGAATCTTTGACGGTTATGTCAGCGAATTGATCCGCCAAGAGAAAGAAGAGTCAAGGCGGAAACGGAAAGCCGGTATGGCGGCACTTTTGTCAATTTTACAATCAATGGACGAGATCACCTTGACAACTCGTTGGGCAGAGGCCAAGGATCTGCTGCAGGAAAATAAAGAGTTCAAAGAATCAGATCTGATACAAAGTCTAAGCAAAGTGAATCGATTGACGGTCTATGAAGACCATATCAAACACTTGGAGGAAAAGTACGACCAAAACCGTGCTCGGGAACGCACACTTCGAAAGCGTGCTGAGAGAAAGAGGCGAGAGGCATTCAAAGATCTCCTGAATGAATTAAAAAGCAAGGGCCAGTTGAATGCAAAGACCTATTGGATGCAGATCCATCCGCTGATCAAAGATGACCCTCGATACCAGGATATTCTTGGACAGCCTGGCTCTACACCCATGGAGCTTTTCTGGGATCTAGTCGAGGACCTGGATGAGAAGCTATACCAAGATCGCAAGATGGTCCAAGACTTATTAAGGGTTAGTTGTCACAGAGAAATATTTTTACGCAAATGAACTGGAAGTGTGTACTCTAAAATTAGTCATTAACTCTCCAGTTAACTGATTGATCACCGATAGAATATTAACTACGAGATTCTACCAGAGTCGAAATTCGAAGAGTTCCAAAATTTAATCTCGAAACAGGCGAAAGTCAGCCATTTAACAACAGATGACCTCCGTTTGATTTTCGAGCAACTTTTAGGCAAAGTTCTCCACCATGCCAAAGAAGAAAAGCGACGTCAAGAAAAACTGGCGCGCAAGAAGGCAGAGTCATTTAGATCAATGCTGAGGTCATTGAATCCAGCTGTCACTGTCGAATCATCCTGGGATGACGTAAGTTTATAAGAATTGTTCCTTCCAGGCTCACGTATCTATTGCAGTGATAATAATGCAACTATATCATTTAACGATCAATCAAGGTTAGAGCAAGAGCTGAATCTACAGCCGAGTATGCTGCTCTTGAAACAGACGAGAAGAGGAAAGAAGTCTTTGATCGATATATAGAACGACTCAAGGTATGATAGCATGAGGTTTATTGAGGCATTAGTCACGTCTGCTGGCATTGTCACGATTTGGCCCCTAATGTGCTCTGTCATAATGGTTATTATTGTCATTTTACTGTTTTGCAGGAACGAATTTCTAAGAATTATGATAGTGATGATGAAGATGGGTCAATTTTGGAAGATGATGCCGACTATTATGGCAAACGGTCGATGTCAGATCGCAAGCGTTCTGCACCGAGCAACAGTAGACATCACTACGGTAACAGCAGTAGCAGCACTGGACATCATCACCACTCAAATGGAGATCATCACCGACGGAGCATCACCAACACACGGGAGCATCCTCCATCATCCGAATCAGCTAAAGATTCACAACCCAATGGAAAAAATGATAGAGACAACGCTAATGTGAGAGAAGCTGAAACCTCTGAAGACTCCGATCGCAAAGCCAAGGTATTCAATTTTTTTTTTTTTTTTTTTTTTACAACTATTACGCTGAAGTTTACCAACTGATTAATTCGCCTTCAATAGAAACAAAAAACTGTTGATGAGCAAGAGCCTTTGGTAGAAGCCGCAACGTTGACAGAGGCTGCCTTAGCTAGCGGTACTGAAGAAGGAGAAGTGATAGAAACGCCAGGCCAACCATAGAAAATTTTTTCTTTTTTTTTTGGTAATCACTTTCAAAATTTTAATGATTTTAAGAAAATAAAATGAGAGGAGCTCTGTATTTGATAGAGAAGGGAGGAGGGAAGAGTGGCGCGTAACAATTAAAAACAAAAAAGAGAGGACACCCTTCTTTTTCTTTATCTTTCTTTTTTCACTACGCACGAAAAATGTAAAAGGAAAAGAAATCAAAACTTTGTATTTAATTAAGCCTTGGAGGAAGCAATCTTCTCAACCTGACTGATAGACTCTTCCAAGATCTTGGACTGCAATTTGGGATCCTGAAGATCAGCCTTGATCTTCTCGATCATGTAAGCAACAAGCTTGCTCTGCTCACGCTCACGGACCGAGGTCTCATAACGGACCCAAGAGTCAAGGACAGACTTGATCTCAGAAGTCAAAGCAGTCTTCTGCTTGAGCTCAAAGGCCTCAGCCTCGAGCTTGGCAGTCTCCTTGGAGAGAGCATACAGAGCCTTGGTGACATCAACAACGTCCTTCATCTGGCCAACCTGATCGATGCGCTCCTCAACAGCAGCCTTGTGGTCAACACGGGCCTTCTGAAGAACAGAGCGGATCTTGTTGATGTGGCCATCAGCCCACTCATTGAAGGGCTCACGAGCAGACTTCACAATTCCACCGAAAGTGGCAGCGAAAGCCAAAAGGACCAAGGATTCCTCGTTGAAGACGTAAATCTCCTTGGAAATCAAGTAGGTGGCAGCACCAGTAAGGGCGGTGACGTAGGCGGTCTTGGAAAGCAATGAGTTGCCGGGAAGCGAGTCGATGATGCTCTGAGCCTTGTTCTCAGGGGAAACTTGCTTCTCTGAAGGAGGAAAAAAATTGAACAATAGAAGAAGCCATTTTGACATGTGAGATGAAAGGACTACTTATCCATTCTATTTCCTTTTTCTGGGCAGCAATGGCATGGTCCGAGCGTCCAATTGAGCTGTGCTGTGTACTGTGCAACTTCAATTCCTTTTTTTTTGTCCTGTTTGGTATCTGCTGCAACTGTCCAAATATGAATTGTGATTTTTGTACACATCCAAGCGTTTCTATGTGACGACACAAAAAAAATAGTCCATTTGAAAAAAGAAAAAGATCAATGTAACGAACCTTCAGTCGAGGTAGTCATGTGACGGATGCTGCATCGATAGAATACAATAAAAGACATTAATGTTAGAATATATCACGATCGAACAAACCATCTGTTGGCAAAATGATATAAATAAATATATAAAACAAAAAACAAAAAGACAAAAAAAAAAAAAAAAAAAGATACATACGCAGCAGAGGCGCTGGAGCGCTGGGCAGCGAGCATGGGGCGCACGGCGGCGACTAAAGGCGATGGTAAAAAAGGAACATGCTCTCATATTAGTTGGAATGGAAGCAATAAATTAAAGGTAATGCTGAGTCAAGAAATGAATGACGAGGAAGGAGATTGCAGATTCCTGATCAGGGGCGAAAAATGCGAAATCAGAGGGTGAGAGTATTGTATTAACGTGTGCATGTTTGACAATTGTTAGAAGAGTGGGCGTAAGAGGTCAAACAGTCTGCCTGTTGAATGAAATCGTCTAATTATCAATTTTAATGGACAGTATTGGGGTCCTACAAGGACAGATTTAATCCGTTTTTTTTTTTTTTTTTTTTTTTTTTTCAACAACAGATTTAACTGGTGAAAAAATGGATAACGCGTATATGAAGAGGGGGTGAAGGATCGGAGGCGATAGCGATTGAATGGAGGCAATGAATTACCCGAGGAGCTCTTGGTCAAAAGACGGAGGGCCATGGTGAGAGATGAGTGCTGATGAGTGGAGTGATGAGGAGAGGAAAAAGAGATGTGAATCTGACCCCACTGTGCTAGTGGTATTCAGGGCCACACCACGGCACGACCCGTAGCCTTCTCCAAACAAACCTACGCCATTGATTTCGTTCCAATCGCAAGTATTAACACTAAATCCATTTTACATGCATCCGTTCTTCAGTAAAGACAGTCACTGTAAACATGAGTCCTGCTCAGACCTTATTCCTGGTAACAACAACGAGTGTTCCTTCTCCTCGCTTTGTTACACTTCCATAGCACTCGGAAAACCTCCATCGGCCTCAGTACTTGGCACGCTCGCATTCATGGCACACCGACTGCTCACTTCGACTTCTCTGCTGCCTAGGACACAGCAGACTCTTGCAGCACGTATCAAAGCTACTGTGCCTGTTCAGTACGCCAACTATGTCACGGCTTCCGCCGTCGTCTCGGCCGCTGTAAAGGCCAAGAAAGGTAGCTTTTATCAACTACCTATCCTAGTTCCTGGTAGTTCATCGAGGTGGCTGATCAGTACTGAGGACAAGCCTTGACATATTAATACCGCATCCTTCCTCTCTTATACCCTTGCGATTCCTGATCACCAATCAATCAATATAGGTGCAGCTCCTACCCGTGCCAAAGGACATTCCAACTCCTTTCGCAAGAAGGGAGTAGTAGACGATGACAGCAATGAGGTACAACCTAGCTTAATGGGACTCGGGATACAACATTGAGATACACAGCTAATTTAACTCTCGATCACACTTGGTGTCTTGCTTTGATATGATGGTTGTTAACTTGTTTAGGGCGCAACAGGAGCCGGTCGCTTGAATGAGAAATATTATAAAGCTGCAATCCCTGTCAAAGTTGAGGAATTCCTTCCTGTAAGCGCCTTCAGCAGCTGTATCGGGAGATGTAGTTTTCGGGTCTTTTACTAGGAGTAACAGAAATCCTCTCTTTTTTTGATACATTGGTGATTTATAGTCTACCGCTACCAAGGATAACATTGGAAAAGTCCTTGGAATACCTTCGGTCGTAACGCCAGCATTGAGCCAAACTGCCTTCCCAACATTCTTGAATGAGCAGGTACAGATCAGGGTCGCGCATCACCATACAATATCTCATACCTAGCTATAATTTCGACATGAGACACCTATACTCATTGTGGATATCCTCAATATTTCTCATCATCTAGTTCGCTTTGGTCAAGTCTGCTGCATTGGTCGTCCGTGAGTCGACTGTCGATTTGCTTGAGAGGGTTGATAAGGCTATGAAGACGCCTTCAGCGCAAAGCAGGATCGTACTTACAGGGGAGTCTGGATCAGGAAAGAGCGCTGTATTGCTACAAGCTGTAAGCCACTGCCTCTCTGCTGGATGGGTTGTGATCTACGTCCCTAAAGGTACGATATGACATGATATGATAATAAGTTTGGACCACCAAATCAATTTTATTATCATAATTGACATATATTTTCTGACTCAATTTGAACAGCAAGTACTTGGATGAATAGCTCTTTCGCCTACAACAAGGTGCCGGGCTCAACATCGTTTGTTCAGCCTTTGCTCGCATCTAACGTTGCTGGGCAGATCCACGGCGCTAACAAATCAACCCTCAACGGAATTGTTGTTTCAGAGAATGCCATGATCGGCCATCAGGAGGTTGCAAAAGGAACTACGTTATCTGCTCTCCTTGAAATCGCTGTGAAGAACCAATTCGCTGCGCAGGATGTCATGGAACTCTTCTTGAAGGAATTGGGGGCTCAAAAGGGGTATGTAATCAAATAACGAACATCATAAAAAAAAAAAAAGCGTGATGCCTACCTCAGTCAAATCAGTCCCGGAATCATTTTTGCCTCGTAATTGAGTCGAGGATGCTCATGCCTTTTATTCTCCACATTAGGGTCCCCACATTGATTGCTGTGGACGAAATCAACACCTTCTTTCGCCCTACAGAATACCTGAATCAGGATGCCAAAGCGCTCAATCCTGAGCATTTGAAACTCCCCAATTTGTTTTTGCGGTATATTTCAGGAAAGAACTCACTGAGTCATGGAGCCATTGTCACTGCTACGAGTGAAACACATTGGCCGAGGAAGAGTGAGACCCTCGATGTCAGCTTAGGAGTCAAAGTGGTCTCACCCTACAAGAAATTGTCCCAGACCATTTTGCCATGGACTCAAGGCTTCACTAGATTTGAAGTACCAAATTATACAAGACCAGAAGCCAAAGGCGTCTTTAATTACTACAAAAAAGGCAACATTATCTATGATGGTAAGCGTGTCTATACATGCACTGATGTGGAAGAAGAAATTATGGGTCATTGAAATACATTATGCAACATTGGATACTAATGACATCCCAAAACTATACATTTTATGCAACAATATTAACAACGACAAAAAAAAAAAAAAAAAAAAAAAAAAAGCCCCATCAGAAGCCCTTTTTCTTAACAAGTTTATCACATCAGGTGGCAATCCTCGCAAGTTCTTCACTGCATGTGCAAAAGAGATTTAAGGATACTAAACATGCTGGAATGAGCATTACGAATTAGCGTGTATGAGAATATCAAGTGTGTGAGAGTGTGGGGTGTATAATCATAGAGATAGAGTGTGTGGATCATTACAAGGCGAATTAAAATCTATCATCCAACTGGCAGCGTTACATGATGTGCCTACATGTATAGCTCTTGAACCAACAAGTGATATTTGCGCATTGGGGTTAATTATGACGAGCTCAAGGAAATGTACGTAGTCCAATTGAAACAATTTCTTTGTTGAAGCTGTTAAGAAAAGTGTAAATTTGATAAGAAACTGAGAGGTGCTGTTATGCATGGCACGGATCAATATGGACAAAAATGCGGCGCGCCCAAACCTTAGGATGCATTTTGTAGTGGTGCTACCTCGATAATGACGAATGAAATAGAACAAATAGATTTGGCATTCATCTTTGATTTATAATCAGCTTGTACTACTCTTGATTTATACATGGTGAAATTACGCGTCGCGTCAAATCCATCTCAACGTATGAAATAAGCTGTGAATGTGTAAACGATCGATCGACTTTCAGTTGGCCGAGGCTACAGACTCTAGATTCACCGCATAATGATTATTAATATTCTTTTAAAAAAAAATGTATAAAAAGGTCATTCTACAATTAACAAGAGACCACATTACCTCAAGGAACCGAAAACAACCCAACACTATCACTGCCAAACTCCCTTCCCTCTCTCCAAAAAAACAACAACAACAACAACAACAACAACACCATCAACATCAAAGAAGAAAGAAAGATGACTTTCTCCAAAGAAATCACCCAAGATCGTATCCTCATCTCAAAGATCCCTGAAGGAGTCACACCTAATAAAAGCCATTTTCGCTCTGTAACTGTCACTGAGCCTGCACCTGTCCTTAAAGACAATGAGGTCTTTGTTAAGAATCTCATCTTTTCCTTGGATCCTTGTAAGTAGAGCCATACTTATTTATTTTATTAAAAAAAAAAAAAAAAAAAAAAAAGAATAAGGCCCTATATTTTTCTTTATTGGCATTGTATGGCTATCGAAACTAGATATCCGTCATGACTTCAGCAATGACAAGAAGGAATCAAGGGTGGTTGGATTTGCGATAGCAAAAGTGGTTGATTCCAAGAACCCAAAGTTTCCTGTCGGTGCCTTAGTTCATTCTCCTTCTCACTGGGAAGAATACACACATGTTTATGAACCTGAATACATTAACGATCTTAATGTCTTGGATAATGCGGTTGACTCCAAGGTGCCCCTTTCAGCTTACACCGGCGTCCTGGGTATTCCTGGCTTCACTGTTTGGGATTCACTCAACTTGCGTGGTGACCTCAAGGCTGGAGAGACCATTTATATCTCTAGTGCCGCAGGGTAAAAGCTAAATTGGAAATGATGGGCCTTTAATTAACAGATTTGCAACCTCTCAAACATTGCATCTAAACTATTGCTGTTTTTTTTTTTTTTTTTTTTTTTTTTTTTTTTTCCACAGAACTCTGGGACAGTTGGCTGGCCAATTGGCCAAGAGAAAAGGCCTTCGCGTAATTGGATCTGCTGGCTCGGATGAAAAGGTTACATTCCTCAAGGATGAGCTCGGCTTTGATGCTGCATTCAACTACAAGACCCAGGACAAACGTAAAGCCTTAACGGAGGCAGTAGGTGAAGCTGGACTGGATATCTATTACGATCTTGTTGGAGACGACACTACTGAGATCGTATTAGACTTGCTTAACCCACGCGGTCGTGTCCTAGCAGTCGGAGCCTTGGCATATCATCAGAATACTGAGCCTTATGCGCCTAAGAACCTGATCAACATCCTCTTTAAGGAACTCCGTTATGAAGGCTACCTTGTCTTTAGTCACTATGAGAGATTTGGAAAGTTTCTTGAGGAGCTGACACCTCTGGTGGCCAACGGTGAAGTCAAGTACAAAGACGCTGTCCTCAAACATGGCGTCGACAAAATTGGTGAAACATATGTCGACTTTTTGAATGGAGCCTTTGTTGGAAAGGTGAATGTTCAAGTTGCTGACGCATAGAAACAGAATCATACAAGCTTAAATATAGTAGAACAGCAACACTTCTTTAAAGTAATATAACCTGCGGCTTTTACTCCGAATTGAGTGGGGTATGCTTTTATTACATTTTGGTGGTGATCCATAATTGACATCAGGGTTCTCCAATCTTGCACTCAATATCAGGTCGTAATTTCCTAACTAATGCCTGAATGCCTGAGGCCTGACCGCGTCGATCCACCGAGAGGTTGATGATGAAACGCTTCAGGGATGGCCAACGAACAAGGTGACCTGAAGGCTCAGTCTTGCTAGTGTTTGAGAGGTGCTGTTATGCATGGCACGCATTTTGTAGTGGTGCTACCCAGTGCTCCTATTCGATCTGAAACTATGTCAATTGATATATCTATATTCTATATATTAAAAAAAAATAAAATAAAAAAATAGGCGACTGCGAAATTAGGTGACTGCCTTCGGGTACCATAAATAATCAAACATAAATAAGCAACAGCTTGAGCATTCACTCATCTGCGGGTAGCAAGAATCTGGGTGGCAAGGATCTCATTTAATTGGAGAATGGGTATCCAGTATAGAGTGATTGGATATTGGCTGTTTTTACCTAGAGTTCGTTGTCCCTTAATTTAATTTATTTTTCTCATGTGACACAGCTCTTATTTTGAAACTTTAAATCAGCGTCCACGCTGCACTGTAGATTTAAAAAGTAAACTTGTTCACTTTGTTTTACTGTTCTAATTCCTCAACACGCCTATATTCTGGATCCTTGCTTTAATTTTACTCAGACCTTTGTTTTCATTGCTTTCGTCTATTTTATCTGCTAAAAAAAAAAAAAAAAAAATGTCTGCCAAACGTTTTACACGTTCGTCGTCGGCTGTATCTCCCAGAAGTCAGTTGCCTACCAAGTGCCCCCGCTCTATTTATGGTGACTCGAACCACTCGGAAGCCGTTTCTCCGTCGGACAGCTTCACATCAGGTGTACGACGATCTCGATGGGCTGTGCTAGGTATCATCCAAGCACAACCTGTAGAGGTAAAGAGGGGTTACCAGGCCAGCAAGCGGGATGAAGAGAAGCTATATGACATGACATACGGCTCCATTGACGAGTGCGCCCTACTTGAATTCCTTGAACAAGAGAGAGAAGGGAGAAAAAAAGAACAGGAGGAAAGAGGACGTAAAGAAGAGGTAACGAGAGCTGAGCTTGCAGCCAAGCTTGGCTGTGTTGTTTGCATGGACACAGGTTGCTCTTCTCAGAGCAGTTGTGTTTGTCCTACTCAAGAGGACTACTACTTAGAACTCTCTCAATTGCAGGAAACATTGGTCCCTTCGGCTACGCCAAGCTTATACCTTCAAGTTGCTGCTAAACCCGCCACTCCAACCCCTCCACCAGCTTACCTTGAACCACAGTCTCCTCCGCGGAAAAGGTGTGGAGAGCATAAATATCACGCTATAACTAACATAGGTTCTATACCAATTGCCCCAATTGTTCGGCAGAGTTGCTGCTGGAATGTGGGTCTGTGGGGCTTGAATTATCCTCTTTGGAATTGCAGATATAAGTAGTAGAGGCTGAAAAGCCAAGCGTTGGCTATCAATAGAACCCTCTTCTTTATCCACCTAAAGGCTGAAATGGCCATAACCCCGTGTTTGCTTTCATAGGTCGTTTTTTTTAATAGTTGCCTGAAGGAAATGACTTCGCCCAAGACCAATAAAAATAAGCAATGCTCAAATTAGATGTTGGAATTTTCTGCTGTCTCTTGCATTCTTTCATTTTTCTACAATATCTTTCGTTTTCAACGGTGCTCTCAGCATCAAAATTTGATTGTAGCATTGTAAATACATGACCTACACCCATATTCCGTGCAACAGCAACAGTCATGATAGATGTACCTGCCCTCAAAATACAAGGTTTGTTGAATCTCCTTGCGCTTCATTTTTTTTTTTTTTTTTTTTTTTTTTTTTGTTGGCACTATAGTAGTTGGTGTTTGCTGATTCCGAACAAACGTCTTTATTACCTCCGTTGCACTGTTAAAAGCGCTGAACAGGACATTACTCCCATACAGATGCAAAGGTATGCAATATAAAGTCTTTTTTTTTTTTTTTTTTTTTTTGGGAGGTTTTATTTTTATTTTATTACATTTTTAACTCTGCATCGTTATCTTGATAGCACCCCAAAGGCGAAGGTACGTAGTATTTGTGGCCACTTAGGACACAACCGGAGTACATGTGCAAGCATTGAAGGGTGAGCTCCAATCCAATATTTGATGTTTCAATTTGTAATCCTTAGCAATACATTTTTTTCAATCCTAAATTATCAGTTTCTTTTGCAATGGCATCGTTAGTGATCCCATGCAAAATCGAGCCCAGCCTGTGGCGACTCGCAGGAGCATTAGCCTTGAGGATCCTGGTGAAATCGGAAGACGGAGCGAAGGCGAAGGTAAGCTACTCTTGGTTCACATTTTATTGAATGTATAATTTACTACGTATTACATTTTTAGCTTAACATCATTATCATTGCCCTCTAGGCTACAGCCACCTGTCGGTCTGTGCAACGGCATTGCAGTATATTCAACCGCCCAGGACATAACCGAAACACATGTCCCGATAAAGAGTAAGTCCGACTTCCCCTTATTATTATTTAGTATAAAAATATAGTGATAAAAAGTCGGAAAGCTTTATAAAATATTTATAAAAATTCGTGATTCTATTTTCCAATATAATAGTATGGATACTGTCTCTTAGCTAGAAGGAGGTTCCGACCAGAATTAATCTCGAGCCCCAATATCGGGTGCCATAGACACCGCTTAGAGCAGATGGTCTGGTGTCCTTATTGCAATGCTATGATGTTCCTTGAAGAACGTGTAAAAAACAAGCACCGACCAGAATTTTCGTTGTGGAAAATCTATACAATTTTTTTCACGATCAATATAATAAAAAAACAACAGCAAATGTTCCGAAATTGATTAAACAGGCCGACATCATCATCTCGAGACAACATCAACCCAATTCAAAAACTTTCTTACAACAGCAGGAAGATCTCGCTTTAAAAATGATGCGCGAAAAAGCTGAAGATTTTTATTTTATTCGCTCAAAACAGATCGAAGAGCAACCGCGAAGATGGAACATGGC